CAAATGTATTAAAAATTGTCTTTAAGCCTGTAATTTGTGTCGTGTGTAAGACCAGTCAGCTGAACTACCTCTGTGATTGTGTGGTAGTCTACCATAAAAATAAACTGAAGAATAGAGCAAATCTGTGGTCTTTTAATGGATCCTGCTTATACTATACAAAGGTTAGTCTAATGTGTAACACAATGTGTAGCTAAAGACTGTGCATAGGAAGGCTTGCTTTCATGAGCACTGGAAATGTTTCTGTGGCAAAGGCTATCTATACAGAAGAGTTTGAGGCATAGTACTGTTCATCAAAAGACCTTTCTGGCATGAGGAAACAGAAGAAGCAGAAAAGTTTCAAGTAATAAAAGCACTTTAGTAACTACAATTGTAGACTTTTATGGATTTCTACCAATTTTACTTAATAGACACTAGAAACTGTATCTATGAACAAAAGTCTTTTAATAGTCACTCAGAAAAGGAGGAGTACCCATATAATGGAGCAGTGCTAATGTAGATGCCTTCCATAAAAAGGGTGACAATATTGAACCAAGGAATAATAGAACAGTAATTCTTGTTTCTGTTACATTTAATATTATAGAAACAGTAATTCGAATAAACTAGAGCATAGTCTTTTAGATGATAGGAATCAAGGGGACAATCAGTGTAATTTAGAAAAGGTCCTATAGGTCTTGCTTATAGTTCTTTGAACACGCAATTGCAGTCAGGGATGTAGAGAATATAAAAAGGTCCATTTCGATTTTCAGAAGGCTTCTGATAAATGAATCACATTTCAGGTGTTAGGCATTCCACACAATGTGTTATTTGTTTTGAGATGGGGTTAGCCCAAGAACCAGGAAATACAGAATTAATTATTTGACTCTTCTGACTCTGAAGAACCTGGTCCAATTTCTCAAGCTTTTATAGATTGTGTAGCTCAGGATGTGTGTGCATTGAAAATAATTTCAGTATCTTAAGACCCTGGCAAGGATGCTACCTATGCACTTTTCACAGCATCGTTGTGGTTCATTGTCTTTTGATCACTGTGCGCAGTGCTTCTTAATGCTGTCATTCCGCTGAAACTGTTGTTGACTTTATGCATCGAGAGAACCAGGAGAAAGGAGTTAAAAATAATCGAAAACTATCTGCTATGGTCCAAGATGTCAGTGGAAAGTTTGAAAGCTGTAGTTGTTCCTTCACTTGTCGGGAACCAGAAATGGTTCTCTGAAAACAGTTTGTCCCCTAACATTTATAATGTGTTGTAAAACCAGAAGTGCAAGGTTTTAATTGACTGATTTGCACAAACTGTTGAAATCCTAACAAATCTTTAATTATTTGTTTGATTTTACAGTGTGCTTTAATGTTTAAGCCATTCTCATTTGTGATTTTTGAGTGAACCTTCAAGAGGAGTCATACTAGGTGTGCTGCTATGTACAGTGGCTGATGTACTTATTAGGTCCTTATGCCTTAAGTTAATAGATTAGATCATTTCAAATTGTTTGCTAGCATGAGTGAGCAGGGCTGAGGTGTTTTGTCCACCAGGTACACTTCACAGAATCGTCAGTCTTGGTGGCCGAGGGCTACAGGGGAGCCCTGCTTCAGTGACACCCTGTATTAATACATTACAGTGGCGATGGCCCTTCTTGCAGGTATGCAGGACTAGTGATGTGCTCTTCAGCTTCGTGGCAGTGGGGAGGCAGTGGTGGGATGCATACTCTGCGTCTGGAGTACAGTATAAAGATGTTGCTTCAGAGGAATGCATTTGGTTCCCCTGAAAGGAGAATCAACTATAATCGGCTTGAAAGACACTGTGTGCACAGTATGTGTCTTTATGTATGCCGAGTAAAGAAGTACTTGAGCTAATATTAGTTAATCGGGAGGTTTGCCTGTCATGTTTGGCTTCGTGAAACACTCCAGACACTGCAGCACAGGCAGAGCTGCAGAATCCTGCAGTCTGGCCTGGTTTAAATGGATGACATCATCTCTGTTTAACAAAGAACAAGAGACTGATGGCAAAGGGCTTTTTGGAAATATGCAGATGTATTTGTATTCATATTTAAAACTGTTGACTAATTAGGAACAATTTGAAGTCGAAAAACCAGTAGGTGTACTCCCTTGTGAATTTTTTTCTCCAGTCTTGAATTTTATTGAAGGTAAATGAGATAATGCCATAGGATTTTCTTTTGTCTCTATGCATGGAGTTCGAAACACTGTTGTGCTCCAGTTATTTGATTGGAAAGGCGTGAGTCCATCAAGAATAACATAGGCAAGTAGAGTAGTAGGATGTATTATTGTTGCACTGCCTGAAATCACATTTTACAATATCTTAAATACCAAATGGTGTTTTTTCTTCTCCTAATAATAAGTGAAAGCCATCTGGTGTGTAGGCAGAAAGGAGAGAAAAAAACCTCTCTTTGATGCTTGAGAAATTAAAGCTGATAGTGTTGTTAGCTTTGTAAAAAGCCTTGTGCTTCTCCAGTCTCGTTTTTAAAAACTGGCCCAAAATGAAGCTAAAAATCTGAAAGCTGTCTTTAGCACAGCTGTTTTAACCAAGGTTTTCCCTTGATTGGCACTGAGGTCTGAAAGTGATACGAGATCACCCGTGTTCATATTCAAGTCCAGTATACAAAACATTCCATACCTGAATTACATGGACTTAGATATTTGGTTGGTATTTTGCCTTGTCTGTTGTGTACCTTTGAGGTATTCTTAATATTCTGCTTATTCCAAAAAGTAAACAATGGATGCTGGAGCATTTATCTGAGTCATCTGATTCCAGTTCACAATATACAGTGTATCTATATAGTTAAAATGTTTACATATACAGTAGTTAACATGTTTGAATGAATATACTTTGTTTTAGTCTTCTTGTATCTGGAGTGTTGGTGCCCCTGCTGAGGAAATAGGCCGTAATGGCGAGTTCTCCCTGTTTTGCAATAACGGTTTGCTGATTCCTGTTCCGCTAGTCCTTCAGGGTGTCCGCAGAGATATGGGACTACTCTGCCGTACAGCTGATTAGTGGTTAGTGGTGAATTGCAGCTAATGATCACGTGGGGCACATGCTGTTGCATGTCTTATAAAACAGGGGCTGCAGTGGCCGGGGGGGCGGTTGATTTCGGTCTTGTCTTCTCAATACAAGTCTTTTGGAATTCTGGCTTTTCTGCGATGCTATCCACAATAGGTTTTCTGTGAGGTTTGCCATTCCCTTATTTACTGCTAATGCTAAGGTATGCCATAGTATTAAGGACACCTTTCAGACTGATCAGAGGAACTGTCCTGTATTTGCAGAACAGACCTCAAACCTTCGTGCCTCTGTGACTGGCATGCATGGTGCTCCACGTGCTCTTCTCAGTTTCCTGGTTCAGTGCTAAATGACATGAAGTGGGGTTCTTCAAGCCACGTGCTGCGAGTGTTGAAGGATTTTCCAGATGTCGCTGTTGCCCGTTCAGCAGTGCAGAGTTCGTGGCCGTCAAGATTGGAGGGAGAGGGCGCACAAGTCTTAGGGTGACATTCATACCCCCCCCCTTTGTTTTCATGCAAAGACGCCCCTGTCTGGCTAGATCATCGAACAGGGCACTGTGTTCGGGTAGAGGTGGAGAACCCCAGGCAGTGCTGTTTGTGCCGCTGGCGCAGTGACGTCGCCAGGGGAGCCAGCTTCGCGTGTGGGCTACTCGATTCGCACCTCGTCTCGGCTGATGGCTCTGACCACAGCAGTCACACAAGCCAAGCAAATGGGCTTTCTCAGGCCATATGTTTTACACCCCAGTCCTAGCGCTTAATTAAGACTCTGCTAACTGTTTTCCTGTCTTTTATTTTTATAACTCTACTGTTATGTGCAGTTTGCATCTTTACCAAATGTGATTATAAATCACTTTCGATAAAAGTGTCTGCCAAATGAAGAATTGTAAATGTAAAGTGGATGTGTAGGCAGCAGTGTCTTCTCATGATGTCTTAAATAGTTACAAATGGAAAAAGCACGTGCATCCCACCTGGTAACACTGGTAGTATTTGTCTGTTTTTATTTTTCAACCTACGTAAATGTACAAATATAGCAAAGACTGCGGTAATGGGAACATGGTTTTCCAAAGCTTAATGTCTTCTTCTTCTCTCACTGAGGGGAAATACAATGGTCGTTAGTACTTACAAAATTAAATTTCTGTCCAAGTAAATAGTCTCACCCTGTAGGCTTAACATAATCAAGACTTGTCTTTTAGGTGGCTCTGAATAAAACAGTTAAATTAATGCAACATGATCTTAAGAGATAAGTATTAATGTATCCTGTTCATAAGCCCACAATGTTTGAGTAATTATTGCAGAATTCCTTATGGAATTCTGCCAGCAACCATATCACCCTGCAACTCACAACTGGCAACCTACTGAAGCTAAGCAGGTGTGAGCCTGGTCAGTACCTGGATGGGAGACCTCCTGGGAAAAACCTATGTTGCTCCTGGAAGAGGTGTTAGTGGGGCCAGCAGGGGGCGCTCACCCTGTGGTCCATGTGGGTCCTAATGCCCCAGTATAGTGATGGGGACACTATACTAAGCGCTGTCTTTCGGATGAGACGTAAAACCGAGGTCCTTACTCTCTGCGGCCATTAAAAATCCCAGGGCGTTTCTCAAAAAGAGTAGGGGTGTAACCCCGGCGTCCTGGCCAAATTTCCCATTGGCACTTACGAATCATGGCCTCATAATAATCCCCATCTATGAATTGGCTTCATTACTCTGCTCTCCTCCCCACTGATGGCTGATGTGTGGTGAGCGTTCTGGTGCATTATGGCTGCCGTCGCATCATCCAGGTGGGGCTGCACACTGGTGGTGGTGGAGGGGATCCCCATTACCTGTAAAGCGCTTTGAGTGGAGAGTCCAGAAAAGCGCTATATAAGTGTAAGCAATTATTATTATAATTATGATGAATGTCACTGTATTTTGTTAAAAAATTGTGAATATATAACATTTGATTTATTTTCTTGTTAAAATTGGTATGGTTTCCATCTGTGTGACCTCTTCTGTTCTTTGTTTTAGGGTTTCGCAAAAATGATGAGATGAAGGCAATGGAAGTATTACCAATCTTAAAGGAAAAAGTTGCTTTCTTATCAGGTAAGCCTGCTTTGATTTCTGTGGTCAGTAAATGTATGGCCTTCCATTCATTCTGATAAATGGAGAGTAAACAGTCCTGGTTGGTTTAAAACATCTGAGAATTATTCCCCTAATTAAACTGTTCCCTCAGTTAAGTACTATCATTAGATGCACATGCTTTCTTTTGTTTACTTTCTTTTGTAAGAGGAATGAAATACTGAATATTCTATAGAAATACTTAATTTCATTAAGAAACTAAATTTAACCTTCCAATGGAAAAAATATTTTCAAATTATTATTTTGAATTGCTGCAGCACAAATAGAAAACAAAACGTGCATTGTTGTGGTGCATCAGTGCACAAACTGAAGTGTTGATCAAGGTAAAAGCACTTAAGGTGTCTTCCGCTTGGAGAGTGTTGCTGAAGAAAACCTTTTTCTGTCCATGTGTGAATGAGAAGGGTGTTGAAGGGAGTGAGAGTAGTGGTGATGCTGTACGTTCATATTGCTGGCCAAATACTGTGGTGTTTCTTGGCATACATTTTTTAGATGGGTAAAGATTTGAGAGAGAGAAGGTCTTCAGCTGTGTCTGTACGAATGAGAGGGTAGTGGTGCTGTGGTCATGGTGTTGGGGAATAAACTAGGGTGTCTGCTCACCTGGTCCCTCAGCCTTCGCTTGTGTGCTGCATTTACACAACTGTGGTCACAAACTGTTGTACCGAATTGAAGAGTTCTGGCTGGAGGAAATTGTGACTGTGAACTGAATTCATACTGTCTGGACCTAGGAGCTTGGAAAGTAAGTTGCCTCTAGAAAGCTTGATGCTTCTCAGGTCAGGCACTGCCTGTTATCCGCTGCTATACAAGCTCATATAAGGTCATACTCTGTCTAAGCTTCTCGCTAGGATGTAGGACACTCAAGCTGTGCAGTCGTCAGCTCCTAATCGTTTTGAGCCTGGTGCTATTTTATACCACTGGACTGTGCTGCCACTCCGCACTGGGACCCCGCGTTGGGGTGCTGTCTGTTTGGAGTTTGGATCTTCCCCCGTTTGTGCAGGTTTGCGCCATGTTCTGCAGTCTCCTCCCACAATTCAGAAAACATACCGGAAGGTTAATTGGCTTTTGGGCAAATCGGTCAGGGTTAACCCTGTCTTGCACTTGTTGCTTGCTGGGATAAGCTCTGGCTTCCCTGCAACCCTTAATGAAAAAAAGCAGTTACAGACTGTCCTGCTTCCTGGAGCCCAGTGAAGCCCCAATGAAAACAGTGGGACTCCGGAGTTCTTGTGCTTATCGGTGACATTAGAGAATGTACAAGTACTATGATTTGATCTGATCTGGAATGTTAGAAACGTTATGGAGTTGCTTTAAGACCAGAAAAACGAATTATTTCTGGTTATTTAACTTAAGAAATGAGCTTTAGATTGATAATTGTAGATCATTTAATGATTTACCAATTTAAACTTGTTATTTTGGTATTTTTTGGAGATACGTTTGGAGTACATATTTTGGTACGTTTGGAGATGCATATTTGTGTTTTTCCTAGTGCCGCATGTAGTTTATATGATTTATTGTTAAATTAATTATTTTTAGCCTAATAGTAAGAAATACATTCGTTATGTCAAATTTGTTCAAGGGTATAATTTGCTAAATGACAATGTTTTCTTAGTTAATTTCCTTGTTGGTCAAAATGTAATAGTTTGTTGCACTTAAACTAAAAATATTATATTTACTAATCATGAAAGGGGCTAAACAGGAGCTTTTTGAATTACAGTACCTTGATTCCAAAGCATTTTATAGCCTGAAGCTTGTTGTTCATCCATATATCTTCTTATATATATATACTAAAGCATATGTATAGAACATGGTTGTACATATCGCTGTTAAATTTAAAATACATTTTAAGATTTCATAGAAGGTTACTGCATTATAACATTTAATCACCTGTGTCTAAGCCTGTCGGGAGTTTTTTCTCCAGATCTTTCACTTTATTTGATTTTTTTTTTTCCACCTGCGGTTCCGTTTAGTATTTCTGTGCGGTTCTCTGTGGTCTGATGTCGGGTTGCTCTCATGCTCTCTCTAGGTGGCAGAGATAAGCGAGGGGGGCCTGTCCTGACGTTTCCTGCGCGCAGCAACCATGACAGAATACGGCAGGAGGATCTCCGCAGGCTCATTTCGTACCTGGCTGGTATACCCAGGTAGAGCCTCCGATTTATATGTACCTTCTCACAGACCAAAGCTAGGAGGTTCAGTTCTTAGTTGCATACCTTGTGATAGCTGTTTGAGAAATTGTCCTAAAACTAAAATAATAAAGTGCAGTATTAGCTTGAGTGATGGAGCCACTGTAAATGGCTCGAGTATGGTTAAATCATTAGAGCGCTGCGGAAATGTGGTAAACATTCATAAGTGGGACTGTTTTGTCATCATAAACGTATGCGTTGTGTGCATATACTTTTGGTTATAAATCAACAAAGATAAGGAGACGAAAATAAGGGTCTTGTTGCTAGCTGTTTTACTGTCGCCCAAGTCTTGGAGAATCTCAGTTTGTGGTGTGTGCACCGCCAGCTGTCTGTCGCGTTAGTGGCGCTGCCTGAAAAGCCGTGTTCAGCCTTTGAATGTAGGTTATCCCCCTCCCACGGGGCAGCAGCCCTCCCATTGCAGAGGAAGGTGACGTGAGTCCGCATGGTTCTGATCCAGAAACTTGCCGCAGTTTAACCTGTGCCAGCAGTCATGCGCAGAGAGGCTGTGCTCTAGAGCACTAAAGCTTCTTAGATTTCAGACATATTTCAATGCTATGCTCTTTAATACTGTTGCCATTAGCATTACTTTATTAAGCACTTGCCAGCTGTTTACGGTAGTATAAAAGTGGTGTCAGCTTGGCTTAGAATTTGACTGTTTTTTTAAGGTTTAAGGAGTAGGCAGTATTTGACGAGTTTTGAGAAAGCAGAATACTTTTGCTGCCTGCTTATTCAGAAAGAGAGGCTGGCTCTCTGTTATTCGGAACATGTGAGGGAAGAGAAGTGTATACAGTCTAAAGTGCTGAAGAGGCACGCGCATCCTGTACAGTGCCTCCTTCCCGGGAGAGCTGGCAGCCAGGAGAAGTGGTTTTGCTCTGAGGCGTAAGCAGAGAAGATGTCCTTTCTTGGAGCTGTTCAGATGGGCTGTCGGGGTAAGCGGAAATCCGAGTTTAGTAATAGATGACTTCTTGTTCAGAGCTCTTTATATCATGAGTCATTCTTGTAAAAAAAAAAAGGTAAAGTATTGAATGAATTACTTGGACTTGATTGTTCCCTGTATGGACAACAAAATAATATGCCACAGTTTTCTATATTCTATATTTTTAAATGTCATTACAGAACATAAAATGCTAACCATTTTTTTTGGGGGGGGTGTGCATGAGAGTAAAATTAACTTTCCTGGATCAGAAATGTAACTGAATATGTATTTTTCTATTCTTCAACTAGCGAGGAGGTATGCAAACAAGGATTCACAGTCATAGTGGACATGCGTGGGTCAAAGTGGGACTCAATTAAGCCTCTTCTAAAGATCCTCCAGGAATCCTTCCCCTGCTGTATTCATGTTGCACTGATTATTAAGCCAGACAACTTTTGGCAGAAGCAGAGAACTAATTTTGGCAGCTCAAAGTTTGAGTTTGAGGTAAGCCCTAATTACTTGTGCTATCAGATGTCCTTTGAAAATCTGAACATCGGTTGAATTGGGGACAAGAACATCTGAAGGATTAATACTCTTAATTTTAGTACATCGCTTATATCCTGCTTAAAATCTAAACATCCACAAGTGTAGTTTTATCTATAAATCATTTATTACAACAGACAATTTCTTGAGCTCAGCTGTTTTGCTTTTTAATAACTTGCTTAGAAACATTGTGTATGAACAAACTGTCCCCAAAATACAGTAATTAGGAATGCATATGTGTAACCAGCAGTATTTAAGAGCTTTGAGCAGGAAGTTGACGACAGCATCATTTAACCATTTTAAGCAGTAAGGGTTTACATTCAGATGCTACTGTTATGCTTATATAGCAGAGAAGGCAACTGGTTTTGAAATGCAACTTACTTTTGCTTATTCTTATATTAAATTCTGCTGTGTATTTCTCTAAATTCTTGTATATTACTAGAAATCATGGATGACTATCACACAAACCAAGTCCTCAATATTGTCAGTTTTTATTTCATATATGCATGTACTCACTTTATCCTTTAGGTTTAGTCACTTTACCGTCATTTTTCCAGACGTATTCCAAGCTTTAAACTACTTGTTGTAGTTATCTTTTAAACTGATACTGTTGACAGTATTGTTTAAAATCTTGAATTGGATTAGCATGTGAACCTTGTAACATATTTTCTGTAGCATAATTAAAACAAAAGATGCATCCACTTTTGCAGTTCAATTTTAACTATAACAAGTGATTATGTAAGTCAAGAATAATAAAATGATGCAATTTATCCATCTAGGTACAGTATTTGCCAGATATTTACTTTTCAAATAGTCACTTTTCCTTCGGTACGATTGTGGTTATTTGTTTCTGGACAATTAACAGTCAGTGGGTTTGACTGCGGATTTATTTTCCTTTTCCCTTTTGTCTGCCTGCAAACAGACAAGCATGGTGTCATTAGAAGGCCTTACCAAAGTAGTCGACCCATCCCAGCTGACCCCAGACTTCGAAGGCAGCTTGGACTATAACCACGAGGAGTGGATTGAGATCCGTGTGGCGTTCGAGGACTTCATCAGCAATGCCACACACATGCTTTCCCGGTTGGAGGAGCTGCAGGAGATTCTGGCCAAAAAGGACTTTCCTCAGGACTTGGAAGGGGCGCGGCGCATGATTGAGGAGCACTCGCAGCTGAAGAAGAAGGTGGTTAAGGCCCCAATCGAGGACCTGGACACTGAGGGACACAAACTCCTGCAGAGGATCCAGGGCAGCGATGGCTTTCCCAATAAGAATGCAGTCACGGCCAACGCAGACATGCAGAGCCTTGTTCCCAAGGTGTCCACCATGCTGGACAAACTGCACTCCACTCGCCAGCATCTGCAACAGATGTGGCACGTCAGGAAACTGAAGCTCGACCAGTGCTTCCAGCTTCGACTCTTCGAGCAAGATGCGGAGAAGGTAATGGCTTCAGTGCTTACCCTCTTTTTGTCTGTGTTATTCATGAATACGAATTTTTTCCTCTTCTCTATATAAAATACCTTTGTCCTAATGCTGGAAGCAGTGTGTTCTTTGCACTAATTTCTGCTGCTGGTGTTTAATTGCAGCAGATTGTCAACAAGTGTCTGGATTTCCTGGTTGTCATTTCATGACATTTTTGTTTTGGGTGGTGAGATATTTTGCATTATGTATGTATGGAATAATTTGTCTTCTAAAGATATGGTGCGACAACATTAAGAAAACCAAAATGTTTAATCTTCAGAACCACACTTTAAAAAGTGCCTAAAATAACTTTATTTTAATTACTCAGACACGTTTACCAGTCCTCTGATAAGTTTTCTTTGATGCCTTAGGTGCAGGTAATTCTTACATTTTTGTGGCATTTTGGCCTATATACAAGTGGATGTTTCCTAAATGCAAAGTAAGCCATTAAGTCCTTTCATTTCTCTAGGTATTTCTGTGCCTCTAAATATGGTCAGAGTACATGCCCAGTCAGGTCAGAATTTCAGAGTCTAGCTGCTTTAGGTGTTGTCTCCACAAGCAGTACACGTCATGTTTTTCTTTCGTCTTATGTAAGTACTCTCTGCAAACATGTTATATTTAATTCTTTTCATTTGTGTAGATGTTTGACTGGATCATGCACAACAAAGGCCTGTTTCTGACGAGTTACACAGAGATTGGAACAAGCCACCCTCACGCAATGGAGCTTCAGACTCAGCACAGTCACTTTGCAATGAATTGCATGGTAAGAAGGAAAAACTGTTTGGTTAGTGCTGATGTTCCTCAGTTAAATTTAGGAATAAGTCTCCTGAGTCATATTTACATAGAATTCTTTGTGACCATCTTTCATGGTTTCTGTTCTGTTGTTGACCAAAAGCAAGAAAGATCTGTGCAAAGACCTTCCTTGACCTTCCTACAAAACCTTTTCTTTTTACACCACTGCATTCATTTGAAGTTTAGAACTGCAAGATGGTTTGCCCAATTAGATGTGTGCTTCAGTACTTCAGTCCTGATTTACCTGGTAGCACCCAATTTTTCTCAGGAAAACATTGTAATGACTGATGGGAATTGGTGCCTTACACACATCTCAATTTAATAGAATTTTGACACTCGCTTAACAGTTTTTACATTCTGATTGTTTTATTTGTACCTGCTTTCACATAGCAATACAGTAGCTCTTGCTAATAATGACACTAATACTGAAGGGTCTTGTGCTTCAGAGTGGGTTCATCACGTGTTGGGGTCTGTATTTTGTCATCTTTTTTTATTGTATCTTAGTTTAATTTAAGTGAAGCCTGTTCAACCTGTTAAATTAGTTGGGCGTGCTATTCGTCATGTAAAGGCACGCTCAGTATAAAGCTCAGGGAGCCTGTGAGGAAAACAAGCTTGTTGAAGAGTAAGAAGGTCTTGTGTTCAAATAACCTGTGGTATTGAGGATCTCTGAATTCACCACACACCCATAAGAAGTTAAGATTTGGCTCCCAGCCATCTTACAGGAGTGTCTCAGCATTATCTAGACAGATTCCATTGTGGGAAAGTTCAATTGGAAGCACTTCTCCCCTCATTCACAGCCCTTCTTTGAGATTTCACTTTTTTTTGTTCCAGTATTAGTGTTGATTTAAATGTAAAGCCTGTTAATTGCACAGGAGTGCCGACAGATATGAAAACATTGCAGGGAGCTAACACTCATATCTGAGCCTGCAGGGTTATAGAATCAGCATGCCTCTACAGGTGTGAGACTGCCCTGTGTGTTTTGCATTTTTAATTCTGGAAAACAATTATCTAATATCATAGTATTCATAAAATTTAGAGGATCTTTTTTAACAAATTGCTTTTTATAAAGGTAAGGCTGCTTGATAAATGGATTATTAAGAAGAGAGGAATTTTAACTTTGATTGCATCGTCTCTGTCAGGCACTGATGCATTTCAGACCTCATGTTACAGCAGAAATATATATTGATTGTCTGTTTTTTCTCCCAAGAGAAGATTGTTTGTCATCTGGAATTTTTGTTTATTTACTCTCTGAAAGTGGAAGCTTGCGGTACATTAAATGTCTGTACATTAAACACTTCTGAAGTGTTCTTTTAAAAAAACAATTAATCCATGAAAGAAAGCTAAACATTGATTGTAGCGCTTCCACTGTCTTGTGGAATGTCACACATCCGTATTTTAGGAATAAGGAGGGCAAAGCTTGACATTTAAAGCTTTGGGAAAGACCACTTTTTTGTTGGAGCTCAGTTTTGATTTCCCACCTTTAAAGGGTGACCAGCTGGGATGGTGACAGGGAATACGTTCTTCTTAAATATCTGTGCTGTGACTGGAGCCAGTCTGTGACGCCAGGGAGCACTGCTGGTCCACCCTGTTGTGCCTCATTGTGGTTTCTGCGTTTGGAATTGGGGAAAAGCCTTTAGAGCCTGACTGGCTTTGCCACCTTATTTCCGCTTGCGTCTTTGTGAGGGATCTGACCACACTGCACTGTGGCTGCCTGCGTTTTCACTTCATTTCCTGTGAAGCAGCATCGTTTCAACATCTGGCCTGTCCTCTGAAATCCTTGCACAGTTATGAATAGTGATAATAACCAGGACTCTCTTGGGTTTTTCCACCAGCATTGTGTTTAGACTACAAATGACGTTTGCCTTCATTTTCATGCAGTTTTTGCACTCAGCTTGTAAATGTAGAAGCAGGGGTTTCTTAATTGTGAACATAATCGGCATAACCCCATACGTTAAACCTGTTTCACTTGGTTGTAATTGAAGTCTACGATTTTTAAGTAAGATTAGGAAAGTAAGTAAAAAAAAAAAGGAAATGCGGATGTTTTGTCTTTTATTTTTAACACATTTAAACATTTTCAGCTGATGTGTTTTCATAAACAAGTTTTTAGCCTTTCATCACAGTGGGAGATAATACAACTTTAGTGCTTATCAAAAAAATATTTCTAGCTCCCATTGGTATCAGAACATGTTTTTATTCTGAATACAAGTATAGCTAAGCCATCCAGACGATATTGGAAGGTTGCTCATTTCTGTTATCACCAAAATCAGACGCCTCTCCTGGAAGTTACGACTGTAAAGCATGACAGATCCCTGGACGGGACACCAGTCCTTCACAGGGCAGGCAGGTACTCCACTCATCCTAGTCAGTGAGCCATCGAAAGGTGGGGAAAAAAAAACAGAGCGCTTGATGTAAAACCCCCAGGAGGAACATGCAAACTTTACAAAAAAAAAAGTTGCACAAGTTCGACATTGAACTCCTGCCTCACAGCTCTTGGGTCTGCAGTGCTAGTTGCTGTGCCACTGTGTCACCCTGTCTGTCAGTCCAATACACGATGCACTGAATCCTATGAAAATATGCTATTACATCAGTTAATTTATTCGTTTAATAATATAATTGCCAATAATAGAAATATCTAAAAGCTACAAGATGTCTATGCTGCAGAGGGGACAGTAAGGTAAGAGCTGTGTAGATTCTGCCAGCAATATTGAAGTTCTCTTCATATTAATAAACTAAATATCTTCATTAAAATATATAATTTGATTGTCTAATCATTTCTATTGCTGGTATCATTTCATATCCTCTTTTGTGTATGTATTTTTTTGTCAGTAGCAGATTTTTGCAGTGTTTCCAAAATAACGGTTAGCTATCAAATGTCAAGCTATTGCTCCTGTATGATCTGTCCATATAGAATATTGTTTATTTCTCGTTTTTTCAAAGCTTAAACCAAGTGTAGTTTCAATTCTCATTTCATGTGGTCTCCCATTGTTATAAATGCAACCTAAATCGGCCTTAGAAGTGTTTTGCGACTTAACTGGTTCTCATACAGTAGGTGTCAGTGGAAACTCAAATGATCCTAATGTGTACCTTAAAGCAGAAACAGAATGTTAGTCACTCACAAAGGCTAGGGTTTTATACTTGAGAAGCCTACAATTATTTGCATCTGGGACTGATGTTTTTCTATATTACCATTTTAAAAATCTTTACTGTTTTTCTGTTTCAGTAAAAGTGTATTGTTTCATTTTTGTAAGAAGTGCTCTTCCCTGACAAAAATCATAAATATGAGCTTATAGTAATTACTTTTCACTAGTCCCGTCGTATAAAAGCAAGGCTCAATCACTATGCAGTACAGATGGAATACCTTACTTCAGGAAATTTTGCTGAAGTGTCAGATTAAAACAGTGCTTCTATGGGAAACATTTTTCATTTTAATTTGAAATTTGGAAATGAAGAACCATGTTTTGCTATCGTAATAAGTAGTAATTTAATACTGCCCTATTTATATATACAGACAGAAAATAAAATTAATTTGTGTTTGACCATGCATGGCTATCTGCTCAGAACAGCTTTACTCATTAAAATGAGGGAGATGAAAGTCATTTCTACATGGAGAAAGTGTGCTGCATATTCATGTTACTAAAGCAGAAATGCAATGTTTAAAGTAGATTTTAATGCTGCCCTCCTATTTGATAGATCAAGAAAATTAACTTTTTTTATATTTCTATGCTCATGTTTAAGTATTTTTTCACTAATCTTACAAAAGCAAGTGGTGGGTGATAATTCAAAGTAGGTCATAAGTGTAAGTTTTTGAAATTAGAACAAGCACAAAGCTTTGATTTCATATCTCCTTTGTGAGTTATTCCAAAAGGACATTAGGATTAATTTCATATCAGAATTCAGTTTCTGTTTCATTGGTGAAAATTAACTCATGTCTGATTATCAAGAAACTTCATGAAAAGTGTCCTCATTTTTTTTGTTTTTGATGTGGGGAGTTCTGTGATCGCGCGAAAGAGGGAGTTTTGTGAATGGCAGTAGACAAGTCAGTGTTTGGTTGCACGGTTTCATTTGTTTTTAAAATTCATACAATAGGGATATGTGCAAGAATGTTATACTATGTTGACTTATTGTAAAAATGGAATCTCAATCAAGAGAAAATCACTTTTAAAAGTATGTAGTATTTTAGGTCCTACATCACAATCCTGATCAATATCAAATGCAGTTATTAGACAATAGATATATGAATTGAGAAATGGATCAAAGTAAAGATGAAAATAGAAAACTTCAACTATTACACTACTGCATTTGTGACTTTTAGGAGAGTTATAAATGTGATATTGTGGTGCAAAAGCTCCTACCAGTCTTCCACTAGATGGTTAAATGCCAGAGATCCATCTTGGACTTTTGGATCTTGGATCCATCTATTTCAAATTCAATAAAATATTGTTGGCAGTGTTTTAACAACCCTGTGGATGTCTTAATATGTTGCTAAGGTTTAAACACCTGTGTTTTCACATTGCACTAACGAGAGGTGTACAGTGTTTGTTCTGTAGAGGATATTGCTTTTTCTTAAATGTAACCATTACATTCACGGTCATGAATTGTTAGAACCTTCGCTCTATGGGGGGGGGGGGGAAAACTAAATAGGTAAAACCTGGAAAAAACATTTTACTATTTGAATACATGATTATTGGTTCTGTAGCATAATTAGACTTGACTATGGCTTAGATTTTTTTTTCAAGACACTTGAATGAGTATTTTCTGCTCTTGGGGAAATTAACTCATTTTGTGCACCAAATAAAATGCTTTATTTCATATGGCTTTAGTTGAAGGAATATTTTTCTGTTTATTCTGATTTTCCAAGTTTTTAATTCATATTTTAAATTAATACTAATATAAAACAATATCAGCTTACATCTTTCAGCAGATGTGTTAAAAAAGCATTTAACAAATTCAAAATTTTAGGTTGAGTTTATTTTTCTGTCCAGTACAGTGAGAACTGTCATTCTGTAGTAAATGCAGAAAAATAATTTAAAAACCGTTAGTTACATAAAGAGGTGCAGAATGGCACAGTGCAGCCCAGTGTGCATGTTATTGTGAACTCATCCTGCACTGCTCACGTGACTCGCTCTGTGCTCAGACAGCAGTAAGCCTGTTGACTGCTGTGCTGTGGTCAAAGAAATTCTGGGCATGTGGTGGAGCTGGAATGCCACATGGGTGTAGCTGAGTTTTGCTTTAGGGACAAAAAAAACAGTGCATTTGGCTTGTGCTGGAAACTCTGGAGCACATTTACTGAACTTTTGCTCTGAGGATTTTTTTTTGGTTTTAAGATGCATTAAGAGCTAAAGTGACTGTCTATATGTGTGTGAATGTATGTATTCTGAACCTTTACTAGAGAAGAAATTTATACATAGAACAGGTCTCTGAAATTGTTTCAAAATGGTACTAGGGCTTAAACTGTCTTGAGCAACTAACCTACAGTAAATTTCAACTTGATATTTTAGTTTTTGTTACAGACAAATGCATTCCTAATTATACATTTTGTATATCTTTTAAAATAGTGTTATACAGTATCAAATTGTTCTTATGAATGGTACAAAAGAATACACTTTTGAACAGTTACTTGGAGCATTGAATGGTAACTCAAATACTGGTCATCAGGCGAGTTTTCAATTATACTTAGATAATTACAATACTGTGTATTGTAGTTGCTGTGCTACCTGTGATCTTCAACTTGAAATTGGTAATCAGCAGTCCTGAATCAGACTTTGTACACTCAGTCAGTCTTATTTCTGGCAAAGGAGTTATTACTTGGAACTGATTTGTCACTTCAATTTATTTGCACCAGATTGTTTTTTAACCTGAGACGTATGTTTTAGTTTAACAGCAGATAACAGTATGTCCTATCACAGAACCTGATTTGCTTGTCATCAAAGATACTGTTGAAGCAGAAATTTCTGGAAGGGAGAGCCATGTACTTTGTAGTTAGCACATTGAGGTGGGACTCAGGGAAATAAACACTCAGAAAGGAGGTAATACAACTCAAGTAACTTTCTTGACGGAGAGTTGCTGATGAATATTTGTTTTAAAAATAAACACTTAACCTTGAGAAAATTAATGTGTTTTTAGTGAATAAAATAGATTTATTTATAAAATAGAATACCTCAAGGCTTTTTTTTAGGCGAAAGTCAACACTGGGAAGTTATGTTTATTTTTTAAGCGACTCTCTTCCTTACACAAACAGCTTATTGGTTTTACAGCATCTTGTAGGTATAGCTGGTGCCCGTCTGTTTGACCAAGCCACATGGACCCCTGCTGGTATTTTTCTTCCGTCTCTCTCCCTGCAGAATGTCTATGTCAATATTAACCGGATCGTGTCGGTGGGCAGCCGCCTGCTGGAGTCGGGTCATTACGCCTCCCAGCAGATCAAGCAGATCTCCAGCCAGCTGGAGCAGGAGTGGAAGGCGTTTGCAGCAGCTCTGGATGAGCGCAGCACTTTGCTTGACATGTCTGCAGTCTTTCACCAAAAAACTGAGCAGGTGAGGAAACATGCCATCTACTTGTTCCCTTATTTTCGTCGGCAGTGGAAGGAACAAGTGGATGGTAATTTCACTGCTGAAATGAAAGATGCTTTCTTTAGGGGCTGTTTTTGTCTTACGTTTTCAAAGTTATCAACTGTGGCTTGCTCCTTTGTAGCTTCCTGCTCTTAACATCTTTAGGGATAGATTGAAAAAAGCTGACTTACTAAAAAAAAACTCTTACTAAACTTTACTAACATGAATTAGCTCGTACAGTGTTGGAGATAAACAACACTTATGTTTTAGTGCAAATCAATTCTTTTGATTTTGGGAAAACGTTTTTTGACAGTTCATCCTTCTTGCACGAGGTTCTCTGACCTTATCTTGGGAAGGTGTACTTAAATTTTAGTGGCAATTAATTAAGGAAGCTCAGGTAATGTAGTTTTTTGTGGTTTTGTTCTGTGGACAAGTTGAACCTGTGTTTGGGCTACGCGATGGCATCTTTGCGCAGCCAGAGCTGTGCACGGTATGCTGGGGTATTGCTGTAGGTAGAACAGGTTGATCTTTCGGAGGTATTTGAACCCATGGCTGCAGAAATGGCTTCATGGCCATTCTACATAAGCAGCCTTCACCATCACCCTTTCCAAGAAGAGCCCCCTTTCCTGGAAGAGCATTGCAGATCCTCCCAGTCTGTGGTAATGTGTCCTGAGGCTGTGCTTTGTCCACTTCCTGCAGTACATGAACAATGTGGATTCCTGGTGTAAAGCCTGTGGGGAGCTGGACCTGCCATCTGAACTACAGGACCTTGAAGACGCCATCCACCACCATCAGGGCCTGTATGATCACATCACAGCGGCTTACTCCGAGGTACACTGTCTGGTTCTGACTAGGCACTGATTCACTGAATGCATATGAATAGTATTATTATATTTAACTTTGTGTTAGAAGAGGTCAAGGTGTATTCCACGCTGAAAGGAAAAGAAATGAGACAGTGTTTCAACTGAGGAGCCTTCTCCGGGAGTGGCCCCTGAAGGATGACACCTGAAGAAGGCTCTACAGCCAAACCTCTTTTCCTTTCAGCGTGGAATAACACGTAACCTATTCCTTTACAGCCTGTGCATGCTGAAGCAGCTACCTATTTGTATATCTTTATATATACACAAAACTGATTCTTATTAAAAAAATAGAACAATATTTTGACACATACAGCCATCATGAGGATCTCTTTGCTCACCGAACATGCAGGTCAGCCAAGACGGGAAAGCGCTGCTGGATAAACTACAGCGACCTCTGACCCCTGGGAGTGCAGACTCATTAACGGCCTCGGCTAATTACTCTAAGGCAGTGCACCACGTGCTGGACATCATCCACGAGGTTCTGCACCACCAGAGGCAGCTGGAGAACATCTGGCAGCACCGCAAAGTCCGCCTCCACCAGCGTCTGCAGCTGTGTGTCTTTCAGCAGGACGTCCAGCAGGTCTGTGAGCCTCGCTCCTGCCCCCGTTGTGGCCGCAGAACGCGCATGGTGCTCTTCGTCACGAGCAAGCTCCTCACAGCACCTCAGGATTCCCAGCTGACGTTTCGACCGCAAATAGAAAACTGTCAGCTGCTGAATCATGTAACTGTATTGATCAGTCTAGATGATAAGAACCAGCTCACTTTCACAAGACAAACCCTGTTCCTTTTCCTAGTGATGATCATGATTTCATCACTAAAAGCTCAATGTAAAGACCATCTGAATATTTGCAATTCTGATGTAGAGGTATTCCGTGTGCAGTTAGTGTAAAGGCTGAATGCAACACGTCTCTGAATGCTGTAATGAGGAAAGGAGTTAAATGCACTAGTGGTGAACCTTTTGCAACCACTGGTATTGCATTGTCTTTGCTGGGAAGATATTTTGGCTTTGATATTTTTAGTCTTTCCTTTTGCTGATTACTTTGTGGGATGAAAATAATAAATTTGGCATAAGCAAATAAGTCGGTCTTCAAAACAACTAGGACAAAACAGCAAATGAGTGTGTACTGGACTGTAAATGAAATAACTCCCAGAAATAGAAAAATAGCACATTAATTGAGTAATATAAAATTAAAATGAAAGTATTCATAATCAGTTTAAAACCTGCTTTTGAACTACAGTGGAGTGCACCTTATTCCAGTACATTGCTCAGAGCTCAAATAAGCTTCATGATTTAGTGTTTTGCCTTTTTGTCTCTGCTCTTCAGTGCAGGTTTATTACTCTGCGCTAATAAGTGTCTAATTAGTAGTGGGCATGTAGGCTCTTTCAAACTCTTAAAATTGCTTTCACTGTCATTCCAAAAGCATATTCTTTGTGAGTTGCACAGACTGATTAGGAGAAGGTTTTAGTTACTCCTTCCTCGTGCCTCAGGGTATTCTGAGTGTTGCGAGATCTACCCATAATCTAGGTAACTGTTGCCATGGTAATCCTATTCATTGCCATGTAAGATGCGTGTTATTCTGTATGTATCATACAATGCATAAATTGAGATAGCTTTCAGACTACCTAGGATATACTGAAACATCTAGGAAGGAAATTTGACTGCAGCAGTGAATATGTAGGAAAAAGCCTCACAATAGCACCTTTATTTTGTTACTTCATTAAAAATACAGCAATTGAGCAATGAAACCAATAACATTGTTTTGTTTTCATGACTCATTGAATATTTCATTTTCCTAGCACCTAGGGTGTCTTAGGTTGAAAACCTGTTCAGTATACCATGATGCATTAACAAATTTTCATACTTGTGAACTTGGCCTTTTTTTAGAACATCTGGTTATTTCTAAAATTTTAGTCAGATTTCAGCTGATAGATTTAATTGTAAGGGCACTATAGGATTTTTCATGTGTGATTGCATCATGAAAGCTGCACTATAGAAAAAGAACCTCAAATGTCTACAATTACACCTGCCTTTGTGTATAAATATGAAAGAATTAAAAATGTCAGGGTCTAATATGTGTATGTAGCACTAATTTGCTCATTGTGCTTTTTATTTATGGATCCACTTTTGTTCTTCTCATTCACATGTATATTTCAGGTCGGCTTTAAATTAAAAATATCTTATTTTAAAGAAATGTGACGGTGTTGCAGCTGAACTCGCTTCCCCTTTAGTGTTCTGGGATGAATGACCATATTGAGTGTCTTCCTCTGCTTGAAGCACCACCTGGTGGTGCAGTGATATGCATTTCCATTCTTCAGTAGCACTGTGGAGAATTGATGGTGTTAGAGTTGAGCAGATTTAAAGTGGTCTCCGGTGTGACAGTTTGTGTTGCTTTTCTGATGGTTCAGGTTCTGGACTGGATTGAAAATCATGGAGAGGCTTTCTTGAGCAAGCACACTGGGGTGGGCAAGTCCCTGCACAGGGCTAGGGCTCTGCAGAAGCGGCACGAAGACTTTGAGGAAGTGGCCCAGGTAACCTACGTGCTGACAAGGATCACGTTGCCTTCTTTCTGTTGTTGCTGTGGCTCTAAGACCGCAGTTCCTTTTTTAAATGATAATACATTAAAACTCACTGCACCTGTGTAGGCCGAGCATTAAATGCATTATTGAAATTAACGTAAGAAATCTCCCATGGTGAATGCAGTAAATCCTTGCTTAAGGTAAGTCTTTTCATTTCTGCATTTGAATTTTATCTTTATTGATTTCACCTGTCTTTATCCACCATGGCAGATGAAAAGCAATCAGCTATTGATTAGGTGGTTTACAGGATTTGGAACCATTACAGTTACAAGGCTTTTATGCTTTCAGTAATATTTAACTTCCAGCACCTTCATGATTTATTGTAGGAGTTTGTGGTTTTACTTATCAACTTACTTTTTTCCCCATACATTTTTGTATGTAAAATATATTTATTTAGATAATTACATATTGACAGACGTGTTCTAGGAAACAAAGGTGGTGGAGATATGCTTTGTTGCAGATTTTTAAAAGGTGAAAATAAGTCTGTTCTGAAAATTAAGTATGTCAAGATTCAAAATGTAATTGACTCCTGGAGTAACATTTCTGGATATCTGTCTAACATCAAACATGAAAGAAATGGATCCAAAGATCAGCATGAATTTATTTGCATTATGCATTTGTGGTCGTCTGAATGAAGTGATGATGTGAAATTGTGCGATAGCATAAGGGATTTCAAACATTTGAAATATTGAGATTCTGTTATAAGTATTAATAATTGTGGAATTATTGCCATGTTTTCTAACTTGTGTGCCTTCCTTGTTCTCAGAACACCTACACCAATGCCGACAAACTGCTGGAGGCAGCAGAGCAGCTGGCGCAGACAGGGGAGTGTGACCCGGAGGAGATCTACCAGGCTGCCCACCAGCTGGAGGACCGCATCCAGGACTTTGTGAGAAGGGTGGAGCAGCGCAAGGTGCTGCTGGACATGTCTGTCTCCTTCCACACTCACGTCAAAGAGGTAATGCTCAGTCTGGACCTGTGTGGGGTAGCACACATCTTGTCATGGTTGTTGAGATATAGCCTTTGAATTGTGTGTGTACAGATATATGATAGTGTAATTTCATAGTGTGGTTTAGGCCGCAACAGACTCGTATTCTCACATGACTACTTGCAGTCAATAATTGAGCTTGTTTTCTATAAGTGTAGGAATTGCACTTGGATGAGTCATCTTGGCAAATGCACATGCTGTATTATGTACTGTTTAGAATTTACTGCATCATTTGTTATTGCTTCTAGTTGCCTTAATTATCTTTCCTTGCACTCAGGTATTTCTGAAAAATTGGAAGCAATTGTAGCTGACTATCATTGCTATGCCATGCATTTATGATAAGGAAATTGCATTGTGCTGTTAAGATGTGTGATTTCACTGCAGCCTTCAAACAGATATTAGGAGTATGAAGACCAACCAAGGCAAAGATGACAGGATAGGCAGTGGTGTAAGAAAAGAGCACCCCCAGATATGTTGCTGCTAGTGGAACTGTCTTACCATGGCTGTCTGTATTGGCTGGCAGAGCCACAGTGTTAGTGCAGGAGGATGGAAGGTCATTTCCTAAAGGAAACACACCTTACCTCTGCTTTCACAGCTTAAATTCACCAGGACTGGGGAATTGTATGTGCGGATCTAAACTCAATTTTTTCCATAATGTTCTTTCAACAGAGCAGTAAGTCAAGATATGTTTGTTTGATATCAAGTTCTGTGTGTTTTCTTAACTCATGTTTTGAATTATTCGTATGCCTGTATATTTGCTTTAGTTTTACTGCGCCTTCTGCCTTTTTGCTTCCTGCACGTGATTTCCTATCTGAAACAATAGGCAATTCTGTACTGTAGTTTAAGGGACCCATTTCATGAATGCTTTCTGTATGCTTAACAGATGTTACCCAGCATAAATTGAAGATGTTTAAAATATTGTGCTTCATAATAGTATCATATGAACACAATTCCATGTTCTATTTGTTCGTTTGTGGAAATTGTTTCCCTTAAAGATAAAACTAACTTGTGAGTATTTGCTAGCAAGGTGGAAAAAAGCAGAACTACCAATGTTGAGAATTAAGCCACTATCATTCCTCTGTCGTGTCTTGATTCAGCTGTGGTGACCCAGCATTGGCACCACAGTAATGACTGAATCTAATACTGCTACTAATAATAGAGAAAATATGATATTTATAAGAATGAAAGAAAATTTGCTACAGGTTTGGGCTAAGTGGTGGTCAGGTCAACTATGTAATGGTCATGTAGTTCTTCTCCGGTCGTTCTTTTATGCTCATGATAGCCGAGTGACCTTCTATTATTTGGAACCTTTTGTGGGGAAAATTAGGAAAACCACGTTTCTGTCTCATACTGGAGTTGTAGCTTGTTAAAAACATCTTTTTGAGTGGCTATTATCCTAAATTATGTAATTTCTCTTATTTTGAAAGAAATGACATTTAAAAATCTTAAAACTTAAAAAACTGCTTATTTTTCTCCATAAGTTATTAGAATACACTTTTAATTCAAACCGAATTAAAGTTGCTTCACAAAGTGAATGTTACGACTTTTGTTTTGACGTTTTCTAACTTACTCTCAGGGGCAATTACTTTTTCCTGTCTGTAAAATTGTCTTGATAACATGGAATCAGAGAGCAAAAAGTGTAACATACTTTAATTCGTTTTTTAAATCTGAAATAGATACCCCCTGTCACCACCATTTGTGTGATCCAAACTCAAATCCCGTACTGACTCAGCTCTAAAAGAGCCAGATTTCTCTTGGTCTGCAAACATCATTGTAATAGGAAATCTTTCCAGGCTCTCTACTATTAACGTATAAATGTATGAAAGTGCTAGAACTAACTCCATTTGTGTTCTTGATGTTCTAACCTTCAACGTGTAAATTTTAATACATTAATTTTAAAGATGTTTGTTTCTCAGCTCTGGAATAGGATACATCTTTTTAAATTGCTATTGTAAACTAAATGCAGGAAAAAATATGTACTTTTATGAATCCTAATTTTTTAATATAATTATTTCTGAGTGTGTACATATTGTGAAAATAATAGCATGCTCAGTCTTGAATTATCCTAATTTTAAAAGGATGATGATAATGATTTAGTACTTTTCATGATGTAAAACATCAAGTGATGAATGTAAATTCACAAACCAACGATTCATTGCCCAGCCCTCTGGAGAACCTTGAAGTATCGTTTTAATACCGGAAATTGCATAGATAAGATTTCAGAATGTAAGAAAAACAAAAAATGGAATAGTTCTTCTCTGGAGAGGAAACAAAACTATTTCTTTTCTTAATGATGTAGCAGGAAAAAAACAGAGGCTGTGCCGAATTGATTTTGCCATGTTGCCCGAGCTTCCCGGTCTTGATGAGCTCCCTGACTCTCGCCTCTAGCTGTGGACCTGGCTGGAGGAGCTTCAGAAGGAGCTGCTGGATGATGTGTACGCCGAGTCAGTGGAGGCTGTGCAGGACCTGATCAAGCGCTTCGGGCAGCAGAAACAGACGACACTGCAGGTCACTGTCAACGTCATCAAGGAAGGGGAAGACCTCATTCAGCAGCTGAGGTGGGGGACAGAAGCTTTGCGAGTTTCCGTCAGTTAAACCAACCAGCAGGCTAGCACCCACACGGCAGGCCTGGAAATCTCCCTGTGCCCAGTGATTTATCTTCATCCTGTTCAATTAAATAAAAAAGCTACTAGAATTATTATAAAGTTGTTAATTGTAGAAAGGGATATCATTGTGGAAGCAGTAGAAACAGCACTGTGGAGTTGTGGATAGGTGCTCTGGACTCCAGGGTACCCAGGCAGGCTTGCGGGCTCCAGTCTCAGGCAGGATGCTGCTGCTGTTGTATGTGTGAGCAAGGTATTTCAGTCAGATTGCCCCAGTAAGTACCCTACTGTATTAATGGATCTCTCACCCATAGTTCTCAATGCTAATTGGTTCTCTTTTAATTTAAATGTCCAGCTGAAATTGATACAAATACATTAATAATACTGACAATGGTATAGGTTATTTTTATTAACAGCTTCACCAACAGGAAACTGCTATTAGCAAGGCTAATGCATAACAGGACAGAGCCTTCAGAATAGTCATTAAGGCTGCTTTGCTCAGCTCTTGCTAGTCATTGTTTTGGTCTGTGGTGTTTATCCATCTGCCTAATATTACTGTTCTTTTTTTTTTTTAAAAGATTGATGAATTGATTAAAAAGTAAATGCACTGTGACGGTATTGGTTAGGTGTTTCACATATCTAAAATTTAAATACTGCTGCATATAACACTTAATTCCTTTTTGGCTGTGTGTGCTGTAGGATTAGAAACTAAATTGGTTGTTGTGTTGAACTGAATCCTAGCATCGAGGAAGTTCAGATGTAAAGGTCACAATGGGAAGGGTTAAGAATGTGGCTTTTTACACATGAAGTGAATTTTTGCCCAAAGGTGGATGTCTAATTAAAAAGGCCACAGTAAGAGAGAGGGTAGATCATTAGAAGGATGAAAATTGAGAAACCCATTCCCCTTTATATATGCACACTCCATGACATCTGAAAATGTAAATGAGCTTCTTCTGTGACTGCTTGGAAGAGGTTTGGCCAACAATTGACAAAACCTTCTCCATCTGGAGAATCTGCAGAATAGAGTTTCATTCTATTCTGTCAGAAATTATTTTATTAGTAGCCGTTTTGTCCTTTTACTTTGCAGTCACTTATATATGGCTTTTATAGTCACCATGAACATCTTAAATTTACTACAATACGGGAATTTTAAAAGTTGTCCAAAATCAACTAGGGTTTTAAGGAATGTGCCACTTATATTGCGAGGACTATTTATTCAGATTGCACTTCAATTTTGAAGTTCACTTAAAGATTCTTGTCAGTATGCTCCCACATCTAACCCTTCCAGCCAACAGAGGAGGTAATTGTGAATGTGGTTCTTGATAAGCTTCCTGAATTGTCTGCAAGATGCCTCTTAAAATACTTCTAGTCAGTGTAGAATGTTATGCTCTCAAGCCTAGACTTGTTTAATTACTTGTAAGCCTGTTAGGAAGTTCTCTATTAGCTCTGAACTTTACCCTCATGTACTACCCATTCTTTATTGTGTATTAGCGCACTCACTGACTGTGCAATCACCCTGCCGATTTGTATTTGTTAGGGTTCCTTCTCTGAGCTGGTATTTTGTTAATATCTTTCAGGGACTCGGCAATTTCAAGTAACAAGACTCCCCACAACAGCTCGATCAACCACATCGAGAGCGTCCTGCAGCAGCTGGATGAGGCCCAGGCCCAGATGGAGGAGCTCTTCCAGGAGCGCAAGATCAAGCTCGAGCTCTTCCTGCAGCTCCGTGTCTTCGAGAGAGATGCCATTGATGTACGTTTCATTCATTCTTCGGGGTTCAGCTTGGAGTCAGGCCTCTTTAGGGGAGGACGTTTCGGGAGTCCTTGCAGGTTGCTTTTCCCAGGTCTTTCATTGTTCTTTTTGCATCACCTTCTGTGATGGAGTCATTCATAGTCATACCATTGATTGCTTCGTCTTGGGGTGTGAATCTGGCATGGTGCTGATATTGCTGGTGCTCCCTCTGCATTAAAGGTATCTTAGGGAGGGAGTTTCATCTAGCATCTGGAGCTGCAGTCCAAAGCTGTGTTTATTTGTCCGTGGTGATGTCTAAGTGGTTCTACAGGTTGTCATGGTAAATTAGAATTTGGTCTTTAGTTCTGAGTTTCCTTATTTTGTTTAATAAAGGATTAATTTAGATAAATATTAATATAGAAGTTTTATAGTTGAGTGAAATGATTCTTTGAAATGCTTTTAGGTGGAAAACATTAAAGGGCATTACTGATTTTTTTGAAGTCATGTTAATTTCTAATGAAAGCTATTGATTCTATCTTGGCAATAAATTCAATCCTTTTCATCTTCTGCCAAGAGAATACTGCAAAGAGAATACAAATGCCCAGCTGATATTATAATGATATAATAAATGGAGGTTCTATGTTCTATGGTTCTATTTCTGCAATTTCCCTCACAGGATCAATAAAGTATCTATCTATCTCTATGTGTGTTGGGATTGAGGAATGAGGGTCGAAGAGTTTTCTCCCCTAATCTAGCAGCACACAGGGCATAGGTGAGGCATGTGGTGTTCATCATGCTCAATTCATGTTCAGATGAGTTCAGAGCGATTCTCTTATGAGGGCAAGAAAGAGGCCAAAATGAGAACAATTTTGGATGAAAGTTACATTGTTGCTGAGAAATAATAACAACTAAGACATAATACTTTCAAATGGCTATCTTATTAACTGTGAAGTTGAGAAGTTTGGATAAAGGGAGTTTTGTTTTTAATTAGAAATAGAGATTAAAGAAGTTGTTTAAATGGTTCTTCTCTCTGTGGTTACTCAGTGAGACTAGGCAGGCAGCTCACGTAACAAGGAGGTGAAACTTCCTTTTTCTAGAAGGATAAACGCCTCAGTGTGGATTTTGCCATTAACAATTAACCTGTAGATCAACTTAAGGAGTTTCCTATTGGAATCAGCCAGCACCTTATAGGACAGTTGCAAACTGCCAGGGAGAAGACTTGCCACTGTCATCGCCCATTCTTGTCACCAAAGAACGACTTAAGAAGGAATGCTCTTCCCAACAAGAGGAATTTATTCTTCTCTCCAGCTTCAGTACCAGCACTGGAAGGAAAGATTAACAAAAAGGGGAAAAAGACAACTCCAGTGGCATCGGCCACCTTTCCACCCCGTTTAGCCAGAAGAACAAGTACAGCACATCATCCCACTGGATCAACTGTTGCAAACACTGTGGATGGAGGAGTAGCGTTTAAGAATCTAAGCATCCAATCAGCTTTCTTCCACCAGCATGGAAAGACAACTTTCAACAAACAGCAGTAGGAACGCCTCAGCAGGTCTTGGCGTTGCTCTCCGGCTTCCTGTTTGGATATCCAGCTCCAGAGCAGACTTTCCTTTATCTCAGTCATGGCATGTGCTCAAGAGGGTGGCAGAGACACTGCTCCCAAGGTGTCCTGAGGGCCAGTGTGAAGCACAGCATTGCCACCAGCTTCTGCTCAAGGCTTGACAACAGCAACAGCAAGATGAGATGGAGTCGGAGTTGTGAACACCATTAGCAAACAAGGACCATCAGTTCGACTGAGAAACGCGTGCAGACTGCGGCAGCCTCTACCCGATAGCTCTCATGACCCCTGTCTGGGCTCAGACTTGGGGCTATCATGGAAGGCAGGCATCCTCGACTGCAGGGGATGCCAAGAGAGTTTTTGTCCCATTAAGATTAGTATATCGTCCTGGGGAACACGCATGTTTTCATATAAAGGTATCCTTATGTTCCAATACATTTTAAACTTCACTTTGCATCAGTTGGTTATTCACTCAGAAGCCAAAATAACGATTTATGTCTATCCAGATGTATAGATGCAGTGCTTGGCACTGTTTAATATTTTTAAGAACAATAAAACTTTCTCTCGTCCAGTTTGTGCTGCGAATCATGTCTTCAGCTGCTGCTATTTCTGAAGGTTTTGAGTCTCATAATTTCAGTCTGAAGAAGTTAATTCTTTGTTTAAGTGAAATTCTGTTTTGAAAGAAGACATTGATTGGCTTTGACAGACCAAGTCAGTGTGCTGCCCACATTGGCATTGTACTGAGACTGCTCAGCCAGTTTGTTGTGGGTAGTGCTCTCACCCAGTGGGAACTGCTGGAGCAAAATTAGCTGAATTCTGTTTGGATTACAATAACATCTTGCTTCCATTTTCTTTGTTAGTGTAGTGCAAATCAAGACAGAATCTTGTGGTCTGCTGTTGATTTTGTGGTTTCATGAACTGGACTATTGCTGCGGAATTACATAAAGTTGCATGCAGTTTTATCAAAATATTAAATAAATCTACGCAATGAGGATATTATGGTGTTTTACTTTAGCTTAGCCCAAGACGGATGTCTTTTTGTCTTTTGCAGGGTTTTTCAATTGGCAAACTGCCAGTGATACATTTCAGGCTATCACAATATGAGTTCAGAAATGATTGGTTACAATTAGAAGAATTAAAACTTCCATCACGGAATCATGCCTTACTTTAGAGGTGCAAGGTTCAGTTGAATGTGAGACAGACTGTAGTTAAATAATGTTTTGCTTTATATTCTGTATCATTTTGAATAAAATAATCATAAACACTTATTAATAAATTAGCTAATGGTAACATTTCAATAATATTATAAGTATGTGTAGCATATCATAAAAAGGGTCATTCCCGATCCTCAATCAGTTTTAAATTGGGCTTTTGTTGTACTACTTTTCAAGGCTTTTATAAAAAACAATTCCTACTCTTGAGATAATTTGTTGTATATTGTTTTCTTTTGCTGTTATTGATCTACTTACTAAATTAATGATGATGCTGTTTGTACCAATAATTTATTTATAATTGTATAAAGCTGCAAAGAATCAACTATTAGTGCTCTAAAATACAATGGTACATTATTTTTTTATCCGTTTTGCATATCAGTTGCAAGAGAAACCGTTTTAGATTAAACACAATTTTTAAAAATAAAATGTAAAGCTTAATTAGGTAAAATTAACACGGTAAGCACCATTTCATAGTTTTGGCAAATGCTATACTATATCATTGGTGTTTATTGTAGAGATCTATCTTTTATGAATTGTAGCATGTCAATACAAGTTGACAATGCCAGTGATTCAGCCACTTACAATTGTAGTCAGAAATTCCAAATCATCTAGTTGCTACATCAAATTCCTTGCTAATTACTGATTGAATTGTTGATAGTGTTGCACACAAAGCAGGACAAGGTCTTGCTATCTCTGCCACCCTGTACATTAGCACACAGTGCCATGTCGAAAGAATCCAGTCTTTCAGAGCACAAAGTGCTTTAGAAATGGAGCAGTGACACTGCAGAGATGCAGCTCATTAGGCCTGGATGCAATCAGGCTATTATTTTCTTTCCATATTGTACCCAAAGAAGATATCAAGTATATCTTGTATTATAGCTTTATAGAAAAATGTAATCTTGATTTATATTTTTTTTCATGTTATTTTTAAGAATGCTTTTATAGAATACAGTAACTTTTTGCTATGTAAAGTATGTAGACAGAGCTAAATAAATATAGTATCTTCTAATAGTTTTCCATATCTTTTTTGTTACTTTGATATTTGTAACTTTTTGTTTCTAGATAGATGGAATGTATGTATTTTGTTCTTGAATACATAATTATTTGGCTAATCTGCCATTGTGCCTATTGTAAGGTTTTACTAAAAAAATGTAAAGGCAGTTGTTTTTCTGCTTTAATGGTCACGTAGAATTTGAGATTATAATATGTAGTCACCACATAACTGCATTGACATTAAAGATGCATGCAGCTGTTCTGATCCTTGAATAGAACCTAAGACTGTAAAATCACCTTGAGAATTGAGCTCTGTTTGCTTCATAATGCAAATGACCCGCTCTAAATTCTTCAGCAGAAAGTTGTGAGCCAGAAACAAAAATTAGAATATTGGCTGTGATGTGCAGAGCTTGATATTTTTTCTACCAGGAAGGCAGAATAAAGGTGTGATTCACACTTCAGCTTGCGGGGTCAGTCAGTTAGAACGTTTTAAAAGTGTATTTACTGACGCGTTTGTCATCACATGCCTGAGATCCACAGGTGGAACCAGATGCCCTTTTCATCTCATTTTCCAACTCTTGGGTTTAAGTAGAAGGTTATTTCAAGTGAAGCTTGTTCCGAATAACAAAGATGATCCTGGGCTGTACAGGCAGCCTTGTGACCCTAAATGCTTTGTCTTGAAGATAATCTCTGACCTGGAGTCGTGGAACGATGAGCTGTCCCAGCAGATGAATGACTTTGACACGGAGGACCTGACTCTGGCTGAGCAGAGGCTGCAGCATCATGCTGACAAGGCCCTGACCATGAACAATCTGACCTTCGACGTCATCCACCAGGGTCAAGAGCTCCTGCAGTACGTCAATGAGGTTCAGACTTCAGGTAAAATCTCACCACACACATTGAACTCTGTGTATATATATATGCTGATTTTTTTTTTCATCATTTAGTATGATGATACTAATGCTGAATCCTAATTAATAATTTGGGGAGGTGATTGAAAACAACATAGAACGCAATTTATATTCTAGCTGGTCCTAAGTGTATTTAAAAAAGACAAACATTGAGATATTCACAGCATTTGAAATAGTGTCCCAAGTCCATGGGTCATTTGCAGACTAGTACATAATGGCTTCTATTATTGATGACCAGAACATTTATAGAATGGCTTGGAAGCCCAGTATTTGAGCACCAGAGAATGAGTCCAGAAAATACTAAATTAGAAACTCAACCTTTAGTACAGCAAAACTGTTTTCTTTTCATAAAGGGAGAGACTATTTTCGTTCTGGCTTGAGTTTAATAAATACTATTGTGTTCTAGTCATCAGCTGTTCTATATCAGTAATGCTACATAGTACAATGTTTCTGCACTAGTTGTTTTGAGTTGTGTAGCTGCATGCAGTTTGCTACTGTTATTGAATGTCTGTTAGTCTTTTGAAAGTGCATTCTATAACTATTCCTTTACATTATCTGGAGTCTTTAATTTCATAAAAGGATAAAGTCTATGCTGGATATTTCTGGGATTGTGGAGGATTATACACATTCCTATTGTTGCAAGAAAAAGTTTGTGAACCCTTTGGAATTACCTGGATTTCTGCATTACTCATAAAAATGTGGTCTCATCTTCAACTAAGTCACAATAATAGACAAACACAATCTGCTTAAACTAATAACACACAAACAATTGTACTTCTTGTCAATATTGAACACATTGTTTAAACATTCACAGTCCAGGCTGAAATAACAGAATTAAAAAATAAATCGATATAATGTCTTCGAGACAAAATGGAAAAAAATCATCTCACAAACTGATGCTCATAAAGACTTTATTGCAGTTTGCGAAATCGTTTTGAGGGCTCTGGACTTCAGACATTTGTGGGTTCAGAACCCAGGTGGCACACTGCCACTGCAGGCTCTAGCCTAGTGTCCAGAAAACTCACGAATATAAATGGGTACAAAGTAGTTTAGGAAAAAAAAGGTGTTTGTAACATCTGTATGTCGCTTTGGATAACGACATACACCCGTTGTTCTGGGCCCCTGTGTGCCCCAGGTGTGGAGCTCCTGTGTGACCGCGATGTGGACATGGCCACACGGGTACAGGACCTGCTGGAGTTCCTGCACGAGAAGCAGCAGGAGCTGGACTTGGCCGCGGAGCAGCACCGGCGCCACCTGGAGCAGTGCGTCCAGCTGCGCCACCTGCAGGCAGAGGTCAAACAGGTGCGCTGGGCCGCCGTGCTGAAGCCGCGCTTCACTGCCTTGTCTGTCAACACTGGGTGTTTTATTTATTGACAAGGTCAGAGAGAATAGTAAACTGTTTTATATAGTGCCTTTAAAAGACGCATCTCAAAGTGGTTAGTTTGTGTTTGAGGCTTTTTTTCAGTAAAAAGGATAAGAAGTCACAACTATAATTGACCTGTTACTGATAATGGCCTTTTAATACATTTGTTCATGCAATCTGTAATGATTTCTACTTCATTCATTATTACTTGTATTTCTTTTATTTTTAATATCCTGAAATGCCCTTAATAGGATGCATTTTTAATTTGACGTGAAACATTTTTGTGGAGGAAAATGAGTCATGATGTCTGGAGCCGCGCAAAATCAAACAGTGGTTTACGGTCGCCCCTTAATTCATTTTGACCTGGTTTTCAAATCATGCGTCTACCTGTCTCCATAAATTAAGTGTGTGGTATTTGTTTTTTCTCATTAATGTGAAAATGATGTTAATCTCAGCCACTTTGAATTACTGGTCTAGTCATTCTTGCAGTTACACCAAAGAATTGGGCAGATGATATAGTATTGAGAGATGCAGTCCTGAAAGTGTTGTGAAGGTTCGTGTTGTATAGGAGAACAAAAGGCCAGACATGCAGTAAGCGTGCAATATTGTTTGTGAAAGAGAAAGTGCAAAATCACATTAAATTGAGCACAGACTAAATAATAAGTAAAATAAGTAATTATTAGGTCTGAAAGTTCTGTTTGAATTTTGAGTTGATAAAAGTTCCTGTTCTGTTGCACCATGTTTTTCAAGCCATTGTTTACGGTGGCGTTTTGAAAATATCTTGTGCACTTTTCGGTAGCAGTGGGTTACCCAGCCTTCCATGTTTCTCTGTCATGAGCCTTTTCTTTCCTAAGGTTTTCTTGGGGCTCATGTTATATCTTATGCTGTATATTAGGGCTAAATATTAGCCCTGAAAATGTCACAATGTTTGTGCTCCTTCTGCTGAGAATTTTCCTTCTTAAATGGAAAAAAAAATGCAGCCATGTCATTTCTCTCTTAATCAAATTATTTTTATAAAGGTTACTCTTGTAGTGATATTTGCATGTTACAATTAGGTCTGTTGATTTTTAGGCCCTCTTAAAGTTTTGACTAAGTAGATCTAGGAGTGTATTTCAAATTTAATTCCTCCGATTAGACAGAGCATGCTTCTAATTTACACATTTTTGTGTAGATGGTTTGTCACCTATGTTTGAGAAACAAGAGGATAGTGTCTTCATTTTGACTGGATTGCTGTGTGCTGGAATAGGTGCTGGGATGGATCAGGAATGGGGAGTCTATGCTGAATGCGGGGCTCATCACAGCCAGCTCTTTGCAAGAGGCGGAACAGCTGCAGAGAGAGCACGAGCAGTTCCAGCACGCTATTGAGGTGCGTGTTCTCTTTTTTTTGACTGTTTTTCTATGGATGTAGAAGCAAACTAGAATCAACTGCAAAATTGTGAGATCAAATGTGGTGCCGGAGAGTGGCAATGCATGGCATGTTTCTCCTCGTCTGTACTGTAATTTCAGATGGATACATCTAGGCAAAAAAAGAACAGTCTTAAACAATGGACAGACTTCTAATATCTAAAAAGATATTATAATATTAACTTGTCTGCACAATATCTAATGCTGTATACTGCTGTTAACCGATTCTTAACAAATCAAACGCAAGTTTATCATATCATATTTATTATATAATAAATCGGAGTAATATGACTGTTTGACCAGAAAACGCATCAGAGCGCGCTGCAGGTGCAGCAGAAGGCAGAGGCCATGCTGCAGGCCAACCACTATGACATGGACATGATCAGAGACTGCGCAGAGAAGGTCGCCTCCCACTGGCAGCAGCTCATGCTGAAGATGGAGGACCGGCTGAAGCTGGTCAACGCCTCCGTCGCCTTCTACAAGACCTCAGAGCAGGTTAGGGGCCCTCTGGCTGCGGGGGTTCAGTGTGGTAGAAGCCCAGGAGCTCAAGGGCTTGTCCCGCACGGTTTGCGAGTGTCCATTCAATGTATTTGCACTCGTTTCCACCTTTTTTAACTGTCATGCTCTGCGCATGTTTGGTGCTGAAAGAGTCCTGTTCGCATTCACACTCTAAAGCTCAAGGTTTTTGTTTTTCGCACTGAGGAAATACAGGATATCACAATTTTGTTGGTCAGCTGACAGAATTTATAGCACGCACTGTACAATAACCAAGCAGTTTCTTTGAAAGACCGACTTCGACTGCTTGTAGGAACATTTAGCCGACTGCAATGCTAACCAGTTCCAGAGGGGGTTGGTGTTAATTCTGCTCAGCGGCGTGTGGTCTCTGACCTCTGGCCCTGTTCGGTGTCTCAGGTGTGTAGTGTGCTGGAAAGTCTCGAACAGGAGTACAAGCGAGAAGAAGACTGGTGTGGAGGCGCAGACAAGCTGGGTCCAAACTGCGAGTCTGACCATGTCACCCCCATGATCAGCAAACACCTGGAGCAGAAGGAAGCGTTCCTTAAGGTAACCAAGTATGGAGGGCAGTAAGGAAACTTTTGTGGTCTGTCTTGGGTTTAAAATTATACTTTGAAGACCTGTGATTGTTTTTAAGATTTAAATTGACTGTAATCACCTGTTTTCAATGTTGTTTTTACTCGTGTTAAGTATTTAGAACAATAAGTTTTCAAAAACAAATATGTTGTCGCTTTGCCCTTTTACTTTCTGAGTGATCACAAGACATGTCTTTTTGTAACGATGATAACTATCTATGCCTCTGTTTTATTTTTGGTGTTGCTTATTGTGCGATGTCCCCCTCAGGCCTGTACTCTCGCTCGACGGAATGCCGATGTGTTCCTGAAGTACCTGCACAGAAACAGCGTGAACATGCCCGGGACGCTCACACATGTCAAAGCTCCCGAACAGCAAGTCAAGAGTAGGTTTAATCTAGTGCTGCTGTGAAGGCCTTTACAGTTTAAAAAGATCAGAACCTTTCAAAAAGGCTTTTGCACTGAATTATTATATTTTAAGGTGGAAGACCCACACTGAGCTTTCTTGTGCTTCTCAGTTAAGTGGTGTGTGCTTAGAAGATAATGGTGTTTTTTGTTTTGTGTGTGGATTCAGTCTGTTTTAATTAAGTATCCCTTGAATTATTGAGTTCTGGTTAATATGGATCTGTAAAAATACACTTGTTTCAACTACTGTAAGATTACTATCAATGTCTATGTGTGCAAAAACAACACTCAGCTACCCTGGCTTCTTTTAAGAAATGGCTGAATGAAATCACTGGTAGCATTTGCACAAAGGTTGTGGTAGTATGGAACAAGCTGCTCAGCCATGATTTTATAACTCAAACTCTGGCTCCTTTCAAGAACCAGGTGGATGAGGTCCTCAGACTAATTAGCTACGAGCAACCAACTGTTACAAATGAATGTGGTTTAATTTCAAAGAGCCAGGTCAGTGTGGTTGTCATGATTAATTTCCAAATTGTTACTTATTTTTAAATCTGCTGGTTTAGTCCTTAATTAAATTCTTCAAAGTTTACCCAATGTTGCTTTATGTGCACTGAGCATAGCTCATTTTAAAAGCTGAAGCACTCAAAGTTCATTACATGGTACAAACTAATTTCTAGTTCTCTTATTAAATTAAAAAAAAAAACTTAATTTGAACTTTCGGAGATAGGCAATTAATTTTTTTCTGGGAGAGTTTTTTTTCCCTAGAGGGGAATAAATAATGTCCCTTGATGCTACTATACAAATGTAAAGAATGGGTTTTACTGGTTTGGTAAGACAAACACTTTAGGATATATTTGTAACTTTATCTGAAGGACTTCTGAGAGAACATGATTTCTTCTCTTAGATATTGAAGCTTAAGAGACTGTGCCGTCTTTAGTGCTTCTTTTTCTATGTGCAGTTTCATATGGCATAGCTGTATCTTGTACTTGTTGCTAGCCTTACGTTCGATTTCTAAGATATCGTGAGGAAAGATGGGTTAATCCGAGTTATGCAGAGAATGTGTTGAAAGTTTAATTTTGAATTGGGAGAATTGCAACTTCTAAGAAAAGACGATAGTGCATTTCTTTATAGAAGCCTGATGTTGGGCCCTGTGCGTTCCCTTGCAGACATCCTGAACGAGCTGCTCCAGAGGGAAAACAGGGTGCTGCACTTCTGGACCATGCGGAAGAGGCGGCTGGACCAGTGTCAGCAGTACGTGGTGTTTGAGCGCAGTGCCAAGCAGGTCAGTACCAGCCACCGGTCCCGGGCTCAGACAAGACTGAATCTTTGTTCCTGCCAGGTCACGCAGTTGCCTTCTTTAATAAAGAAAGATTGTGAAGTTCTTCAATGCAGTGATTTTTATACTGGGACAAAAAGGGTTTGCTTCTGGTAAGACCTTTTTCTTAAGTTTTTATGAATTTAAATTGATTTACAAATGATCCCTTTTATATTGTCAGATACTAATAAATTTGTTGGTTTTCCTTAAACTTCTCTTAAACGGTATCTTCTCTCTTGCTTCACTGAAGTCACTGAATCAGTGGGTCCAGGGAAAGCATCTAATATAAAATTTAATCTGAAGACTGTCTTACATGTTGATGTCCCTAGTTTATACTCTGTGTGATTTAGCATTTCATATGAAACATGCTTGCACTGCTGCAGGCTGTGAATCATTTAGGTGATCCTTATCAGCAGTTTTTGGAACTTTTGCAGCAGTTAGGGTGGATATTAGATCCCTGCTGTTGGAACCATTGTAATATTTTTATAAAACCACTGGCATTAAAATATAGGTGTGGCGGTTATGGACAAATGTGGGTAATGTGTGGGGAAGTTACAGGAAATCCTGTTAATGACTTAGAAGAGTTGGAAAGGAGGACAAAAGTGCTTACAAAGTATAGGTTTTTATACATTTATAAAAAGTTTAAATTTTAACTGTTTCCATTAGGACTTACAGGATTTTCCTTGACATCTTTAGTTATTTTTCCACCAGTTATTTTACACCAGGGTTGTCATTTTGGTTCCTCTGTGTAGATTAATACTTTTCATACTGCATACATTGATTATTACTTTAATTGACCTGTTGTTCTTTGATAAATTACCGAATTCTGCTAGGCTGCCTAAAAGCTTTAGACTGTTATCCCTTCTTTATGGTATCTTTCCGGTCAGTTTTTTTAAAAAGTTTTTAATATTTGTAATCAAAAGATTTTTGTTCTGTTGCTCCTGGTTTGGCAGTTATCAGCCAGTTTGGCTTTGCCATTACGCCCCTTATACCTGTGAGAGTAGGAAGAATACCTCTCATTCTCCTCTGGAGTGTGCACATCTGGAGCTGTGCTTTATTTAAACAGGGTACCTGCCTCCTTGGTACCTGCTTGGCCCATTGACCAGCGCTACAAGCTCAGCGGCACCCAGCAAGTGACGTCATTTTATTTTTTTCAGGCTTTGGAATGGATCCATGATACTGGGGAGTTTTACTTGTCCACCCACACCTCCACGGGGTCCAGCATACACCACACACAGGAGCTCCTGAAGGAACACGAAGAATTTCAGATTACAGCTAAGGTGAGATAAACTGGCAGAACTAAATGTGTTCACCATTTGTATTGTAGTGTCACTGTCTTTGTTTAGGGATGTCCTCTCCAGACTATATGGGCTCACACTGTCCACAGCAACAGTAACACCGGGGAAGCATTAGCATAGCGTCAAGAGAGACGTTCTTCTTAGTTATTTTAAGATGTACAATAGGAAAATGTAAAAATATTATAAAGGTTGCAACGTGATGCTAGTTTCATATTTTACCTCTTTTAAAAATGCTTTTTTAACCCCAAGCACTTATTTTTCTACTCAAGAATCTAATTGGAAGATCTACAATACAGTATACTCTCAAGAGCGTCAATATTTCTGTCAGATCTGTATTTGTCAAATCTTCTTTAACAGAGCAGTGCAGTGTTTTCTTTGTGTGGATAGTCACCTGGGTCATAATACTGTTAAAAAGATCACCCCATGTTTCTTTTCCTGCCTTTCTTGCATCTGTCAGTTCACAGGAAATTGTTGGTGTCTGTTAAAAGTTTGATATCACATTATTTGATGTAATATTTTAAATTTTCAGATCAAAATTAAAACTAGAAATGGAAAACCTCCTTCCTTTTTTTGTGCTGTTCGTTCTAGTTCTGTCTCTAACAATTATTTTGTGGAAACCAGTATGTTCCCATTCCTAGGATCACATGGTTATGTTTTCGTCTGCACGAAGTGGCTCATGTTTAATCGTGTGGTGTAACAGTTCTCTGTACTTCAGAGCCCCAGCGCTGTGGCATTCGCTTCCCCTGCTAATATCTACCCCCACCCCCCTCTTTCCATTGTATTGACAGCAAACCAAAGAACGGGTAAAATTGTTGATACAGCTGGCTGATGGCTTTTGTGACAAGGGGCACGCCCATGCAGTGGAAATAAAGAAATGGGTCACAGCGGTGGATAAGAGGTACAGAGACTTTTCCCTCCGTATGGACAAGTATCGCACCTCCCTGGAAAAGGCACTGGGAATATCGTCGGATTCCAACAAATCGGTATGTTGAGGGCTAACTGGGCAGGAGGGAGGGGCGGGAGTGCGGTTCAGGGCCGCCTTTGCCTGAAGAAAGCTCACGTAGCCAGATCCACACCTCTCCCTGTTGCAGAGCAAAGACCTGCAGCTGGATATCATCCCTGCCAGTGCCCCGGGGTCAGAGGTCAAGCTGCGCGATGCTGCCCACGAGCTCAATGAAGAAAGGCGGAAGTCAGCCCGCAGAAAGGAGTATGTCTGTCTTGACCACGTTTTCTTTTTTTTCCCTGCAAGACTTGAGTTGCATAGATTCAGTGCTGAGCAAGTTTAGAAGACTTGTCAACTTTAGTATCCACAGACACAACACCTAAATATTTTTTTCAGCATCAGGTGTTGCTTTCAGAAATAAACAATCACTTTATTACGCAGACTGATTTTTATTTTAGAATTACATGATGACAGTTGCATTTCTCAGTGTTTCATAACGATTGATTCCATAGTGCCTTTAAGAGGGCTTCAGATTGTGGAAGAGTGGATGGATGTGATTATGCCTGTATACTTATGTAATATGAGTATTGTTTGTAATGGGAAACCTAACAGTGAGAAGTGGCTCATTGAGTTTATGCTTGATATTTTTAAGTCACATGGCTATAACTTGAGTTATTGCTCTCAAGCTTTCATATCTGTTATAATGAAACTCTGAAGTTCCTTAAATATATTTGGAAACACTTTGTTATTGGGATTGTCTGCTCAGCCATGTGCACTAAATATTTTGAAAAGTAAAATATCCGTGTTTGCCTGTGTATCTAATGTTTGCAAAAATTTGGCATTTTAGATTCATAATGGCTGAACTCATTCAGACGGAGAAGGCCTATGTCCGAGACCTTCGGGAATGTATGGATGTAAGTCTCACAGTCCAATTTACTAATGGCCCTGGGTACTTGGATTATTTGCATTTTAATGAGATCCTGCTTGTTTCACTGGTGCAGGACACACTGGGAGTTATGGACCTACAGCCTTTTTAAAGTGACATTTCCCTGAGAGAAAGACTTAATTTATGTAACTGGATAAACTTGGGTTTTGAAATGGTTTTAAAGATGTACTTATTATTATGCATAAATATCATTATCATATTTATGTATTCTTATTAATTGTAGTAATGTTATGTCTGAAGTACAAAATGTCAGATTGAACAAAATGTTCAAGTTTAATAATTTAGTTTGAATCAAACAAGAATATGAAATTATAAGGATTGTTTATCCTCGGTGATGTGTTTTCAGTTGTTTTTATGAATAGGATAAGATGTTTTTTTATGTATTTTGTCACTTTTGAGCTACATTTTTTTCAGTCTCTTTAGCACAGCTGTACAAAATTATAATTTAAGCTTTTGGTGTTTTTTGCAGATTTCTTATTGCAACATTTAGGTTGATTTTATAACTTAAGTATATCATTGAAAATTACTGTAACATAATGGAGGTTTATGTTTATGCAACTAAAGGGATTTGTTGATCTGTTTCTGAAAATGTTCATCTGCACTTTTCATCTGCAAGTTTGTCTTCTGTAGCGGATATTGCACTGAATTTTGTATGAGCTCTGAATAGAAAACCTTAGGCCTACAAACATTATTTTACGTTTTTCAGTAATTGTCCTGGGGTATTGCTGAATTGCTGATTTAAATGACTGTAACTGTGTTTTTACTCTTAACATTATTACCCATTGTGTGCCTGTTTCCTGGAATGTATTATCTTTCTACTATCAAGAAGAAGTTACTGTTTTTCCCCATCTCTGGCTTTGTGTATTCATCTGTTGTGCTTCTCCTGGTTCCAGACCTACCTCTGGGAGATGACAAGTGGTGTTGAGGAGATTCCTCCTGGCATTGTTAACAAAGAGCACATCATCTTTGGAAACATGCAGGATCTATATGAATTTCACCACAAGTAAGTGAACAAAGAAAAAGTGTTAAAAGAAAGATGTATAAATTCTGAGTTGTTGCCATTACAGTTGGTTTCCCTTGGCCAGAGGCTCTTAATTCTGAGTGTGGGCTCTGGTGTAAAATGGATCAGGAGTAGACAAAGTGCATCTGGATTACAGATTATGGGCACACATCTGTTTGAAACCGTTTTTACTACACAAGATAAAGAACTGTATTTTAGGTGTACAAATGGTGTTTTAAGTCAGATGAGATACTGTAGGTAGACTAAATACTTTTTGCTCAGTAGTACTATTATTTTAGTGGTGTAGCCTGTGTCTATCAGGTTATTCACCATATACTGCAATTTGCTTTGGCCCTGCTGTTTGTAAAAAAAAATATATAATAATTTCTGTTCGGTTCCAGCATTTTCTTGAAAGAGCTGGAGAAATACGAGCAACTGCCAGAAGATGTTGGGCATTGCTTTGTGACTTGGGTAAGTTAGCATGGTCTCTGGACTTTCGGGATAGAGGTGGATGAGTGCAGTCCTTGAGGGCTATGAGGACACGACAGTTGGAGGTTAACCTAACTGCATATTCTTTATTTTTATTTTGTAATAGAAAATGCACATTTCCTTTTTGGAATTGCTACACATTTTGTTCTATATTTAACAATACTGGTGTGACATTTATGTATCTGTTTAAGTCTGGTGAGTCCGACATTTAATAAGAACGCCTACCATGTTTAATTCCCTGTTAGTTTTGGAACCTTCTTGATTTCTCTGAAGAAATCAAATCTTTTCTCTTCATAGGCTGACAAATTTCAGATGTATGTGACATACTGCAAGAACAAGCCAGACTCAACACAACTCATATTAGACAATGCTGGGCCTTATTTTGATGTGAGTATTGACCAGACATTTACTGTTCAATATAACAGAAGAGTTCAAAGTTCAACCACTTGTTAAACAGTTTGTCAGTTTTGTCAGCACAAAACTTGCTTAGGTTGTGTAAATATAGATTCATTGAATTGTTAATCTTTTATCATTTGTACTGTAATGGATGCCATCCTGTAATGGGTATAGACCCACCTTGTGCCCTGTGTGCTCATGATGGGTTTCCAATTCCTATGACTGTTAACAGGAATAAGCAGCTTTCTGATGGCAGATTGGTGGAGATTGTGAACATCCATAAGTTTTAAATAACTTGGGAATGTGTGTCACTGGAAAGGTTAATAACTCAGTTTCCATGTTATCATGTTTTTTCAGTTGTGGTTGTGGATTCAGCATGACATTTGTCATTTTTTCTTTATTCTTCTACATTATCTTTTTTCTTAATATGCGAATTAACACTATAAAACTAGCAAGTTATGATTGAATCAGTACTCTTTTTAATGTATGATCTGGGATATAACATGGTATTTGTGTTGCCGTAATCTACTGCTGTAGATTGACTAGTATAAAGAAAGCATATCCAGGTATAGTGAAATACAGCTTTTTTTAAAATGTCCCATTTGCTGTTGCTGTATTCTTTAACTGACTACTGCTGATCAGTAGACGTGTTTAACTATAGAATTTAATTTGTATTTGTTACAGGAAATCCAACAGCGGCACAGACTGGCAAATTCAATCTCATCGTACCTTATCAAGCCTGTGCAGAGAATAACGAAGTATCAGCTCCTTCTAAAGGTGCTTGGGATTTATATTTTTCATTTCTATATTTCTCTAGAATATGGTGGAAACTAAGAACTGAGGAAAATATAATTTCTAAGAAGCTGGTGACACAAAAATATGACTATTATCCACATTGAATAAAAGTGGTAAAAGCTGCACTGAAGTCAGTTTTAGGTGGCACAAACTAGCACCGTTTATTTTAAACTTGATTGTATCTGTGCCTTTCTGGCCCTATCAGCAAGGACCCGATAGGGTGGCCTGACCAGTGCCTGTCCCCATGACTGTAGTTGAGATTGGAATTGGAAACACTAACTACTGGAATTACTACTAAAAAATGTTAATTCCAGAACTCCAAGAAGTTACAGGTGTAAGTCTTAGCATCCAGTATCTGAAACGCAGGCTACTTGCCAATACCGATTTGTCAAATATCAGAAATGGGGTTTAATTCACATACATATTGTATTCCTGAAATTGTAAAGCAGGTGAACAAATCCTTGTGGACCCAGAACAACAAGGAATGTTAGATCCTGTTTGTCGTATTAATTCTCTTTTATTAATCCATTGCTTTTGTACTTGGCATATGGGCTGCGGCATGTTTAGTTTAATTAAATATAGAAAATTAGATTGTAATTGTAGAATAGATGCGCACTGGGCGTCTTATTTTAATTCATCTGCTTTGTCATTTCTGCTCATATTTTTCATCCCTCTGACTTGTTCAAACAGGTTGCACTACATTGTCAGCCCTGTGATGTCAGACTGCAAGAATGCCCTGTGTTTTTGATTGCCTAACATTCTAATGTTACCAGATTTTTTTTCAATTGCTAGGAACTGTTAACCTGTTGTGAGGAAGGTAAAGGTGAGATTAAGGATGGATTAGAAGTCATGCTTAGTGTGCCAAAGAGAGCCAATGATGCCATGCATCTCAGCATGTTGGAAGGTAGGTGCCCATTCTTCCTGCTTGCACGGGTTTACCTGGTCAATAAATTCAACGTGTTAAAAGAAATGTTATTGCAAACATCTGAGTTTTTGATACCTTACTTTTTTATCACAGGGAGGTAATTGCATGTATAATCCTGATTGTAATTCTCAGTCCAGTTTTTAACTTCTTTTATCTGTGCTGATGGATGGCCCTGAGATAAGTGCCAGATATCCTGATTTATTCTCACAATTGAGAATCTCTGAATCTTTGGCTGGGACGCTGAGGAATGAGAGAACAGCAGTTCTCATACACCCAGCTCTTATTCCTGAAATTTCCTTGTCTTCCCTGTAGGGTTTGATGAGAACATAGAATCTCAGGGTGAGCTCATTCTCCAGGAGTCATTCCAAGTGTGGGACCCAAAGACTTTGATCCGCAAGGGCAGGGAAAGGCATCTCTTCCTCTTTGAAATGTCCCTGGTCTTCAGCAAAGAAGTTAAAGATTCCAACGGAAGGAGTAAATACATCTATAAAAGCAAGCTGTTTGTGAGTTTTTCATTTTCCGGCACTTTCATTGCACTGCATTACTGATATTCAAGTAAATCTTTCCTTTTTTTAATGTGGAATGTGTTTATTTCTGTCTGTAGACTTCAGAGCTTGGTGTCACAGAGCACGTAGAGGGAGATCCTTGTAAATTTGCTCTGTGGTTGGGACGGACACCCACATCAGACAACAAGATTGTCCTGAAGGTAACAGTACAGAGTCACAGAGCATAAAAAACATCATCTTTAAGCATGTTTTGTTCTGTCATAATGTATTGTCTTGCTTTCTACAAATTCAGCTATATGTCGCACACCCTGTGCTGCACTTTCCGTAATATGCTATAAAAGTTTTTAGATTTGACAGTTCTTCAGTTGTTTCAACAGTTTATATTAGAAATTGTTGTAAAAATGTTTGTATCTCTGAATTAGCCAGCAAGTGATGGATTAACATGCTGTTCCAGCAGAATTGACTTTAATTAAACCCTTGGTGATGCACTTGATAAATGTATTGGATATGAAAAAATTATGCTTCTAAAGTCTGTTTTTTTAAGACATAATTATCTAGTTTCATCTCTAGGTTGTCGAAAAAACTCTGAAAATTTACAGGCATACTTTTTTTAACCATCAATAGTAAAATGTGTTTTCTCCGTATTTAAAATTAGATGTCAGAATAACAAAGCAGAATAGATATGATATTCAAAAGAAACATCTGCATTTGGTCATTCCTCCACCTTTAACAAAGGTTGTTAGAACTTTTGATGCGAATAGAAAATGTCAAACTGACTTCACAATTTCAACCAGTTTATCAAACCAGAACATGCATTATGAGGTATTTGCTTTGTCAACTGCTGGAATAGCATGTTTCCTGATGTAAAGGTAAGGTTTATAGAAGAAAATTAATTTGATGCATTGAGCATTTAATTTGCTTAAAATAATATACACCTGATAAGTCAGCAGTTTCATTGAAAGTGTTGCGTTGTCATCAAAGCAAAGAATTTTACTTGGGACTTTGGTGAATGCTTTTGGTTAAATTGTCTACTTAAAAGTTACACATGACTTTTCTGACATTCATAACATTCTTGCATTAATTATTAAAAATGACACTTATTTGCTATTCATCAACAGCTTTTTGTTTTATGTCTGAGTCAGTACAAGATGTAGATATTTGATGCCTTATGATTTGAGCATCTGTTCAGTTATTACACTTGTTTGAAAATCAAAAATTGATATCTTAAAAGCCCTGGTCATATTCATGATGAGAGTTAATTGCTCAGTACACAATATGGTGGTTTAATTAAGCAGACAACAGTACTTCCCAACCCTAGCTAGTCTGCAGTTATTGACAGTCTTATGTAACTGCATTTACTATGGATAATTATATATAGTCATAGTGAAAGTGTTCTGATGTTGCTTAACATTTCAACAAAATTGGGCATATATTTGTAGGCAGTGTGTGAAGTATCACAAACACCAGCAGGCTGTTTGTTAAAAGCTTTAAGTCATGCATTTCCAGTTGTCATTCAGTTTTAATGTTATGAATGTTTTAAAACTTTTTGGGAAAAATTGGGGGGGGGGGGTGTTTATTGGAACATTTTGGAATGTTTTGCTTTTTCCAAAACGGAACTGAAAACTATCAATTATAATGCATCAAAACATTAGGCTTAAAGCAAGCAGTCTGTCTGTCAGTTATGATGAAACTAATGTAATTATATATGTATCAAAAATAGTGAAATTTTCCATTCTATATTTTAAATTAAGCCAAGTCAGGGATGCAAACATGGAGCTATGGTGAGTATTATAACTATAATTCTAGATCAATTTAGAAAAAGATGATTTTTTTTACCATAACTTGGCTTAAACATTTAATTCCACTCAACAATTTGTTAGGCCTCCAGCATTGAGAATAAGCAGGATTGGATCAAACACATCAGGGAGGTCATCCAGGAGAGGACAATCCACCTGAAAGGGGCTTTGAAGGAGCCCATCCACATCCCCAAGGCCACCACCACGAAGCAGAAGGGAAGAAGGTATTTACCTTTCGCTTAAAGCTGCACGTATCCCGTAAACAGCACATTAAAACAGACTAATACTTCATACGATGGTGACTCTTCTCACATTCATGTTTTTCTTACACATTGCACTTCAGTTGTTCAAGAATCCTTAAAACACAAATGCCATTAAAACTTATGAAGCTGGTTTCAGTTAAGCAATCCACAGAATGGTCAAAGTTAATACCCACGGAATCAACATTATGGGGTCGAGATCTTAGCTTTTGTTTCACTTAAATCTTTTAAGGGGGTGATTTGATTTCATGTGGTGTGATTTATCGGTTTCCAGAGAGGGGGAAGATCTGGACAGTCAGGGTGATGGCAGTAGTCAGCCCGATACAATCTCCATTGCATCCCGCACATCTCAGAACACCCTGGACAGCGACAAGGTGAGCAGTGGGCTTCCTTCTTCCAGTTTTCGCCGTTCTGAATACAATAGAGCATCCTTGTCATAACAGTATTTCTTCTTGTGTGGCTATAAATTCTGTTGTGTTCCAGTTTTCAACAACATACCTTTGCATTGAAGATTATAATAAGCTCTGAAGGCCAGTATGATTCCATCTGAATGTGCATAACTATTTCCAACCCCATTTTCAGGAGAAAAGCTCAATTAAAGAACAAATTGGAAGTTAATATTTAGTTTTTATGTCAGATCTGTACAAGTGTAAAGTAAAGCCTAAATCCTTAAAGAAGGATTAGTACCCCTTTAAATATATGCAGCCTCACTCCTCCCTCTGTGCAAGTTGCTGTTCTCTGTAAAAGACTGTGTGGCAGTAGTGCTACACTTCCCCAGATATAATCTTCAAGACCAGTACTGTTAGGTTAGTGCTGTATTTGAGGATAGATGCCTGAAGTGGCTGATGACGGATTAATTGTTTAAGGAATAAAAGACTTATCTCTCATGTGCAGAAAGATGGCATTTATTATTCTAGAAATATAAAAAAGCGAAGTGAATTTCCCTTGTGAAAGCATTTGAAGCAGTTAGAGTAAGATAATTAAAGCTTTGGCACATTATCCACCTTGCTGTTTGAATATTTGAGTTTGAGGCATTTTGGGGGCACTTTACAAATAAGTGTTTGCACAGAAAATGAAGGATTCTAGTCCAGCAAACAGAATGACAACTAAAAGTCTGGGTTGTGCAGCTCAACTGCTGAGCTCTCTGGCGATGCCTCAGTATCAGTGGGTATGTATTCTTTATGTTGAATGTTCTTATTTAACCATTTTGCAATTCATCATGCTTATTTTTATATTTTTTAAAATGGAGTATTTGACCGTGTTAGGTATTTACAACTTATAAATGGCACAACAATGGCTTTGTATTTCCGTAGCTTTGATGTTTCAAAACAGAATAATGAAGGAACCACTTCTGAAAGCAGTGCCTTTGATTACATTTCAAATTCAGGTGCATTTATGTTTAGTTTGGTTCGCCTTAGTGTTTTTGTTTCTGTTCAGGCAGGAACTTGGAAAGAATTTTATTTTTCTCATGAGAAGCAACTTAGTAATGTTTGGAGACCAGCGAGTGTATGCTACAGTATATACCCAACTGCAGAATGAGATATCTTAATGTTCTGTTAAATTAGATTATGCAGATGCATTTAACATGCTAGATAATTTAAATCTAAATTATAAAATATAAATCTGGAATAATCATTTTAATGTTATTTGAGCATCTGAAGCTCAAAACACAAGTTGAGATTTTAGTTACACAGGCAAATAGCTGTAGATTAACGGTTTTATTTAGTAGTTTTTCCACAACAGATGTGTGCTTAAGTGATAAATGTCAGTTAAACTTCTAACATTCTGTAACATAAATATATTTGTGTCCATAAACTGCAGTTAATCTTGGCTTCTCTCAATAACCATTAAGGGTAAAAAGTGTACCAATTTTGGTATGCTAATATTAAAATGTAACCAAGATTAAAATGCCATGACAACCTGCCTGTCTAGTATCCAGCTGTTTCTTCTGACACTATCCAAGGAGTGTGACTGACATAAGGGTAATTTGCTTTTGTGCTTCACAATGTTCAACTGATTAAAACAAGTCTGTCAGCAGGGAGCTGGGATAATTCACTATCACATCTTTTACTGCAATATTTTAGATAACTTCCAAGCCTAAGGTTGAGCCAGGGACCATAATTTAAGAATTTTGGAGTCAGGACTCTAAAGCAGATGAAGCAGTTCCTACATCTGTTGTTTTTCTTTTTTAACTGGTTGTTTGCACAGAGCTGAGCTTAATCCTCCAGATGTTTGACTTTTTTTTGTTTCGTTTAAAATAACATTCAGTGTATTTAGCCCTTATATTGCTTTGTGGTGTTAATGTAGTCTTTCTGTGGTACATGAAAAAATCAATACAAATTTGTTCTATACCAGTGGGATACTGTATGAAAAATCTGACCTCAGGAGACCCTTTGTGACATGGGAGTCTTGGCAGCCCGTTGTGCTAAGAAAGATGCATCATACAGGGGTCATGTTTTCAGTAAAAGACCTGGTCGACAGCGGCACCACATTATTGCTAGACAGGGAAACGGTGAGGTTATAAAGCAGAACAAGCAGGTTCCTTGAAGACTGTTAATTACAAAGAAGAGCACTGCAGAAATGTTGCAGGTACCTCATGTTCACGACCAGAATTAAGGAACGGCCACTTTATTTTATTTTTCTTTCCCCTAAGCTGTCTGGTGGCTGTGAGCTGACGGTGGTGATCCACGACTTTGTGGCGAGTAACGGCAACGAGCTGACTGTGCGGCGGGGCCAGACTGTGGAGGTCCTGGAGAGGCCCCATGACAAGCCAGACTGGTGCCTGGTGAGGACCACGGACCGCTCGCCGGCCGCGGAAGGCCTGGTGCCCTGCAGCACGCTCTGCATTGCTCATTCACGCAGTAGCATGGAGATGGAGGGCATCTTCAATCACAAAGGTAGGGCCGCAGACCGTTTTATGGTCAGAACGCCTGGGTGTGCACAAGTGATGTATGAGCTGGCAAAGCACGTGTTTTCCTTGTCTTTGAAGATGAGTAAAACTTCGTGTGACATGAAAACGGCTTGCTACAACACAATTTGAATGGAGGGATTTTCTTCTCTGTCTAATAATGGCAACAGTTTGGTCTTGATCCACATACTTCCAGCTTTTGTTTCCTGTGTGTTCTCATAAATGCCTTTGCCAAAGAGTAAGACTGACATATTCCTAAATTGCATTGTGCGTTTCAGTTTAATTTAAGCCAGAGAGTTGGTCTCAGCCGGTTTTTGGAGTGCACAGGAATGCAGTAGAAGGTTTTAGTGAAGATCTTTGTGAAGGCAGGAGGAAGAGCAGTCACAGCTGTTTCCTATTTAACTGGATACAGGAGAAAGATGGCCTTTTGGGTGTATTTATGTTCTCTGATAAATTTCACTCTGGGTCAGCGGTCCAACAGAATAAGGTTCCTATTTTCTTCAAGGGCTTAAATTTACTCAGTTTAGGGCCGTGAATGAAAACTGGGTTCTCCGAGTTAACATGATCAATATAATGGTCTTGTTACATTCCCTGACCCTGCGCTCCCTTCCACTGATGCCAGATAAGGGGCTCTGTTATTTAATAGGCTTATATTGTTGCCAGGTACCTTTTCCACAGAGCAGAAAAGTCCTGAGAATGTAATGTGCTCGTTTCCATGGCAATATAAATAAAGAAACAACGACCCTCTTTCTTTGTCTGCTTGGGAGAGCAGCATCATTGTTTGCTTTCTCATTCCGGCTCTTATGACTGATTTCTTCTGAAGCACTTATTTTAATTACTACCAAAACCAAGACTATGAAATTAGTATTTCAGGATGCATTTTGTAATCTAGTATTTTAGAAGTATCCCTTCGGGAGTGGAACTTTTTTTTATTTTTTTGTTATTATCGTGTGATTTTCTGCACTTCAGACTGAACAGGTTACTGCCGGGTGGTGTTATTTAAACAAAAAATTATTCATAACAAATTACCTACAAATCCTGTGTTCAGTGTTTTGTCTTCGTGGGAGACCTCTGGCAAACTTGTTTTACTATGTAAGAATGTTCGTTTTTGATTGGTGCCTGAAGGTTGCAAATGGCTGACCGAATTGTTGTTTAATTCACAAATTTTGAATGATATTTGAAGCGAATAATTCCTTTTTATGCAGAAAATGCTTTGCATGCTAAAGTAAATGCAGGATCAAAATATAGGAAACTACTCTAAAGTATATTTCCAAAAATTCTGGCAGCAGAAAAGGTATCTCTATCCTTTTTTCGATTGGTCTGTAGTTTGTAGTTGGCTTCATGAAGTGTCCTGAGGTTAGCCACGGTTACCTGGGTAGTGTTACTTGCTTTTACACAGATGTGCTTTCTGACATACAGCTGTGGTGTGTCAGATGTTTGGCACTCACTGCATAAAAAGAAACATGTGCTTCATGTACGGGGACATTCCTAGCCATGTTTATCTGTTCTTATTGTGGTTTGACTGGCACTATGGGCAGCCCATTGTGCTGAGTTCATGTCTTAGGAGGACTGCTGTTCCATACTTGACATCAGGAGTCATTTCATTTCCCCTCAAGTATAAACTACTCAGAAGGAAATGATCATTCAGTGCTGTTGAACTTCTGAAATTCTAAATCTTCCACCACACTGTGCAAGAGGGAAGTATTCCTGAGTTCCCTTATTGTGCTAGTGCTCATCTGTTTTGCTTCTGAGTTTATGCTTAGATTTTTCGTGACTGAACAGTTTTTAATTGTGAATGTGACTGAGTTTACGGACTGAAATCTGATGTGACTCAGATTACAAAAAGTGGGTCTTTTGTAACTTAGTCCACTTGCCCAGAGATACATGGCGGAGAGTTTTTACAATAGTGACCACTGGCAGTTTTATATCTGTCTAAAATCATTGCATTGGATTTCCCATATTGAAAAGGAGCTCTATGCAGCATACACTATTTTTTAATAAAAATGTGACAGGTCTCTTTAAAATGTAGTTTTGTTTGAAGTTTCTCTTGGAATGCTTGTATTTACTTGTTTGTGTATTGCTCTGTTTACATTCTACACTGTAAGAACTGGTTTTGGACAGTGTTTCCCCTGGGAATATGGCACATCAGAACAGATTCCTTTGTCAGGGGTGTCTGGCAGGGGGAAAGTGATGGAAAATTCAATTGCACTTCAGAAGTGAGCCTCTCCCTTTGTCTGCTACCTAACCCACCTGAGGAAGGGAAATCATGATGTGATTAAAACTTTTAGTGCTTTATGAGGGAGCAGCCTACCTTTAATAATAGAGGAGGAACCAAAGGCACTTTAAACACTTTTTACCAAGTTGGTAAGTCTTTGAATGCATAGTTTCCATAAGTTTTCCATCCAAAATGAGCGGTACTTCTACTGCATGCATTACGGTAATGTGCTATTCCTGTTTCCAAAATGCTGCTAGTGGGAGGCAGGACCCTACAGCAGTGCTCACAGAAACTAAGTGAGGGGAGCATCCCTGGTTCAGAGTTAGCAGACTTACAACAGGAGTTAAGACGTGCTCTGCCAAAGTCTGCCTCTGGTGTTCTCTGTAAACAATTTTCAATTTACTCCTTATTGGATGTGCTTGACTTTACTGGGACGTTGTTCTTTTTTGAGGCATTAGATTTAAGCAAGCTTGAAGGGGTGTGCTCACAATGCTCTAAAGTCTGAACATTGCTCATGGCTCATGGAATACAGCGGACACTTGATCTAAACTCTGCCTACCATATGAATTCATCTACCAGACACACAAACTGCAAGTTCTGGATTCTTGATCTTGGTATGTGTGGGGAAAATAATGCATGATATAATTGTTGTCAATAATTTATTTTATTCCTGCTTTTGGTCTTTGAATTATAGGCTGATAAAATATTCTTCCAGTTTTGTTTGCTTGGATCTCATTGCATTTTTAAGTTTCCTATGTATTTTTAATATTTTGAATTAACTTTGTTCAGCAAAGTATTGGGAACCAGTAGGGAAGCTCAGAAAAAAAAAACTTTGTATCAAGGAGTTAGTTGAAGCTACATAGTAACTTCAATAGAGGAGACAGAATTTTTTGTGTTAGTGCTTTTTATAACAATGATAAAAGCGTGTGTGCTTAAAACAATCTGAAAATTTTATCTATGTACCTATTAGGAGTTTGTAAATTTAATTTGATAAAATATTCAAATTATTCGATTCTTTCACATTATTATTCACATTATTTCAAATGTCATACTCCCAGGTTAATGTACTGAAGATTTGATTAACCCACCACTCCCACACAAACTTTTTTTTTCAGTCTTTTCAAGAAAGCCTATTCTCTTCAATTCCTGTCATTTCTTACTATGCTTGCAGACCAGCAGATGTAGTTGAGAAAATATTTCTCGTTCAAAGTATTGAACAATACTGAATAGATAATACGCTTCTGATTTCTTCTAGAATACAAAGAAAATTCCCTACATTCTTTGGTTGTGACTCAGTTTAAATGAGTGTCCAGTGCCTATTATTCTTCTCTACCAAGTGCACTAAAAGCATCCTTAATGTCCCGTTCAGCTATCTAAGGTGTCTTCAATGCTCTGCTGACTTAATAATTAAAATAAGGGCAACAGCTCAGTTTTATTAAAAAATCAATTTCAAGGAGCTCTGCATTAGCCTCATCAAAGCTATACATTTTTTTCTTCTCATCCATTCATTTTAACTTATCAAGCGATTTCTCTGACTTGAAAGTTGTAAAGCATCACTTTTCAACTTTTTATCATATGCATTTTTTCTGTTGACTTGAGTGTTATCAAAGTATTGATACAAAATCAAAAAGGCAATTTATAAGCACAGATATTAGAATATTTATAATTATTATGGTATATATGGTAATCAGAACATTTCAGTAGGAAATTGAACAGTTGTCTAATTGTAAAAAAATATATATTAATTTGTATGGAGGACTTGTTCATTTGCTGTTTGATCCAACTGTAAAACTTTATAGAGTATATCATATGAGATTAGAGAGTTACATTCCATTGTGATGCTAAAACATACATTTGCCATTGTGTTTGTCCCTTGCTAACTTAAAAGTTTTTAATTTAATTATAAGAGTACATGTGCAAAACCAAACTTTTGTAGACATTCCAGCTCATTTCCTGTAAGTAGAAACAGCACTTCTAATTTATTTAAAAAAAAAATCTCATCCCACTGAAACTTGCTGGAACACACAGATTGAACACATCTAATTCAATTAGGTCAGCAATTAGGGAGCAGGCATTTCAGATGTCTGTAAGTTCCTGTAAAATTGAGCTGTTTTGTGTAAAAAGGCATCTTCAGAAATATAGCCGATATATATGCAGGGGGAAAAAAACATTTTTTTTCTTAATACAGAATTCCCTTTAGATTTTGAGAATAAGTAATACTTTCCTTAGCTTCTGTGACCATGTGGTCGGTTTTCAGAAATTCAAGACAACTAAAGATAAAATGGGGTTAAAGTATTTCTCAGCATGTTCCTGTCTAATATGGAATTATCTCCAGATGTCTTTGGACCCCACTTTGGGAGGTTAACAGTCCCTGCTGTACTTAATGTGTGCTGCGATATGCTCTTTGCAGCTGGTCAGTCATGCCTTGAATGCGTCCACTGGGTCGTGATTTCTTGTCTGCCCTTTCTTGTGGTTGGAAGTCAGCCAGCTGCATTAATCACATTTCTGCTGCAAATAAGGCAAATTAATTATTCATGATAATAAAAAATATACACTGGGTCTTAAGTAAATCTAAAATCCCACTTTTACAACAAACACTAAGTGGTATTGTTGGTGTGTCAGAGTAAATTTCATTTTTTTCTGTATCCTAATGTAACCTGTTCTGTTTAAGTATTAATAATGCATTAAATCGCACATGAGACTGTAATTGATCTGTGTGGAATTTTTCAGGCACCTTTAGCTGTCAGCCATTATTGTAATGACCTCTTTTCTCTTAATGCTGGGAATGTCTGTGCTGTGAAATGGATAGTTGGAGCCGATGTCATGCCACTCACAGAGGGCCTATGTTAGCTGACACTGAAGCACTGCTTAGTGTAAGGTTAGTACTTCAGGGACAAGGAAACTAAAGTTGCACCTCGCTCTGGGCCCATATGGAGGGATTTTAACTGGACAGGAAGGTGGTTTACTTGCACAGCAATCCCAACGTGTTGATCTGTTCCTTCAGCATTGGACACCAGCCAGTGTTTATCTTTTCCCAGCCTCCTTGCTTTAACTGGTTCTAGCTTGTCTTGTTAAATAACATTCGAATTACAGGGCTTTTTCAGCAGAGCAGTATCTCTTGGCAAGCTGCATTTCTGCAGCTTCTCACCTCCTCACTTGGCAGCCTGCAGTGTGAATCGCCAAGAAGGAGCACGAGGCAGGCTTTCTCCCCAGCTGACCACATTACCGTTTTCCCTTAAGATAAATGCAAATTTCTTTTTTGTGTGCTTTGAATCCAAGCGGTGTAATTGCAAACTAATTCATAATATAATAAATGTTGTATTTTTGTGTAAGCAAAAATTACAGATTTAATGTGAAACCATCGTAAAGGAGTCACCTACACAGTGTAAGATATTCTTGTATAAAGTGTTTTCTTTACACCTCAGTAAGCTTGGGACTTCTATTGCGGATGTACAAATGAAGGTAGCAACTGCCAATGGAAAACTCAGGATGTTTATCCAAATTTGAACATTTTGGAAGAAAACTTTGGATTAAGTATTTGGATTTAAGGTACTGCTACAGCGCTACACAAAACCTTTTTGTTTGTGTGGATGGGATTGGATCTGTTTTCAGACGAGCCACAGGTGGGATGACAATCCCTTCTGCCACTTTCTCCACTCACCCTTAGCCTCATTGGCCTCATTCACTTAGCCTCATTCCTGGAGAAACATTCTTAAAGCAGATATTTCAGGCTTAAATTGTCGTCTTAAAACAGTCTTGTTTTGTTATGAACCAGAAACTATCATAATAAAGATGACACTTTTTCTTCTTAATCAGCAAAAGAGTAATGTTAGAACAAAATAAGAGCTGCATACTTTATTAAATCTTCTCTAGATCCAAATCTTGGCTAAAACAAGTCAGAAATGGCAAAAATCCACCAGAGCATAGATGCCAGAGACCAGAGAATCTGACAGCAGTGACTGTAATTTTAATCTTTATTCCTTTCCACATCTTAACACCTCTTTCCCTGCTCTTCAAGCTGTGATAACAGCAGGGTCTATACACATTGCAAAGCTACCGTCTTGAATTGTCCCAGTTGTACAGTGGACTCTGTGTGAACTGTGACTTCATCATGGGACAGACTCATTAGGGGAGCAGCAGACTGAGATCATCTGACTTGATGTAGTTTGGTTCATGGAACAGTGGTTTAAAATGGGTTGTGGTTTTGATTAGAGAAGGGGCACCAGCTGCAAAAACAGTGGATCATTCAATTCAGTACTTTTGTAGTAGAAGCTACACAAACACTGAAACAACAGAATTTGTGGCCACACATTGCTCTAAATATGGAGGTTTGGGGGCTAAAAGAGGTTCTGTAGCTCCAAAGGAGACAGTTGTTCTTTTTCTGACGCTGTTGGTCTTTTAAATTTAGTTAAATTATTTTAAAATAAAGTATAGTGGTTTTCTTTCTTGGTAACCAATACAAGTGCAAATTTATTTATGGCCAGCGCTAGTGTTCCTGACAGAACACTTTTCTCTACCCCGTTAGCTGGGTGCTTGCTTTTCTTTGCTCTCCAATCAGTGAACTCTGATCAGCGAAAGCTTCTGTCTCTCCTCTAATCTCTAATCCCATTAGACTAAATTTCTTCCAATCTGTAATCCAGCCATTTATGGTCTGCGAGACTCTGATGAACTACACTTTAAATCATTTAAAAAATACTTTGATTTGTGGGATGGAAAGATTTAATTCTTTGATTAATACTGAAGTTAAATGTGATTTTAGAAGAACAAGAATGTGTAAAATAGAGCAGATGTACAGGTGACAGTGCTGTTGTGTAAATTTATGGGGTAATCTAGGGATATTCTCTGTTGGCAACTAAAAATTAGATTAATTCCAAATTTGATAGCAAATTTTAAAAAACGTTATTGTAAGTGTAATTGAAAGGAACAATTCTGTAAATGCCTATGTTAAATACATGATATACTGCCTTCAAAGAGATTCAGAGGAATGGGAGAATAGAAGGTGAGGGAAAGCACTGGTATTTCTGAGATGGAAGATATTTTTAATTAACTACCTTCACCACTTCCTTCGAGTGCCTTAGGGTCCTGCGTGAGCAGCTCCTGGTGTGTGTGGTGGAGGCAGGTTGACCTGCATTGACATGGGAAACTTGAGGAGATTCCTAAGGGAGCTGTCAGCGTGGAGTCAGTCTGACCTCTGACAGCCCACAGCTGGTTCCCCTGCACGCATTCCTCCGTCCAGCGACTGGCCAGGCCTCATCCCCCATCCCACTGATAGATCAAAGAGCAAGGAGCAGAGAGCGTGGGCCTAAAAGTAGCTCAATAGCAGCCTGGTTGCGGAGAGTATTTTCTGAAAGCTTTTCCATAATTCATTACCTCGTAGCCAGCGTTTTGGGTCCTGCGTGCTATGTTTTTAAACTGATTTTTTCTTCTTAAAAGATTTTAGAAAACTCTTGGTTTTAAAACCAATTTTAAATCATGCTGAACATTAAAACCTCTTGTCAGAGGAAAAAAAACTTCTTTAAAATGAAGGACTCAATGATTTACATTCAAATGTTACACAGATTTGTGCGTTTGCCTCAAAATATTCATGTGTATTATAATTAGCGATAATTTCTATGGCGGGGCTTGGTGGTGTGCATGTTGGCCAGCCGTCAAGGGGGCGTCTTCATTTCATACGCGGCGTCCATCTTGTTTCTCCAGATTCGCTGTCAGTGTCCAGCAATGACGCCAGCCCCCCTGCCTCTGGCGGCTCTCTGCAGCCCCATGGGATTGTCTCCCAGAGCTCCCCGGGCCCCAAGCGGCCCGGCAACACCCTGCGGAAGTGGCTCACCAGCCCCGTGCGCCGGCTCAGCAGTGGCAAGGCCGACGGCCACGTGAAGAAACTCGCCCACAAGCACAAGAAGAGCCGGGATGTGCGGAAGAGCGCCGACGCCGGCTCCCAGAAGGACTCGGACGACAGCGCTGCGACTCCGCAAGATGAGACCGTGGAGGAGGTCGGTGCCGAAGTCCTTCCCTTCACACCGGCCGAAGCGAGTGTGAACCTCAGAGCATTATTCATGTGGATGTCCGATATGACTCCCAGTAAAACTAGCAGAATTAAAAATTAACCACAATCCCCCTTTCCCCATAGATTTATGTCCATTTTCAAGAAAACAGTTACTTTTTATCTAGAACCGTTCGTGGTTGTTCTTGGAGATTCGTTCATTTCCGAAGAATTTTTATCCTAAGCTCTAGAGTTTTTGGTCCGTGATTGCTTACTAATGACTTACTAATTCATAAAATGGCGGACTTTAGCTTTTGTGCTGCCCTGTCTAACAAATTAGCTCCTTTGAGCTATGGTAAGATTTTATTATATTTTACAATCTAAAGAAGAATTTCAGAACTTCAGTAAATGAACAGACCGAAGATCAAAAGGCGCGATGATCAGTTTCTTGACATTGGCAATAGTGAGACCAACACAATTACAGCAGTGCCAAGTCCTGGAAAAGGTATTTAAATCCAGGCTGCAAGACTGGACTTGCATCCAGTGATTAACTTTAATGCTTTCCAGACAGGAAACCGAGCTTAATTAAATGTAACAAATTGACTTAACAGATTTTTTCCACTTTCATGTTATCCTTTGGGGAAGCAAAGGGATGATGGCTGTTTTTACGGTTTGTTTCAGAGAGTTAGAAATGAGGGGCTCAGTAGTGGCACGCTGTCCAAGTCTTCGTCCTCAGGGATGCAGAGCTGTGGAGAAGAGGAGGGAGAGGAGGGGGCGGACTCTGTCCCTCTGCCCCCACCAATGGCCATTCAGCAGCACAGCCTCCTGCAGCCTGACTCTCAGGATGACAAGGTGCGAGGCACTCAAGAACTGTTCTCTACATGCATATATTTCCACTCGGTTTAGACAAATTATTTATGCGTTGCTTATTGCCAATGTCGGTTAATATTGTTTAGCTTAAAATGTGCTGTGAAGATGTTTGAGAAACTAGGAAACAAATTCCTTTAAGAAAACATTATTTTAATTAAAGAAGCAGTGTGAACAGTGTTTATCGTAAGAATTTCATGTAAAAAGTCAAATGATTCAGGAAGTTTTAGTCTGTAGGACTGAATCCTTGTTACTCTGATTTGCTGAAAGAGACACTTTTATCAAAATATTACTAGGAGAGATGTTTGAGACACCAAAGCCAGTGCTCACTGGTTTTGGTTAAATAACTGTTTATTTTTTTGTGGCAAAGAATAAAGGTTAAAGCATCGGTAATAAAATTGGACAGTTGGAAACCAAACCTTTATTTTCTAGATTGTAAACCAATTGGAAATTGGTAAAATTGGAAATAGTTTGCTACTAAAATGTTTAAGAAGTCTTTTTAAATGCATCCACTTCTCATAATTGCTGTGCTGATTCTGCAATATTAAATGTCTTTACATTTCTTTAAATTAGATTATAAAATTATTTTGCCTAATGTTGCTTATAACTCCCATTTCTAAAATATCAGTTGAATAAAATATTCACGCATAAGAAAATCATCCTGAACACATTTGCAGGGTGCACAGATCTTAATTCCAGGTAGAAATACACTCAGATGTGGGACTATAGGAAACCCTCACGCGCTGTGTTTGGTTAGAGGAAAACTAAGATCACAATTCTCTCTGAAGGAAATCTAACATTCCAACACAGAAATATCAGATGACAGGATATTCTCTCTGTCGATAAGATATGAGAGTTACTGAGTACCGATTTAGGGGATTTTCCCTTAAGGCTCTTCGTCACGTAGCAATTTAATAGTGCTTTTTAATGACTTCACAAAAACAGGATAATTGTTTTAGTATACAAATATTTTGTCTCCATTATTAAGGAGTAGGTAAAGATCAAGAGGAAGGCCCTTTGATTTAAGCCCACTTGAAACAAAAGTGTAGTCAGCTAAAACAAGCCGTTCTTTATCTCCCTCCTAAACAGAAATGTTTACACACACATTTAAAGTTGTGTGGCCTCAAACGTAAGTTGTGAGGTTACGTTTTTTTAGGAACTCTGAACATTTTTGCAGCACAAGAGTGCCAGAAGGCCCTTTTTTGTTCTGCCACTTTCCTGTTCTTGAATAAAGAAGGCTAATACCATGGCACTAAGCACATATACAGGTGACGGACCCTCTGCATTTCCCTTTATGTCAAGTAACAAAGTCTCCTGTTCTGCTACTTTAAACAGTTTTTCACTTAGTCTGTTCACTCCGTAATCTATTCACAGTGAGTACCGTGTATTATGATTTGGAAGTTGTAAGCAACAAATTAAATGGGGTAACTAGTTATCCTGAAGTCAAGTCTTTCTCTGAAACTAATTTCTTTGTTTTCTCTTTTTTCATAACTGTTGTTTACACCAGCATTACGTTGATTTATGTTCTGTCTCTGTTTTATCTCAGTTCCCATATCTTTCCATTTAGATTGTCCCTCTCTTCATGCTGCTCCTCTTGGTTTCAAGACCTTTTGCCCTCAGTAATATTTTAACTGTTCCTGCCTTCCCACCTACAGTACCTTCCTCCCTTTAGCCCATTTCTTACATTTTTTTATTTTTATTTTTCTTATTTGGTTCCCAATAAAATGATCCCTTTCTGTGGTGACTTGTAAGGTTTGAATGAGCCGTTTCACTTAGAGACACACATACCCCTTTCTGTTAATGGTAGATGTTCTTGTTCAACCCTCCTGCAAACACGTTTGACGAGACTGTTGCTTGAAAAGTCCCCGTCTGATACAGTTTCTGAGTATTTCATGGCACATGGAATGTGCTACAAAATCATGTGCCTGTCAATTACTCTGATGCTTGGTACCTCCCCTACCTACCCAAGGTCCTTTGCTGTTGACTGCCATTACCCATGCTAGCTTTTAATTGGCATCAAATAGCTGGCGAGGCCAGAGACCACCTATAATCGGCACTTATTTGGAATGTCTGGAAGGCACAGCAATGGTGAGCTTTTCTGCAAATTAGCGTATTGCTGCATATTTAAATGGACTGTGAAAATAAGTACACCTAATGAAATATCTGAATATCTTAATTTAAAAATTAAAGGCGAGTTTTAATTAAATATTAAGACTTATGTTTATAAACCTTGTTTATACTTATAGAAAACTTTAATAAACTTTGTTTTCCTTCTTTGGACGTTTATATTGACCTTACTGTATATTTATAAACTGACATTTATAAATAAACACAATCCCTTATAACTGGCAGCTTATTCAGAAATATCTTGGTTTAAAAAAATATTTGGAGTTTATTAAGTTAATAGGTTATATATTGGAAAGTAAAAATGCAAGTATTTGCATTTAAGAAGAAAATCATATACCGTAGCAATACTCAATGTGTCCTTCGCTAGATTACTAAAGATCATTCTTCTATTAAGTGATGTTCATCGAAGCCCAGGATTTGCTTTTTAAATCCACATACTTTTGCAATTTATATTCAGAGATTCTTTAGACTTCTCCTACATCAGAGGTATTTTTGGTGTTGTTCCAATTTATAATTCAGGATCTGTAATATTAATTTGTGTCATCAGAGCAATGATACAAGCACAATTACCCCAGTTGTGACTGTGCTGTTTTCTCTGGCATTCTTAGCTTTCCCTTTCTGTTTTCTCTTTTTCTTTGAATATATCTGCTTTTCAGTGATTTGAAATGTGCCTGAAATTTCTGGGCAAAAATGCCTATCATTTCTTACAGCCTACCTCACAGACAGTGCCTTTAAAGTAAATTCTTCATTTTAGTAAATGGGTTTCTCTGACGGAAGTGCACAGATCAATTTAACGAGCACTCCTCTCCTTCTGCTCTCTATGTAGACGTCCTCCCGGCTCTCGGTTCGACCCACTAGCTCAGAGACCCCAAGTGCTGCAGAGCTGGTCAGCGCCATAGAGGAGCTTGTGAAGAGCAAGATGGTGAGAATACTGTTTTGACTCGGTGTTCTTTCTGAAAAAGAAGAAAGGTGTTGTTTCTGATGACTAAACCTCTGCATCGCCTATTTCTTTACACTTTTAAATATTGTCATTTCTTACACACACGCATGCTTGTCTGGATGGATGTGATGTGGTGAAAACCCACTGTTCATCTGTGCTTGGCTGTGATTTAAGCCCACCACCTGCTACTCTGGAAAGAAGCCATATTAGAGAGTTAAAGTATGCCTGTAAACTGGGTTTGCCACCCACATCCAAAAGTAACTGCATTTTGCATATGTACGCATTTCTGATGAGTCTGAAAGTTTTTTGTATTTGAGTTCTTGGATGGAACTTTGTGTACTTTAACCAGGTGTTACTCATATTCTCATTTGTTGTTTTGTTGCAAATGTTTTAAATAAAGGAAATGTAATAATAATAATTAATTGTTTATGTAGCTTGATATTTCTATGATCTCCATAGTATACACTAATAGATCATGCAGATAAATTATAACCAGACCTTAACTGATCACTGTGCTAAGAACAGCAGTTAAAGGCAGCCTATATGTGGCATTAACAGGTCAACACCTGTTTTAATCCCTAATCAATAGGAAAATCAATACCAGCATAATAAGAGTCTTGACATTTAAATAAGAATTTACTTTGTATTGTATAAATGTAATCTTTAATTAAGATAGGCTTAAAAATAAGGTTTACTATATTAAACAAAACTCAGTAACAGAATTGCTCCAGGACCCTAGTTCAAAAATGCCTTCTGTGAATGATGACCAAATACCTGGAACTAAGAAAATCAAATATTAAGAAAATTGATTCATTATTTGGTTCGGAGCATTTTGGGGGAAGCTGTCAGAAACATAAAGCAGTTGTGAATGTGTCGGGTACAATGACTTTTTAGCCATTCACATCACTGTTCCATTAGGAAGGGCTTTCTGAATCTTCCGATTCCGGCAGTAAGCTCTGGGATAGGCGGACACCTCACCCCTCTCTCCTCCTGCAGGCCCTGGAGGACCGGCCCAGCTCCCTGTCTGTGGAGCAGGGGGACAGCAGCAGTCCCTCCTTCAACCCTTCAGACAACTCTCTCCTGTCCTCGTCCTCGCCCATCGACGAGATGGAGGAGCGCAAGTGCAGCTTCTTCAAGAGGCGGCAGTAGGCATCTCGCCAGTCGTTTTCCTCTTTTGACTGTGCAGTAAATATTCCAGTAGGGCCAGAAGCAAGTCCTGACAAGTTATCCTGAGGGCGGCGGTTACCAAAATTAAAAAAAGATCAGTTTTTTAGATACTTGTATATTTAATCTTGTGCATAATTTACGCCACATTTTCTCCCGGATATATTTATTCAGCTTGTCTAAATCCTGCTGCTGATTTTTTTTTAAGTTCCAAAGTTTCAGGTCAGCTTCTAATGCCAGTTTTCTTCCATCTCATTAGCTATGTGTTACAGGAGCTTGTTGAGACTGAAAGGGACTATGTAAGGGATCTGGGCTATGTAGTAGAGGTACGTGTTGTCTTTTTGTTTTTATATTGTCCTGTTATGTAAAAGCTTAACACTCCAGTTTGACAGGCAGTTTTTGTCTTCCTCTGATGGAACCTCAGAGACTGGCTCTGAGTGTGTTACTTTATAACTTACAAATTGCATAAGACATGAAAACAAGAAGCAAGCTTTCATAAATGAGACTATAAATTGTAATTTTCCCCCAATTTTTTGTATTCAAGGTTGCGGATGCCATACAAATGATTTACCTGTCTAGGTGTTTTTTGTGGAATTGCCCGTTTCGCTGATATTACAGATGTGCTTCTGGTCCCCAGGGCTACATGAACAAAATGAAGGAAGACGGAGTGCCGGACGATATGAAGGGAAAAGATAAGATTGTGTTTGGAAACATCCACCAGATTTACGACTGGCACAAAGAGTAGGCATCGGACTTCCTTAAGACATTGACATTGCTTTTTTCGGAATCATTAGTGCAATAGTAAAGCAGTGCAATTTGCAGTGATTTTCAAAGAGGAAAATCTCATGCATTGCATTTCTTCTAGAAGCTTCTCAAACTCTGGCTGGGGAGGGGATTGCAATTGGAAAAACTGGAATTGACCCCGACACTTGTGGCTTAATGAGAAAGTGTTTTCATTATTCTTTATTTAATTTTAATCAGATTTCCATGAATGAATTAGTTCCTTATACTAGTCATAACCCATAATTTCTTTGTATACTGATGTAAGATTTCCTATGCTTCCAGCTTCTTTCTTGGAGAACTAGAGAAGTGCCTTGAGGATCCTGATAAACTGGCATCCCTGTTTGTCAAACATGTAAGTCACTTGAGCCTTGGAACACTAAACTACTTTTAGATTTTCTTTTAATTGTCATCTTTACATTACAGAATATAGCCTCCCATTCCTAGTATAGATGGAAATTTTCAGTTGGCGTCATGTTAACTAGTGAACTCATGTCATGCACTTATGTGACGTAATCAAGTTCAACTTGTACTAGGAGCATTGACAATTTTTTTTTCATTTAGGAGCGGAGGTTGCACATGTACATTGTGTACTGCCAAAACAAACCCAAATCTGAGCACATCGTCTCTGAATACTTAGACACATATTTTGAGGTAGGTGTAAACATTTGTCCCCTTGTTTTGTTTAAATTACAAGCTGATGTTTTCTATTCTTTATCATTAATATTAATGTGTAGTTAAAAAGAAAAGCATGTTATATTAATGTTGCTTAATTTTCTTTGGCTGTTTTTGATATATTTGTAGGACCTAAAGCAGCGCCTTGGTCACCGATTGCAAATTACAGATTTATTAATAAAACCAGTGCAAAGAATAATGAAATACCAGCTTCTTTTAAAGGTGAGTATGACATTACTTCATTAATATCTAGTAGTGAAATTGATTTTTCAAATTATTGGATTCCGCACCAGATTTAAACTCTTAATGACTTTGCCATTGTATTTAATCAGAATTACAGTTAAGGTTTTAAGTGCTTATGGTAATTGGTTTCCATGCCTTGTCATTGTGTAGATTTAAATTTAATAGTAATTGATTTCTGTTTTATACTTTTCTCTAGGATTTTCTTAAATATTCCAAAAAGGCTGGTGTTGATACCACAGAATTGGAGGTATGCATTTGTTCATCATTTAAGCCTTCTTGCATGTGACGTTGTTAAACATTTAATCTAGAGATTTAAAGGAGAAGCCTCACAAACCTTCCAGCAGCGTCTGATCTTCTGTCTCTTACATCTCCTGAGCCTTTTGACATTCCTAATACTGAAAGCTTCCTCATAATTAATAGCAGCTATTATTTGGGGGATAACTCTAAATATATTTAGAGTAATAAATTGTATATACAGTACTTATGGATCACATTTATCTGTGCATTTATCTAAAATGCCTAAAAAACTTCATTCTAAAAATCAGGCTTTCATGAGCTTCTTGAGCCGCATTCACAATAAAGTTATAATGTGATTACATGCATGTAAGCTAAAGATAAGGGCATATAATGAAATATTGTATCCATAAACCATTAAGATATGCATCTGAAAGCCCTCACGTTCAGAATTGTAAGTGTATACTAATGTATGCAAGCAATGAAAGAATGCAGACACGATTTACAAATCTTTAGAATGATAAAATCACATGTGTTTGCATAGGTAAAAAGCAGTTCTAGGTCTAATGAGCTAAAGTTTTTAGAAAAACCTGCTGTGCTGCACTTTTTACTTGCATTCCTTGAAAACAGAAACGTACTTGCATGTAGTTGACCATAAAGGTCTAAAGGTACACCTTCTGAGCTTCTTCCTGCCTGATCGCTTGAATTATACAGGACTTTCTAAGATGTTTTGTTACTGTGCTAAAGTAGTACTAATTAATGCTGCTCACGTCTGAATACAGGACACTCATCTTTGAGAATACAAACTTATGGTTATTAAACACATCTTAACTTAACATCTTATATTAAATACTAAATCTTTGTGAATGAGGCACACAGTTAGTCACAGGAACATAAGGATGACAGTTGAAAGAAGCCATTTAGTCCATCTAGCTGTTTTTGGCTTCTTTTTCTCTGGTTTGCATGTATGATGGCGGAAACCTCCTTGCACTGTCTTAGACATTATTCTAAGTGTTTTTTGCAATTGTTTTTGTATTCCAGAAAGCTGTGGAGGTCATGTGCATTGTACCTAAAAGATGCAATGATATGATGAATGTGGGGAGGCTCCAAGGATTTGATGTAAGATAATAAAATAGAAATGGAAGATAAGATAGTTATAAAGTTACAATATGATATAGTTTATGCACAGCACAAGAATTCAAAGTAATACTCTTTGAAACTAATACATCCACATGTATTGGTTGTTAGTGTCTAGGGTTTTCTAGTATTATTGGCATATTTCTAGAAAGCATATAAAACTAAATGTAATTTCCTTAAGTCACTTTTGTCTGGACAGCAACATAAAGTTAATTGTACATGTTACAATTTTCAAGTTACACGTTACATTGTTCAATCAATCTGTAGCTTATCGTGCTCTGATGTTAGGTATATCTAACTGTATGAATGTTTAAAAAAAGGGTAGTGTTTGTGTGTGTTTCTGTAGTAACATAAATACTATACACTTTTGTCTAATAAAACAATACCATACAGTTGTATAATGTGTTCAATATGGGGAAGATTTCTTCTTGATTTTGTAACAGTTTTGATCCTCACTGTCTCTCTCTTGCACCTGGTTGCTTTGTATTACCTCCCTGGGATCTGCCTGCAGGGCAAGATTGTAGCCCAGGGCCGGCTGCTGCTGCAGGACACTTTCCTGGTGTCTGATCCGGACACTGGACTGCTGGCACGCATGAAGGAGAGGCGGGTTTTCCTCTTTGAGCAGATCATCATCTTCAGCGAGCCACTTGATAGAAAGAAAGGCTTCTCCATGCCTGGCTATCTGTTCAAAAACAGCATAAAGGTATTTCTACACATTGTTTCCTTTAAATGTTATGCATATAAATTAACCTGTGGTCATTAATCGGCAGGGAGCCGTCTTCCTGCTGGAAATTAGCAGTATTCTTTGTTTGAAGGTCAGTATAGATTTAGGCTGTTAAAGTAAGGAGTCTGACAAGATGATGGAGCAGTTGGTTAAGGTATCACATTTGCTGAGGGGAGTAACAGATATTCAGGAAGAAGTCATTTCGGACAGGAGCAATAATGTTTAGTCCTTTTCTCAAAAAAATGCTCAACTTTTTACAATAATTAAAGTCCATTCTAGTAAGTCTACTAGAAGTGTCAGATCATATCTAGAACTTGCTCTCTGTGGAGAAAAGCCATAGACTCTACTGTATCTCTTTTGTCACTCGTTCATGAAGGAGTTTAACCATTGTTCCTTTTGCATCTAATTTCTTGTATATCGAATTTGGAACAAGAAAAAATCTTACCGTAATTTGCTGCCAAGTAAAACCGATTTCTTGGACTCTGCACTTACAGATGAGCTGTCTGGGTCTTGAGGACAATGTAGACGGGGATCCCTGTAAATTTGCACTCGCCTCCAGATCAGCCAACAGCACCCCTGAGACCTACATCCTGCACTCCGCCAACCCCGGAGTCCGGCAAGTGTGGATCCACGAGATCAACCAAATCTTGGAAAACCAGCGCAATTTCTTGAATGGTAAATGCGTTAATGGAGATTTATTTTTTTCCTTTTTATTCCTACAGAAAGGTGTAGTTTAATTAGAATGAGGATGCTTTCTTAATTTATGTGAGCTATATGACATGCATGGCTGTACATCCATCACCAGCGTTTTATTGTCGAACAGGCCAAAAGTGACCTTTACTGGACATGAAGTATTGATTTAAGCAAAACACTTGAAATGAGATTTGATTTCTTCTCCCGCTGCAATAAACATCCCTCTTTTGTCGCTGGACATAATTTTTTTTGATGTTTTAACACACTTTAAAGTCTAAATACAACATGAAACATGAAAAACATTAAAATGCTTCAAGGTATGAAATGTTATAAGCATTCTGGCCTCAAAATAAAATTTGTCTCCAAACTTTTCCGTGGCTGTAGCTCCTTGCTGCGTCGGCCCGGCTGGTTGCCGATGAGCGAAGGAGCTGCTGCAGTAAAACTGCGCAGTACAGCCCAGCTGTTGAGCCAAGTGCGTGACCTTTCCCCCCGCTGCAGCCTTGACCTCCCCGATCGAGTACCAGCGGAACCACGTGGGGGCGGCGGCGCCCAGCAGCACGTCCGGCGGCGCCTGCAGCAGCGCGGGCGCAGCCCCGGCCCCCAGCGGCGGTGCGGCGGGAGGGCGGCCCAGGCCCTCCCGCATCCCTCAGCCCGTCAGGCTCCACTCGCCTGTGCTGGTCTCCTCCGGGGCCTCGGCGCCTGCGGAAGGGCCGGACAAGATGTCAGGTACGTCTGCTCGCGCCCCCTCCCTGCTGCCCGCCGGTGCCGGCGGCTCCCCCTCCCCGGCAGGTGCGGGGGACAAGGACGGGGAGAACGATGCGCTCAAGATGAAGCTTCTGGAAAGCGCTCGCGGCAGCAAGCACCCTAGCTCGGTCGAGGATTCACAGACCCACACTCCAAGGGCCACAGTAGGCCCCCTGACGCTTGGTAAACCGCGACCTGGAACGGTCTCCCCTCTTGGGTCCCCACTTCCTCCTCCTTCCTTTGGCAAAGAGGCCTTCACCCCTGGGAGCCCTGTGCAGAAGGGCCCCTCTTTCTGGAGCTCCATCCCAGCCTCCCCCGCCAGCCGCCCCGGCTCCTTCACCTTCCCCAGCGACACCGATTCTCTGGGGCGTCAAGCACATCGCCACTCCACCCACAGCAAGGACGCCGACCGCATGAGCACCTGCTCCTCCGCCAGCGAGCAGTCTGTCCACTCCACGCAGAGCAACGGGGTAAGAGCGGCGCCGGCCCGTCCTCCGGCCTCCCGTCCAGCCCTCTCGTCTGCGTGCCGTCATCCCTGTCAGTACTAACTCCACTGCCGGCCTTGGTTCTTCGGCTGCTTCTCTGCTCTTCCCTGAGAAGGAAACGAGAAAAACAATACTGCTTTGACTGCTGCCTGTGGTGAAGCATTCACTCTTTTCCACTTGACTACTTCAGCTTTTACTAACTGCTGCGGGCTAAGCTTACAGTGACCATCATTCAACTATGCTACTAACTTAACCGCTTGTGTGTTTTTTTCCAATACTGCTCTCCTGCTTCAAAAAAGAACCAGAAGTCTTTTCTACTACATTTTAACCCCTGACTGTTACTACTTCAATTCTGAGGAAGCCATAACAAAGACTAAATACTAACATGTTCCTAGAGTTCTTAAATTTTTGGTGCTAGATGCTCTTCTGTTTCAGAAGACACATAGAACCGTATTGGCCTAGAGTGAGGAAGATTTTGGGTGCTTTCTCATTTCTACTTACTGGTATTTTATTCTGGCGTAAAGGAATGTTTGCAGAGACTGTTGAGCTCTGTTTATTTCAATGTGAATGAACTTCACTCATTGTCATTGGTTTGAAAAGTCAAGGATTCAGATATTCAGTGCGATGACTAGGTGATGGTTTTGGTGGACTAGTAAGTAGTGGCTTTCTGTCAGGTCCAGGGTTTCCGAGCTAGCATGGTGACAGAGTACACTCTGCTGTAGGAGGAGACATCTTGAGGGTGAACACAAAACCTGACGCTAAGTCTTGCCTACTTTGTCCTTAAAGATCCCATAGCAGTGTTTGAGCAGGGTGTTAACCTTGATGTCTTGGTTAAACTCCAGCTTTGACTTGCATGGGATGGCCTCCCTGAATATCCCCCTGAAATAATTCACTTGGTGCAGTGCGTCCTCTCTTCTCCACCAGTCCTGCAAGTCGGAAAGCCACGCACTCTCCTGGTCGGTGCTCCGCTTCAGTGCTGGATGTGCTGGATGAACTGGATCCTGCTCCACATGGAAAGCATTTTAGGATTCTTTCGCATGAAAAGTATTTTACAGATGCCAATAATTATTACTGAATGGCGGACTCTATACAGCCATCTACTCATTGTGCTGGACAAAAAAAACCCAATCATTCTCTGGCAATCTCTGCAGTAACTTGTCTTTCGGCCCGCTTAAGCTCTGTTGAAAACAACTGCAAATGAAAATGTCTGAAAATCCCTTTTCTGGGTAATTTTGGGCGGTATGAGGACAATGATTCCTTCTAATTTCAGTTACTTGTTTCACTCACTCCACTAATCTGTGTTCTTTGTATGTGTGCTTCATGGTAAGGATGTTCCTGTTACAAAATGTGTATTTCAAAAACTGATGCTCTTCTGCTTTTGTTTCTTTCTTGAATTGTATGCCAACTAGCTTATCTTATCTACTTTATCTCTTTATAAAGTAAGTAACACAGGTACATCCAAATATTCAAAATAGGATTTTAAAACTGAAACAGCTAGAGATTCAGTAGAATACAGTAGTACTGACTGTGAATTATTTATTTCTCCTGTTATTTCTCTGAAATGATGACAAACGACAGCTTGCATCACTGTTAATATAACAAGGGAATGAATATGATAAATTCAAATGGATTTAGTCATTTCACTAAAAAATATTTTTAGCTAGCTTGTATTCTCTTTAGTACTTCTGTTATATATGTTTGTAAGAGAAAATTATACATTTTAAATGCAATTTGATAGTTTGAAAATGCTTAAGAATGCTATACTTCAGGGAGAGAATAAGCGGAAACGCTTTGCTTTAAGTTTATTTTCACCAAGTTTCAAGCAGTTTTTAATGAAATATAAGCCTTGCCAATTTAAAGCATGCTATTAGGAATGTGCCTGTTTCTGCTTAACTAATTTCATATTAGCTTTTGTTTGCTTTGTGCCGCTATCCTAAGGCAATGTCAGTGTTCAGTGTAGATTATCAACTACAGTTAATGATTATGAACAGTTAGTTATCCTTCACTTTTTCGTTCCTTTTTAAGAGAAGTTGTCTTTCCACTCCCCCACATTGCAGAGTGAAAGCAGCAGCAGCAGCAACATCTCCACCATGCTAGTGACGCAAGACTACATGGCGGTGAAGGAGGATGAGATTAACGTCTACCAGGGAGAGGTTGTCCAGATTTTGGCCAGCAATCAACAAAACATGTTTCTGGTGTTCCGCGCAGCCAATGAGCAGAGCCCCGCTGCTGAGGGCTGGATCCCCGGCTATGTGCTGGGGCACACATCCGCAGTCATCCCCGACATCCCCGAAGGAACCATTAAGTAAGAGCCCTGCCCACACGGGCTCACTCTTCCCCAGATGCGGTCTGAAACTCTTTATCTCCACTACTGAATCTTCAAGACTCTCACCACAATAACACACGCATGATCTCTTATGTGCGTGTGCCTTAAGTTACTGAAGAATTCAAACCCTCATGTTAGATCTGCAAATGCATGCTCGGTATGGAAGTGTTGTGGTTCTTAGCGGTAGTTCTTACGGCCAGGAAAAGGGTTGCTGCTTAAATGAAAAGCAGTACCATGAAATCAGCTCTTTTTCCAAAATATAAAACAATGATTGGGTCACATCCCTTTTGAAAGGATTACAGGAGAATCTTACAATCTTAAAGCTTTTAAAAACTCATCATGGAACAAACTTTAAAGCCCGTCTAAAGGTCTAAAGAATTGGAAAATCTTCGCGCTCGTCCTTCATGCCTTTGTCAGACTTCTTCTTTTCTTCCTCAGGAAGTCATCCTCTTGGCACACAGCTCTCCGCATCAGAAAGAAGTCTGAAAAGAAAGACAAGGAGGGAAAGCTGGAAAACGGCTATCGGAAGTCCAGAGAAGGTCTAGCTAACAAGGTTTCTGTAAAGGTAGGTCTTCCAGGAGCAGCGTGTGCCCCTTTTAGTGCAACCTTGTTTTCAGTGATGAAGTTGAGAGGAGGACTACTACAACGAGCCGGTATGGACACCAGATCGAAATCTTCAAAATGTGGATATTTTAGTTGTTGGAACTGGCTTGACTTTTAATGCTTTATTTTTTGTTGTTTTCAGCTTCTAAACCCCAACTATATCTATGACGGTGAGTTGGCTTTTCATCAAGAGATATTTGTAAAAGTGTAAAAACTAGCTAATTGGGAGTCTTTTTGCACCTTCATCTTTATTAGGAAGAAATAATGAAAATCAGTTTGAATGTATGTTTTTGCTTGGTAAATAAATGTTGTAGTATGCATTGTTGAGGTTTGACAAATGTGGTATGAGCAGGTTATGGTGGGGGTTTTCAGCTGCTTGCATGGTAGGTGAAAGCACATGTAGTTTGCAGAGGTCAGGGTGGGGGGCTCAGACACATGAAGTTTCTGACTGCAGATTAGAAGGTTCAGCTCTTGGCTGGTTCTCTTTCGTGTCATTTAGGTTGTGGGAGTCTGTATCAATCAGCCTGGTCGTGCTATTGAAGTGGAATGAACTGCCTGGAATGAACTTGTTCATATGAATGTAGTGACATGTCTAGTTTTCATTTCAAGAGCCGGTACATTTGCTTTTGCAGTTCCTCCAGAGTTCTTATTGCCCCTGAGTGATGTGACCTGTGAGAATGGGGAGAGTGTCACCCTTAGGTGCAAAGTCTGTGGTCGCCCCAAAGCAACTGTGACCTGGAAAGGACCAGACCAAAATACTCTGAGTAGCAATGGCCATGTCAGCATTGCCTACAGGTACATCTACAACCTAACTGGAGATTTTTGTAACTGGTAGTACATATTTGAATGTCTGGAAATACGTTAAAAGTCTTGGATATGGTCCATATTTTAGATCTCTTCAGTAATAAGATTGCTTAAATATTAGATATGGTCATCATTTGTCAAAACATATATTATGGCATATAACATAAGGAACACACACATAAGTCCAATCTGATATAGCTGCCTGCAAAAACAATTCCTGTCTTAGAATGTGTATCCTTTGCCAGTTTAATGTTGAAAAAGCTATTTTATGGTTGCAAGAAGCATTGATCATCTGCATGGTGGTGCAGTGGCTATCATTGCTGCCTCATGGTGCTGGGGCCATGGGTCCAATTTCTGAGGTGCTGCCTGCATGGAGTTTGTATTTTCTCTCCACGTTTGTGTGGGTTTCCTCCAGGTGCTCAGGTTTCTCCCACATTCCAGACACATGCTTCTGGAAAATCTGTCCTGGTGTGTTAGTTTGTATCCGTGTCTGTGCATGTGCCCTGCGGTGGACTGGTGTCCCACCTTGTGCCCGTTGCTTGCTGGAATAGACTCCGGATCCCCATGACCCTGTACTGGATAAAGCAATTAGAAAACGCATGCAGGAAACATTGGTTATTGAAATGTGATCCATAATGAAGTGTATTATTTTTAATTAAGCTCATATTTAGTAACATAGTTCAAAAGATTCCAGAAACTGACATTTGGGTGAGCGCACCCTAGAGAGAACTGGGAATCGCTGACTTTTCTCTTCCTGCGCCCTGGGCAACGCAGCGACTCTGGAGAGGCTACTCTCAGGATCGTGGGCGTCTCTGCAGAAGACGATGGCACCTACACCTGCGTGGCCACGAACGACGTGGGCTCTGTCTCGTCCTCTGCCAGCCTCCGAGTACTGGGTTAGTTCTCCTGCATCGCTCACGAAAAGCGGACGTTGCCTGCAGTTTGAAGCAATACTGTGCTGTGTTGGTGTTGGCTGTGTTTTGACTGTCAAGTTCAAGTAACCATTCTGATTGCTCAGAAACCCTAAATCCATTGCTCAAAGAAAAGCTATTACAATTTTTTTGAAGAGCATATTATTTCTTCAACAGCTAAAATGAAGCAATGTCTGAAACAGCATTCTAGAACATCTGTTGTATCGGTCAACAGAAAAGTGTCAAAATGTTTAACATTTCTTGTCTCTCCATGATTGAATATGTTGGATGAATGTTATTCCTGTTTTTTTTGCTGTCTGCTCAAAGTGCCCTACATTCCTTGTTCGAAGGAGTGTGTTCTGGTTGCGGTTTTACTGTAAGAAAGGCAGACATGTTTTACTGACCCTATACAACTAAAAAGATTCATGCTGAAATAGGTCACCATCTGCTATCAAAGCTTTGCCTAGCAACTGGAATATTCTCGGTAGTAACAGAAGGCACACAGCTAGTGCAGACAGATCATGTGCCTGTGTAGTAGTATACCAACTCGTTTTTCATCTTCACAACCTCCAGCAGATCTCCTAGCTAACAGCTCCCTCTAGGGTCCAATCGGAGACCTGGCAAGCTGCAGAATTTCAGTTGCGTTTGTCTCATTTCTTTATTTTGGATTAGAAGGTTGAGAAGAATTAAACCCGTTTTCAGTTTTTGGGTTCTGTATGGTCAGTATTTTGAAGTGCTTTCATGCTTCAGTTAAGCATTATGATTTTTCCCAATAGTTATATAAACTTTCTTTTTAATGTTTGTTTTTCAGGTCCTTCCCATGATGGTATCAGGGTAGTCTGGAAAGACAACTTTGAATCCTTTTACGCTGAGGTTGCAGAATTAGGAAGGTATTGCAGATAGTTCCAAATTGCAACATTCTATTTGAGTTAAGCCTTACACTGCAGGACTCTTTTACCTTTAAAGGACAGATGGCATTTCTGGACTGCTTGCTATGAAAATACATGTTCCATCACACAGATTTACTGTGCTGTAAGGGATCCAGTGCTTAAACTTTATAATCAGAGTTTGCTTGCTGTAAAACATCTGTGTGCTCTAAAATGGGTAAAACATTAAAGGCATGTAAAGCCAATTGTACTTTTTCACCTGTAAACTATATCCACTCAACACCTACTTTAAATGGAAATTTCCTGAATCCCACCATTCGATAGAATTTAAAATGTAACATGATCAGAGTCTTATAGATAATGGCAAAAAGTGTTATTCACTGATCTTTGTCTTACTGACATAAAATGAGATTATGCATACAAAAATTTAACTTTAGAAATGAAAATGATAATTTTTACACTTTGCCTTGCAAACTTATCAAGACCCCTCCTACAGTGTCCCCATTTTCTGAAATTACAAAATGATGCATCTTTATTTTTATAATGTTTTGAATAACATCTAAATGCTCAAACTGCAAACATCTATGTTAGCGAAAACAAAAGAAGAAACTCAGATATGTTCATTTCATAAGTGTTTAGAATTGTAACCCCAGTATTTGGTAGAAGCAAAGTCTTTTTGGTAAGTCTCTGCCAGCTTTGCACACCAACTTGACATAGTTTTTGCCCATTCTCCTTAGCACATAGGCTAAACATCTCTGAAGTTGCTTGGAGATCACTTCTGGACAACAGTTTTCAAGTCTTCCCACAGATTTACAACAGGATTCAAGTCTGGCCTTTGGCCTTGTCAAGGACATTCACTTTCTTATTCTAAGAGTGTAGGTTGAGATCGTCCTCTAAGGTTTGCCAGTACTTAGGCCCAGCTGTGTGGATGCTGAATGGAGTAGAACTAGCACAGTGCTGCCACCATGCTTGACTGTAGGGATGGTGCTGACGGAGTGATGTGCTGGGTTTGTGTCAGATGTATCACTTAGGTGCTTTTTTGCAAAAGCTCTGCAGGATTTGAGATGTTTTTTTAGGTCATGCAAGCCCCCTTTGTGGACTGATTGTCACAGTTGCCCTTGCCCTCACAGTGGCCTCCCTAACCAGTTTCCTCCCAGCCCAGCTTCTCTGGTCATAAGGACAGCCTGATCTAGGCAGGCCCGTTGCCTTCTGCTTTTTAATGATCAACTACACTGTGAGAAATTAAGTCTTTGAAGTGTTTTTATACCCTTCTCTGGATCTGTGCATTAATGCAACTTTTCTTTGAGTTGTTTTGAAAGCTATTTGGTCTTCATGGTTAAATCTTTGCTTGAAAGTCACTACTTGACTGAGTAACCTCATGCAGATATCTGTATAGCTTAATTAATAGTGACTTATTAAGGCAATTTTGTGCATTTAAATTTTTGCCTCCAGAAATGTTTCTTAGCTATTTACTTTTTGTGTTGTCATTAGAATGTGTAGGTTATATATGTAACAAATTAATTGCTACTTCAAAGTTGAATAACTGCAAACCGTAAAACAGAATATGAAAACTTATTTTGTGCATGGGTCTGAGTACTTTTGCAAAAGACTGTATAACTGGTTCAGTGCTTGAATCAGAATGAGGTCATAAGTGTGAAATCATGACAGCTCATTCAGAAAACACTAAAGTGGAAATATTCAATCCTGCTGCAGACATAGTGTTTGTTTTTACAGGCTGGCATTCATTCATATTTATAGTGTGCACTGTTGCTTGGGCAATGACAATTGCAGTAGGCTTATGGTTTGTAACGTTGCGTCATCCAGGGGCAGGTTCTCTGTAGTGAAGAAGTGCGATCAGAGAGGGACTAAGCGAGCTGTGGCTGCCAAGTTTGTCAGTAAGAAGCTGATGAAGCGGGATCAGGTGACCCATGAACTCAGCATCTTACAGCACCTGCAGCATCCTCATCTCGCCGCTCTCCTGGACACCTTCGAGACGTCAGCCAGCTTCGTGCTCGTCCTGGAGATGTTAGTGTAACCCCGTCTTTCATTGCTCAATTCTTCTTGCTCTGGAATTCAAACTTCCAATTTCAGTTTTGTGAAGCTGTAATGCCTGTACATAATATGTGCTGTAAACTTTGGATATTTGACGTTTTTTTCATTTTTATCATTTTCATTTAGATCTTCAAATGGTTAATGGGCCATTTGTGATAACACGTTTTCAAAAACTGTACTGTCAGACTTTCTTCTTACTCCTCCGCTTCTATATATGGATCCACTTACTGAAGATTAATCAAGTTTAATGTGCACTGCAGAACTGATCACAGTTGCCCTGTTCTGTTGTGTTTTCTCTCATCAGGGCAGACCAGGGCCGTCTCTTGGACTATATTGTAAGTTGGGGTAATCTAACTGAAGAGAAGGTGACCGCGTATCTTCGGGAGATATTAGAAGCTTTACATTACCTGCATAATTGCAGAATAGCTCATTTGGACTTAAAGGTGAGTGCTGGCCTGTAAATATACCATATTGCTCAGGGGCAACATTGCCACCTTTGTAGATTGATCTCAGAAGCGAAGCAAGGGAGTGCCTAGTCTATATTGGGATGGGACACCTCCCAGGAAAAGCTGGTTGCTGCTGCAGGTGCTGTTGGTGGACCAGTGAGTGACACAGACAGGCAGACTTCCAAGATGCGCTTTGAGATCTTCTGAGATGAAAATAATTACATGCAAGGAGTTATTATTGGGGAAAAATAGTACTTTGTTGCTAAAAAAACTTTATAAAATTCTTATGCAAAAGCAACTTTTTATTTTGTAATTAAATTTAAATTACTCCTTGAATTTGGAATACTCTGTTTTCTGGAACTCCATCATATTAACCTTCTGAGCAGATGCGAGCTCCATTGTGCATCACTTGCACAGCTGCCCAGTATGTGACGGGATCACTGTTTCGCTTAAAGCCAGGAGTATCACGGCTGACTAAAGCCTCCTCCGGCTCGGTGTCTGAATTGTGCTCCATAGCTTGGGGAGTGCACAACCTGGACAGAAATGAGTATCGCCTTCAGTGGTCCAAGAGTAGGAATCCCCTGCCCTGGTCTTGGAGGAACGACCTAAATCAGCTCATTGGCTTCGTCACGCCAGTTTAACATCGATCACTGTGATGTTTACTGTCAAAGCTTCATTTAAAGTGTCGAACTGTTTCTGTTGAATATTTGGTTTAATGGAATTTTGATTTTCCTTTGTCAGCAGACACATTAATTAACTTTTTTTTTTGTCTAAGCCTGAAAACGTGTTGGTAGACCAGACTTCAGCCCAGCCGACTGTCAAACTTGCTGACTTCGGAGATGCAGTCCAGCTGAACAGCACCTACTACATCCACCCCTTGCTGGGGAGCCCAGAGTTTGCTGCCCCAGAGCTGATCCTGGGCAACCCTGTGTCACTGTCATCGGACACCTGGAGCGTGGGGGTGCTGACCTATGTCATCCTGAGCGGGGCCTCGCCTTTCTTGGATGAAAGCGTGGAGGAGACCTGTCTGAACATCTGCCGGTTGGACTTCAGCTTCCCTGATGACTACTTCCAAGGAGTCAGCCAGGCTGCCAAAGATTTCATGTGCTTCTTACTGCAGGGGGACCCCGCGAAGCGGCCCCCGGCGGGGGTCTGCCTCCAGGAGTCCTGGCTGCAGCCGGGTGGCCGTCACAATGCCGAGTGCATCGACACGTCCCGACTCATTTCCTTCATCGACCGGCGCAAACACCAGAATGATGTTCGACCCATTGGTAGTATTAGAAACTTCTTACAAAGCAGACTTATGCCCAGGGTGTGACCTTGGTGAAGAAACATGGCAAAAAAATAACCTTTATTCTCTCATTCTCTTTCACCTGCCTATCGAAATTTGAGGATCTCTGTGGTCTTCGGCCAGTCTTTGCTGCAGACTGGTTAGCGTTACAATGAAATTAAGAAAATAAATGCTAAAATGAACAGGTTAAAGCCACATTCATGGCCCTATCCTCATGAGGACATGCCAAGAAAGCCTGCGCAAAAGCAGAACTTTTGGAAAAGCAATGCAATCTAAACTAGCGTGGAAGACAAGAGAAACTTCTGCCTGAGCCAGACAGAGCAAACCTTTGTTTGACAGTATTCAATTCAGGTTGCTCAGATTGAAAAGAAGAAAAAGATCATTTTAAAGTCCCTTTTTTTAAAATCAATGTATAGGAAAGAAAATCAAAACGGAGGACAAATCTTTATCCTAAAATTTTCAAGAACATATTTAAAACAAAACAAAATGGCAACACTCACCTCTAAATCATTGCTCTACTACTTAGGACAAACTAGAGACCAAAATCTTGAGTTAAACATTAAGATGCAATGACTGCTTCGCTAAAACATCGAATCAGTCATCAGAGCTTTTTGATTGCCTCGCTTTGTATTTATTCTAAGGAACCATGCAAATCATGCCACAAACAACAAGACAGATTTTAACTGCTGCAAGTTCAACCTCAATCAAGTTTTTGCTTTTCATAGAACAGATTGTGTTGCTCCGATTTAAAATATATAAGCCTTACTTTGTATATAGATTGTACCTGCCTTCAGTTTTCATTTCAAAAAGGTGGCTTGCCATAGAAGCCCTCTTTAGGTGGGAAGAACTCAGCCTGCCAACTGGAGACATGTCAAGGGGCAAAGGGATTTTCTGTGGCACAGCAGAACGCCAGTCGGATTCCAGAGCAGTAAAGTAAAATGAAATACTGTAAATGCACTCATTGTATTTTGTTTTAATTCATATCATGTGCAATGTTGCGGCTTTAACATTTTATGCAACTCTATTTATGAAGACCTCTGTTGTACCTGTAATAAATATATAGAAAAGCACGTACTTGGTACTGCAAGTTATACTGTTATTTGTGTTTCTTCACGTTGTTTCCTTAGTTCAGTATTAAGTTCTGATTCCCCAAGGTCCTTTTCATTATGCAGACCGTGGGAATGTTATGGCACTTATGCGTTGACTTATTTTAAAAAAAAAAAAAACATTTTTGTTATAGTTAAACCAAAGGTCTCCTTGCTTTACAGTAAGTATTGCTTTATTTGTGACATTTTACTAATTTAAGTTATGGATACCATTATGAGCGTTAAAAGAGGGTGTTTACAGATTGTTTATTTATTCTTATGTAAATTAGGTGAGTATTACACCTGGTTTAATTTTGGTCACCTTTCATTTCATCCGCTGTATGTAACTGAGTATCCTGATTTAATTCTTGGCAAGTGTAATCTACTCCATTTAGGTTCTCTTAGGGTGGTCAGGAGTGAAAGAATAATATGCTTTTGAAGTAGTCGTGTTAAAGGGGAAAGGAACCCTTTTAGTTGAAGTTGCATTATTTATACAAAAACATCTATAATTAAAATTTTATTTGATTTGGAGAGGTCAGTCTTTTCATAGATGTTTCTCATATAAAGACCTTGGTATTTAAATTCTTCAGAAATGTTTCATCTGGTTGGAAAAGAACTACATGCACCATTAGAAATTTTAATGTGCATCGTAGATTTTAGCTGCTATGGTAAAAGTGAACAACATAAATGTATCTGAAACCCTTTGCATTGTGTTTCAAGAATTTAATAAGTGCCAGTTTGGACAAGTCAAGATCTGAAAAGTAGTTTTTTTTCTCCAAGATCTGCAAAGTACGTAACCTAGATTTATTTTTTTTTCCTCTAGTGATAGAATACAGTGGATTCATCTGTACAGTTCCATATCATGTATTCTTATTTATTCATTATTGTAAAGCTGTACAGAAACCGATTAAATACGGGAATTTGGACTGGATGCTCTTGTTTCAGCCTCATCGTATTTTACATATATACTTTAGTGTATTTGTTTGATCATTTTTAAGATTTTTTATTATTTTTACTTTTTGCATGTATATTACTTTGTACAGGAACCATACATGTTTACACTATGTGCTGTAAATATTTTATTTTGCCATCAATTATTTTGAAATTAAACACATGCAACATTCTTGGCTGTAAGCATTTTTGTTTTTGTTTAGTTTCTTCCTTCTTGTTGGGTTAATGTCCTCTCCAAAACAACATGGAAAAACCACACAAACATGCAACATTCTTAAAACAATCAACATGTGTTAATGCCATAGTTGCGTTGATTGTAAAGTGATTGATCTGCACGTCTTCACAAATCAGCACTTATCTTATTCTCACTCTTTAATCGCAGACACTGAGTGAGACATAATTAAAAATAACTGTTGTGTGGGGAAAAGTGTTGAACCAAAGTAGTCAGTGTTTTACTAAACGATATTCCGTTTTTATTTTTGTTTGGTTCAGTTTTGAACGTTTTCTTGTTTCCTTTTCTGACTTCCTGTGTCACATCCTGTGCTTTCATTTCACCCTGCTTTCCTGCTCTCTGGCCTTTGGACCTTCCAGCTGAGGGTACAGAGTCCTCCGTTACGGTTCTGGATGCGATTTTCAAAGTTTCATCTTATTCTTTCCAACACCTGAAGCCAAAGAATTAAAATGGCCTAATTAAAAATAATTAAAAGTTTCATATAAAACCTCAAGTGTTGGCTACAGAACACTGTAAACACATCAGCTTGCAATGAAAGTAAATTGTTATAAAATTGATCTCTCAACTCTTCTAGCCTAAAACATTTTTTCCAGTTATCTAAAGGTGAATAAGATGCAGGCGGAGGTAAGGTGTCCTGCAGTTGGAGAGCTCTGGGAGACTGGACTGGGTTCTGTACAAGCACTGAATTCTGTGATGTTGCAGATCTCTGTACACATGGTCTGTTTTTAAGATCACTGACAGTGTTGATACTTTACTGCAGTTTGTGCCTTGTGATCATTTTCATGTGTTTTCAGGGTCTGTTTTTTTTCATGCTATGCTTATCTAGGACGTGCCTGTACACATTGATGATGTATGTGCTGCCAGCACTCAAGTTCAAGAAAGAAATACAATTCCTTGAAGAAGGAAATCCTCTCACTGAGGAACATAATGTAAGGCTGTTTGGCTTTCAAAACAACACACTTTGTTGGTGGAATATACTCAATTTGAGATTAGATGAAACCAGCACCCATCCCAAGGTGAATTGAATTTGATTGAGATTCATTAGTAATCCAGGTGCTTGTGAATGTGTTTGTTTCGTCGGTGAAGACTGCACTCCTCCATTCCTCTTACTATCCTGTAAAGTGTCTAAAGTGTTGTATAGTTCTGCCAATTGAAGAAAAGTGTCTACTATCCTCTGTCTGCCTGTGCTGGTGCTGGTTCATGGGGAATGTTGCACTTGTCAGTTTCAAATGTATATGATATTCCAAATTGTTTTAAAAAGGAGGATGCATGGGATAGAAATGCAATTTTTTTCTGCAAAAACTGTCTATATTCCTGTTAAAAGTGCAGCCATTGACTGAAAGCATTGTGTGCCAATATATGTGCCATCCTGACTTCAATCCAGGTGTTTCCCCTTCGTGTAGTAAAGCTGCATCCTGTGACTGGAGCTCGGTGGGTGAACTGAGATACTGGGGAGATGGACACATCCGTGTGGTGAGATGGTGAGGCCATAGACATATTTCAAGAAGATAATGACTGAGCTCTCCTCCTATTAAAAACATTTAAAAAAAAAAACTAAAATCTGAATGATCTATTTCATCACCATATGCATCCATTATGAAAATGTACAGTATGTGGCCCGGGTGAGTTGTAGATGAGATGGATCCCCACGCACTTGTAAAGCGCCTTCAGATTCCCTGGGTACAGGAAGCAATGCATGGATTTGTTTAACCTTGCGACTGCTCTCCGTCGGCACCGGGCACTGCGTGGCAGCTCAAGCGAGCTCTCCTCGGGTCGGGACCCAACGGGGGACAGGTGGTGCTGTAAAAGACTGAGTCTGATTCATTTGATAGGTATTACTTTACCCTTACCAAGCATGGCCTCCTAATAATCCCCCTCTATGAATTGGCTTCATCACTCTGCTCCCCACTGAGAGCTGATGTGTGGGGAGCGTTCTGGATCACTATGGCTGCCGTCGCATCATGCAGGTGGATGCTGTACATTGGTGGAGGGGAGTCCCCATTACCTGTAAAGTGCTTTGAGTGGAGTGTCCAGAAAAGCGCTATATAAGTGTAAGCAATTATTATTATTATTTACCGCCAACTTCACATACTACACTCCTTAACGTGACACAGACTGATTCAGGACACTAAATAGACCTCTGAGAACTGCAAACGTTGAGATAATCCTTTTCCCCTGTGTTTTGCCATTGTCCCATAGTCCCTGGTCTGTATGACCCTCCGGTGCCATGTGTTTGTTTACCCCCTGTAAGGGGTGCAGGAGCAGATCCAGGTGACCGCAAGGTGTGGACCCTGTCCTGCGAGTGTGTGGAGCTGGCCAAGTGCACAGGACCTCGTGCTCCCACATGGTCCAGAGACGAGGTTCCGTGCCTTTCAGTCAGTTCTCCTTGGTTGTTGGAAAATAAAGTCTGCCTCTTGGTTTACGGCTAGAACCCGTACAGTATGTATGCGGCAGTTCAACAGCGTTAGGAGATCTCTGGTTCACTTAGCTAGTGAAACAAACCTTGAAAGGGCCGTGCAAACATTATCTTGAGAAAGACCAGCAAACGCGCCTTCTCAAACGCACTTCTTCCCGAACTCAAACTGGGCATCAGCGCTGGTTCTCCTGCTGAGCCGGAGGGGGATGTCCCTTTCCGTGCCGTCTTACATTAAAAACTGCACCCTATAAGGTATTACAAAATCAACGTTTCTTACGCATACTTTAAAAAAAAACAATTCTTAATAGGCTGAATAGTATTAATTATGTACTTCGCTTATTAACGGCTAAGAACACTTAGCAGTGTCTGTTTAGGGTGGCGAACCCTACAGTAATTTCTCTCATCTGCGAAGCGGACATATTAACAGGTGACAGCAAGCACGCTCTCAGTCTGCAGTCTCGCCACACCAGGTCAGCTGACGCGCTCTGGAAAGTCACAAGACTAAAAACATGGCTTTTATCTGGGTGTTTTTGCTGCTACCAACCATTACCGGAGTTAAACTAGCTGTAAGCTTACTCTTTTTATTTCAAAGATTTACGGGTAACGTTCCATGTATAACAGTAATTTAAATTGCATTGCTCTTTTAACTTGTTCAACATTATAGCCGAGCTTGGAGCCGCTGATAACTGATATTTTCGTGTTCATTTAATTATGTTTTATGCATATACTCTGTCTATACATTCGAGAATATTTAAAGTTTTGTGTTACAGTTGCAACTAGTAATGAATGCGTGAAACTTGGTAAAATGATACCGGCCGTCTCTTCTCTGACATACTGAATTCCGACTTCATTCGTCTTCATTGCTGCTTAGATCAGTGTACTGTATGCTATGCATTTTTTTGCAGCCCATGTTCTAAGTTTTCCTCTGAAGTTAAAAGAACGTTTCTGTACCCGATTATTTAACTTTGTAGTGCGACCAGCGTTGAGAAAAGAAATGATCTTACAGAAAGAGTTTCATGTGAATTTTACAAGGTTTGAAAAATATTAGGCTTTGGCTATACAGTACGTGTTGCCTTTTTAATGGTCTATGCAATCAGTTCTTAGCCTTCTTTTATTATCGATGGCTATCGCAACATTTTAACAATACAGTTTGTTATGACTTGGTATCCCAGGAAATCTTAAATTGTGGAGCATACTGTAATTGAGATAGAAATCCTAAATCCTCCTAAATCCTAAAACATTAGGATTTTTATAACCAAATTAATTTACAACGGAAATGAAGACTGATACAATATTTCTGTGACTATGTACAGTATTAGTATTGTTTACAGATACCCTGCTTTTATTTTTCATTCCAGTGTGCGGCACCTCGTAGTTTTGAAATCGATTACGAGAACGATTGTTTCCTCAAGGATGGAGAACCGTTCCGCTATATCTCTGGCAGCATTCACTACAGCCGGATCCCCCGAGTCTACTGGAAGGATCGGCTCATCAAGATGTACATGGCGGGGCTCAACGCTATTCAGACGTAAGCGTCACAAGTGGGCTTGGACACGGAAGGATAAAGAATTTATACTCTTGTGCCCTTGAGGATGATAAAGTGGTTCTTGCAGCTGTTATGACTGCATATTTTTCTATTACTCCCTTGACCTGAGCTTGTTATCTCTAGCAACAGGACGATGTTGTGATCCTTGCCAGAATCTTGGCCCTGACCATTCTGAAGTGGTTGTAGTGTAGACTCTTTCATAGTCCAAGTTGCTTAAGGAAAATGTAAAGGTCATATAACACATAACTGCAACTGTTCTAATACCACATATCCTTTTGCTATTTTACATTATATACCACAGATTAACAAGCATTTACCTGTCTTTCATAACATATAATTCACAGGTATGTTCCATGGAACTATCATGAGCCTCTTCCTCAACAACACAACTTCACTGGAGACAGAGATTTGGAGCATTTCTTGAAGCTTGCCAATGACTTAGGGTTACTGGTCGTCTTGAGGCCTGGGCCCTATATTTGCGCAGAATGGGAGATGGTAAATTTAAAAGATCAATTTGCATTACAAATCTGAAATAGCAATTCAATGTGTAATACTACTGATTTCTTAGCATGGAGCAGGGGTTAGGGATGTGGATTCTGAACTGAAGGTTGGTTTGTTCAAATCCCAGGTGTTGTGCTCTTGAGTAAGGAACTTTACTCACTTTGCTCCAGTAAACACCCTGCTGATGCAAGACATTTTTTTCCTCAATTGATTAATCACATTAAATAAAAAAAGCAAAGGAAACAAGTGCCAACTGGCAGATAGCAGGGTTTCTAAATTGAAATGAGAATCTCCCAAGTATGAACATCCGAGAATTTTTATTCATCCTGTTACTGTAAAAAAAATATATTCTTATTGATGAATATTAAGCATTTTGCTTATCTTGACATAAGGATATTATAAAATAATTACTTATTAGCTTTTTTGTTTACAGTAAATGATTGAATTTGTTTTGTCTGTTCTTGGTCAGGGTGGTTTACCTGCTTGGTTATTAAAGAAGAAGGATATCGTTCTTCGATCTTCAGATCCTGGTAAGGCTTTCAGTAACCAAACACTTATTTTTTAATACTTTTCACATGATTTTATATTGTTGGTGTTGTACTTCAGGAGTCAAATCTGCATTCCTATAAATTAGATTTTTTTTGTAATGTTAGATATAAGGGTTTGATTGTTTTGAGCATTATACAATATACCATATCCGTATTAAGCATGTGTGCCTATGAAGTGTTTTTATATTTTTAAATAAATTGGCTAACTTCCTTTATATCTTCCAGATTACATTACAGCTGTGGACCAATGGATGGGAAAATTACTTCCAATGATAAAGCCCTTTCTGTATCAAAATGGAGGGCCAATTATTACAGTTCAGGTAATCCTCATAGTACTAATAAGAAAGGCAGTTTTCTCTTGAACTTTTTTTGTGATGAATAAGTACAGCCTAGCTAGAATGATGAATCTTGATGTATACAGAGCCATCCAAATGTATTCACACCTCAGATGATATAGTAACAAAAATATCATATAACAGCATGTTTCTGTTTGATTTGAACCATTTGTCTTGCTAAAAAATAATTTAAAAATACTACCGTGTGCTGCAATCTTAATATCATTCCTCAGAGCCAGGTGATATTTGTCATAATTTAAGTCCAGAAATCATAAGGGTCCCAGTTATTCACACCTTCAGGTATTCCTTACCTGCAAAGTACATTGATTCTTCACAAACTCCTGAAGCATTGGTAAGGCAACGTTTTAACAGTAACACTAAATGTGGGAGATACAGTGCCTTGCAGAAGTATTCAGAACCTGCAGGGAAAGGAGTATTTATTCAGCAAACTCCTTCTCAATGACACACAAAAGACTTGCTCTCCAGGAACCCAATATCGGCTGACACTGCGCATGCCCTCGATATCCTAAGCCAATCTAATTCCACCAATGTGTGAATGATGCCCGCTGCTCCTTCACCAACTATCTGATAATGAACGCTTTCCCCTCTAGTGTGCCTTCTTTGAACTAGAGAGACCTCTAGTGGCAGATCAGCTTTAACTACAGTCCTTACTGCAGAAGGCCGACCACAGGTTCTTTTGAAATGCTTTCCACAATCTTCTCTTGATCTGCACCTTTGTACAACTTTATCTTTTAGTTGACTTGAAAGCTGTTTGGTCTTTATGGCTGAATCTTTGCTTGAAATTTACTATCTGACATACTGTAGGTGCCTTATAGAGATGGGTGTATTTAGTCTGAAATAAATATGAATCACTATTATTGCTTACATAGACCAGTAAACTATGTGTCACTTGAAAAGCAGACATTTGAATTGTGATATGACAATAGTCTTAATCCTAGCCCTAGCATTAACTATAAGCCCTAATTTTGCACCTAATGCCAACCCTGTCTAGAAGTCTTGACTTCGTTTAGGGATAGGTTGTGTTAGTAAGGTTAGGAGTTCAGTCAGAAGATTTGTTAATATGCAAAAACACATATCTCACCCAAAGGGCATCACTGTACTGGATGACAGCAGCAGACAATGTATTCAATATTTCTATCCCAAGCCCTATTCTCTGTCACTTATAATAATACTGTGATATAAAAAAGCAGTGCTCACAAAGTATCTCTTCCCTTAGGTATCACCAAAATAGACCTTCAAACCTCAGTAGGTAGATATGTTTTTCATAGAATAAAATGAAATTTTATTTTAAAGAAACGTGTAGCACAATTCTGTAAAGTGAAAAAGACTGCATTTTGTTTGGGGGAAAGGTATTACAAAAATGATTGACCAATATAAAATTTGTAATTAATTAATTATATTTAAATTAATTTCATATTTCATGAGTTTTGCCACTGTTTCTTGCTTCTTAAATTAAAATGCACTAGTCTAGGTTTTAAAAAGATTTGAAATCCCCAGATATTGTAGGCATGGAGTGGAGAAAAAGCCTTTCATGAGCTGTGGTTGTCTTCAGAGAGCTCAGCGGTACGGTGCAGAACAATGTGCAATAGATTCTTTTGAAGATAAGCAAGAAATGGGGACTAGTTATCAATCTATGTATCTTAGTGATCATTTCACTCAAGTTCAGTTTTAACTTCTATATTCTAATTCTATATAAAAATGTCACGAAGAACATAAATCATTAAGACTGTTTGATACAAGAAATGGATTATGGTGTTTTAAATTGTCAAATAGTTTCAAACTCTATTGGCTATATCCCTGTCATGGGCCTATCGTGTTGACAGTCCAGCTTTCTCTGCAGAATTATTCTTTAGTGTTGGAGATCTCTTCCCTGGTTCTGATGTCCTTCTGGAGGACAGTGCATTAAACAGTTGTACTGTCATTCTTGTATGACAGGTTGTTGGGTGTAGCATTAAACAAGAAAACGTTATACTTTAACCAGATATGCTTTACCTTTTTAGTACCACATTGCCTCTCTTTTTAAGAGATAAAAACTGATTGTTTTTATTGCCGTTTTACATTTTGATATTCATATTTTTCCTGATTGCTTTGATAAGACATAAGAATTTGCAGACACCCTTGCTTAACGTAGAATGCTAAAAGCAAGAAACAGTCATTGACTGACGGAAGTTTGAGACATTATTTGGTTGCCAAGCTTTCTGTTTGTGTACATTCTGATTCTCCATTCTTTTATCAGGTGTGAAGTGTAAGTGTTAAACCTTGTTTTTCAGGTGGAAAATGAGTATGGTAGCTACTTCGCATGTGACTACAATTATCTGCGCCATCTTACAAAGCTCTTCCGTTCCCACCTGGGTGAGGAGGTTGTTCTCTTCACAACAGATGGGGCGGGACTAGGCTTCCTGAAATGTGGAGCTTTGCAAGGGCTGTATGCTACAGTGGATTTTGGACCAGGTTTGTGGAGAAAATTATTGTAGTGCAAAAATATGGAACTTTTGATTTTTGAAATATCCTTATTATATTCCTTTCAAGAGCAAAGGTCCGCACCTAGTTACTACACCAGCAAATTGGAATTTATCTGAATAAGAGCTGTGCAGAAAATAGCTAGATGAGAGTAATGGGCTACTGAAGGAGAAAAGACTAATCTGACTGGATAATTTTCTCTATGTGGGTACAATGACCTAATTTACCCACCACTATACCTACCAAAACTTGTGAAGACAGAAAAATAGGTGTCTGTGCTTGGCAGTCTAACAATGTTGATTATCTTATCTTTAATTTGCCTGTCATCAGTAATTAGCACTGTAATAATCTGGTCAGATCCAACAATAGTGTGTGCTACCAGCTCCTGGATGACAGCATCAGTCTGATGACAAGATGATTACTGGTGTTTGTTTCAACCAGGGAGTTAAAACTATATTTATCATGCATCATGATTTCGGTTAATATTGGTTGTTTACAAAAACCTTAGAAAAACTTTTTATTTGACTGTGCAGGGGGAGTGTCTTTATATTCCAATGCTGTCAAGGGCAGAAAACATAAAAATCAGACTTTTACTAAGGACCAGCCTTACTTATTTGATGAGAATAGGGAATAAGTATGGAAATAAAAGAAAAGTGGGTATATAATTCATACGGTAGGTTAGTATTTTTGTAAAAATAAAAAGTTATCTAATTTTCAGATCACAAAGTGCAATTGCACAAAGTAGTACATTTGGAATGACGTCTTTGGGTCATGAAAACTGCTAGGTGTCCTAGTGGTGTGGACAGCGTCTTGCTTCACGCTGCTGTCCCCAGCTTCAAGAGCCTGGGGCCAGTGTCAGGCTTGGCTCCCAGTGTGAGTGTCCCAGGCACTCATGCCTCCTGCAGACAGGCGGAGGGGCTCTAGTGAAGCGTGGGAGTGGGAATAGTCATTTAGCCACCTGGTGTGGAGTAGCTCTGCTACACTATCTTTAGAGACTTGGGGTATAAGGGTAAGAATTTGCTCCTTACGTTCTGATTTTAATCATTATTAGTAATTCCTTACACTTGTATAGTGCTTTTCTGCACAATCCACTCCAGGCGTAGTGCACCAGTACACTCCCCACACACCTGCTCTCAGTGGGGAGGAGAGCAGAGTGATAAAGCCAGTTCAGAGATGGGGATTATAAGGAGGCCATGATTGGTAAAGGCCAATGGGAAATTTGGCCAGGACCTCAGTTTTAGGTCTCATCCGAAGGACAATGTCTTTTTACAGTACAGTGTCCCCGTCACTATAATGGGGCATTAAGACCCACCTGGTGCGCAGGGTGAGTGCCCCTACTGGCCCCACTAACACGTCTTCCAGCAGCAGCCTTAATTTTGATACAGCAATATATATCACCTCAGTGCATCCATGCCCATCCATTACTGGGTAACTTCAGTAGCTTTAGAAAACTCAGTTTATTAAATCTCAATGTATGTGAGGGAGTCTCTGTTTATTAAACCAAGGTTCAGAAAATCACACATTTATGCTTCTGATGATTTCTTAATTTTTGGGCTTCTCACTTTAAGAAAGATAAGATATAACAGAAACATAAGACTTCCCTTTTTTTTGTTTCTTGTTCCCATCCTGGTAACACACAACCATTTAGAAAATTTTGTTAAGATTTAAACCACTGAGTAGATGGTCTCATTTACCACTTCTCATTTTTTGTTTTTGTTTTTTATGGCTCTCTCATAGGTACGTAATGGCTGAAATATGATTCTTAATCATATGTTCCTCAGGTGCAGAAATCTGTGATGTTTTAGCACTGTAAGACATGGGTGCAGTTAAATGCTTCAGGTCAAGTGAGCATTGTGAGTCAAGCTGACAAAGTTGTACTGCAACTGTCGAAGAAGAACTGTGGTGATGTGGGGATCTGAGACATCACGCTCTGTGCTCTCCTTTGTGTAAGAGGTGTGTCAGTGTTATGGACAATTGAATTTATCCACCCTTTTTGAATGGACCGAAAGTGCTTTTTCTTCCTTCAACCACTTTTCAGTCTATCCATGCGGTTGGAGCACTGAGGTGAGATGGCAAAGCAGAGCTGCACACAGATCCATAGTATTTTATTGCCTCTAAATGACCTTGAGGTCCTTCTTTTTGACATTCAGGTAGAAACATGCTTAGAAGGTAATTCCTGTGACATCTTGTTTTGTCATGTCTGTCTCGTAAAACAGTATTCAGGAATGTGAGCTTAGGTGATATGAATTGTGCAGTAACTTTTCTTTTTCTTTCACTAGGTGGCAATGTTACTGCAGCTTTCTCTGCTCAGAGGCATGCAGAACCCAAAGGTCCACTGGTAAGTCCTGAGAAACTACAGCCCTCCTGGACTGCCTTTACCGACCTTTGTCACAGTTCAAACTGACTAAGGAGCAAACTCTCCAGGAAATCTTTTCAGGAGACGTTTAAATTTTAACCTGTTCAGGTAAAGGATGAAGCTTATGTAATGAGTAAGAAAATAACAGAAACCAGAGAACAGTTTTTAAATATTTTATTTAATCATTCTTTTTCAGAAATATTAGATTATTTGCAATTCGGCTGAAACACATTAAGAATGTAATTGACAGATTATATGTCTTGTATGTCACAGAAAAAGACAAAACGCATGATCTATACATTAAATTTCATGCTAGGAAAATCTTTACTCTTTATCATGCACTTTAACATACTGTAGAAAGTGGTTTTTGAAATTAACATACAATAAATGAAGTATCTTGAGTGGAAAGAAGCTTTTATAACTCATGTCAGACCCTTTTTTTTAAATTTGGGCAATTCAACACAGCCCACACAAGGGGTTTTGGCAGATGTTTCCGATCAGAGTATGATCTTTATCTATGGAAACATACTATATTACTATTTATGTATGCATAAATACACCTATATATACACCACTGTAGCTTTCACCTATGTGAAACTACAAACATCATTGATGTGCAACTCTTCCTTGAAAAAAATAACCTTTTCTTCAAAAATTCAGAAATGGGGACACAATTTAAAGCCTTTCCTTTTTAAACTGCATTATACAATGCAAACAATTATATAGCAAAATTGAATTATACAGATTTGTTGTTTTCATGCAGATCTTTTCTGAAAGCTGAGATCACTCACCAAGTGCACATGGTGTACTCTTGTTTGTGGTTCCTTAATTGTGCATAATAATAGGGGATGGGGGATGTGCTGCTAAACCAGCAAACCTGCAACTGCTGCAAAGCATTGAGAAGCTAAATTAGAAAGGTTTCAGGGAGCGTGAAGAGGTAAACTCCTTAGAGTGGATTGCCAGTTTTCAACACGGGCACCCTCTCTCCAATACATCCATCCAATGTCTAACAGCTTTTAGGTTTGCAGGGGAGCCAAAGTCTATGCTGACAAGCCATGGGTGCAAGACAGGATTCACCCTGTCTGTCACAGAGCAGGCAGACACGAACACAGACATGCGCACACTCACACCAGGGCCAATTTTTTCAAAAGCCAGTTAACCTGCCAGCATGTGTCTGGACTGTGGGAGGAAACCTGAGCACCCAGAGGAAACCCACACAAAAGCGGAGAGAAAATACAAACTCCACGCAGGTAGCACCTCAGAAATTGAATCCAGGGCCCCAGCGCTGAAATTCGATTTTTGTACCGTGTGCTGCTTTCACCAAGCATAATGTATATGTTACCACTGTTCTGTTAAAAAAGCAGCTATGACACCCAAAATTGCCCAATCGCCACAAAATACGGAGGTTTTAGAATCTTGCTTGGTTGAACTGATAATAAATGCTGTACTGTATAAGTAGCAGGGTTGTGAGAGCATACTATTTTGCAATATATCTAAAATTATGGAACGCTTCACAATTTTTGTGTGTCTTACTTGCATAGGGGCCATGCTAATCTTCTCTGTATCATTCCAATTTGAGTATATGTGCCGCCGAAGCAAGAACCAAAACATTTGCCTCTGATTTCAAAGACTAAACCAGACTGAAGAGTCTAAAACAAGTAACAGGTAAAATTGAAACTGATACGTACCAGTAATTATTCATCTTTAAATAATGACTGTATATCAATGGAAGGTTTTTTCTCTGTGTAAAAAAATTCCATTAGTGAAAATACCAAAAGGCAATTTGAACTGCTGTAAAAAGAGAGGAAGTGGTATCAAAAATTTTGGCTGCTTGTATGGCCATTATCAGAGATACTGTATGTTTTGTCCTTGGTTAAATTCAGAGACATTTCCTAAGTAGTCTAGTTTCCACATTTAAAGTCTGTTTATCGTTGATGAATCATCAGTTCTAAGAAGCCTTTATTATTCTTTTTGATTGGAACTATTACATTTCTTTGAGTTGAACATTTATTTGCGTGGACAAATTTGGTTGTCCTTGTGTTCATTTTTAAATAGTCCATTTCTTAATAATTCTTATTTAAAATATATCCTGTCATGACTTTTTATAGTGTCAGTTCAGCATTTTTTTAAACTGCCGACCAAGCTCTCTGTAAAGGAAAAATGTATTGTGTATCATAAATTGCCCAAGACCTGTACATCAGGTGGTGAGGGAAAGCCTAATTCCACAAGTGTGGTGTTTTTACTTACCTCCAACGGTCATCTTATCTTTCAGGTAAACTCTGAATTCTACACAGGCTGGTTGGACCACTGGGGGCAACACCACTCAGTTGTTAATAAAAACACTGTTGCAAAATCACTGAATGAAATCCTAGCAGCTGGAGCAAATGTCAATCTGTAAGTAAAACTCAGCATATGGTGGTTTTTCAAAGATTAAAAGATTTCTTTACATTGTACATGTGCATTATAGAAATATTAGTGGTTTGGTGGACAGGACTAGAAAGAGGTTCTGAATAAAATAGCAGAATTATTTATGTTAGGTCGTAATTTATAAGTGAAAAGAAAGGTTAGAGGATAAAAATGCAATTTTTGAAACAGATTGGTTGAACAGTCAAGAACAACAGAATATTGTACTTCAGTAGTTGTGACCAGTTCATCTTGGGAATTATGCATTGTAAATCTATATCATGTTCTCTTTTATGTTGGAATTTTTAAATATATTTTTTTTCAGTCATACTAGGATAAGTTGTCACACCTGAAAAACTAAAGTGACTGCAAAATCTTTTTTTTAATCACCACACTACATAATTGTTTGAAGAGGCGGTTTGTCTAGATACTAGGTACTGTATGAATCACCCCATTCCTGTTTTCTATCTTTACCATCTTGTCTTTCATATAGGTACATGTTTATTGGTGGAACTAATTTTGGATACTGGAATGGTGAGACATATTGCTTCAAACTGTTTGAATAACACTGTTGAGAGAACGTGGCTGAAACGTTCTATATAAATTTGATGGGTTTTACTTATTTTAGCCCCAGCAGGCAGTGCTCTGCATCCTGCCTTGTGCCCTGTGATTTTGGCATGGGCTCAGGGTTATCTCCAGCCACAACGAACAAGTGGCCTTCTAAAGAACCAGAGGGGTTTAACCCCAATACAAAAATAAAACTGTTAAAATCTCAGAACTTGGGAAACCCTGAAATAATTTTCTAATCACAAGCGACTTCATAAGCATACTTTTCTCTAGAGAAAATATTCTGCAAATCAGTTGAACTAACTTGGCAGAGAGTATTTGAGTTGTCAGAGCAGCTACATTGTGAATAGATGACACAAAGAAAAGTGGACTTCATGCCTAACAGGAAGAATTGAAAGAAGCAGATAAATTACCGCCGGTAATGGAATGTTGGCTTAATCTCCAACTTTTGAAGTCTAAAGCTTAAGTAAAGTGTGAACAAGGAAAGATGCGAATTTCATTCTGAGATTCTCCTTTCAGGTGCTAATACTCCATACGCTCCACAGCCAACCAGCTATGATTATGATGCACCTCTAACTGAAGCGGGGGATCTCACAGACAAATATTTTGCCATCCGAGATGTTATTAGACTGGTAAGGATTAAAGTTGCAGAATTAGTTTTTTTTTTATAAAATTACAATTTGTCCTTAACTAGTGATATTGTTTATTTTTCAAGTATGCTTAATAGGTATAAAAAATGGGATAGTACACACTGCCATTTGGTACAACAGTATTAATTTGTACATTATTGTGCAGCATACCTTACATGAGTTTGTAGAACAATTCACCAGAAAAACAAAGCAGAAATATTACATGTTACTGCCATTCCTACATAATTTTCATCCTGGCCTGCAGAAGTAATCTGAAAGGTTTGAAACATTCAAAGAAATGTATACCTAGTAATGAAGGGAGAAACATTTCAATGTAAAAATAATAATATAATGCAGGTGTCTTATTTGTTCGGTTTGTCAGTTGAAATTAGATTTACTAAGTAATGTGTTATCTTTGTGGATCAGCCTTAATTAAAAAAAGAGATCTAAAGAAAATGAATCTCTGAAAAAAATTACCAAAAAAGTGTTAAACAAGAAGCAACTGTACATTTTTAATAACGTATTTTTTAGATGTACAGTACTATCTAACACTTTAAAAATAGTTTTTAACAATCTAATAACACCCCAAGCATCTCAGATATTAAACAGTCGAAAGGCAGGGTGCAGGGATGTGGTGTGATTCCTAATGAATGGAAAACAGCATTTTGGACACGACTTAGAAAGTCTGTCGGACAAACCATGAAGTCCAAAATTAAGTCCAAAGAATAGAACAGCTAAATTACAATGTCATCACACAAATTCAAATTAATTTCTTCTCCACCATTGTCAGTGTTTTTACATATCTGTTCCGACAAGGTAATGGTGTCAAATCCAAGAAATGTTGCATTCGGAACTGATAATTAAAATCTATTAACAATTAATTGGTTTTAATTTGTTGTGCAGTACAGGAAAATACCTGATGGACCAGTCCCTCCAACAACACCTAAATTTTCATATGGAGCTGTAAAAATGAATAAAGTAAGTATTCTGAACACATTGGGCTGTATAATCTCCTCAGTTGTATTCTTGAGAACACATTTCTGATTTTTGAGTCTCTGCTTCTGGTCAGAAAACAAACACAATGACACAATGCTTGCAGCTCGTTTGGTGGTATCCCAGATTTTGGATTAATGTTGCAGTTCTGGGTGGCATCCTGCCTTGTTACTTTCATATGTGGACTCCTGCTTACGGTAATTATTTTTCAGGGACATATACCAGAATTTGACAATAAGGTTTTATCATCTGTACTGTGAAACTAGCTATTTTTATCATTTATTTCTCTAAACCTTACAGTTTTTTCTATAATTACCACAAGTAGCGTAAGGGATTGTGGGTAATTGGCTCTATTTCAAAATGTTGAGAATGCACAGCTGTTGAAACACTCTGCAGCACAAAAACCACAAGTGATGTTGTTGTTAAGGTTTTGGAGTTCACCTGAAGCATACTTCATTAAGCAGATAGCTTTTTATTTTTTATTATTTTCTGTACTGTTGTCCTCTCCTTTTTTGCTTTGGTTATACATTTCTTACAGCTTATTAGATTTTGAGGGGTTTGAAATGCTCCTGAATAATGAGAGTTTTGGTGAGGTGTCTTTACCTGTAAAATGTCAGGCCCTGTCTGTACCAGATTTTTACACACAGGGCCAACAAACTGAAGGATCTGCACCAGAGTAAATCACACTTCTTTTGCCAGTTACATTTTTCGCATGCGTCAATTCATTGTAGCATCAACAAAAAAAAATGACACCAGGTTCTGATTTAATCTGTGTCTTACAGGTGGAAAATGTGTGACTTTACAACTTGTAGGATTGAAACTAAAGTATTTTTCATTTTTGGATATCAATCAGTTTTCCTGCTTCAAATTCAAAGTTTTAAAGTTCTCACACATATAAAAACTCAGTGTCATCCTTTAAAATGTCTGGCTATCAGGGTGTTTTGAATCTCAGTGTCTAAATTATCTTCTTCTGTGCTCACTCAACTACAGCTCCAGACAGTAACTGATGCGCTAGACTCGCTCTCTTTCTCTGGGCCTGTGAAAAGTGTATACCCCATAACCTTCATTGAGATGAACCAGGTATGGGCAGAGATTTATACCAACAGAAACAGGTTTTATACAAGGAACATTTATTCATTATAACTGACTTGAAGTTAATATTACTAAAATAATTTCTTAAGATAAAATTGTTCTGTCGTCTGCATCATACATAGCATTATTTTTAGTTTATAGTTTATAGTTAAAAACAAAAACAGAGTTAATCTATTTATCATTTTAAGGACCATATCTATATTGTATGGTAAATTTTCCACAATTCAAATAAAGAGAAATAATTACTGTTAACTGCCTTCCTGGGTAACTTCTTGATGTATTTTAATAATTTTCATTTCCATTTCTATTTAAAAGCATTTCGGATTCATTCTATATCAAACCAAGATCCCTAAAGACTGCAGTGAGCCTACTCCTCTCTCTTCACTATTAAATGGTGTACATGACCGTGCTTATATCACTGTGAATGGGGTATGTTTTCATTATTTTACAATTCCAGGAAGCATTTTTGTTCATCAGTTTAATGTAGTTAAATTCCTTCTCAATCACATCTGCAGTTTCCAAAGGGAATTCTGGAAAGAGACAAATCTTTGACAATCAATATCACTGGGAAGGCTGGAGATCTGTTGGATATACTTGTGGAAAACATGGGCAGAGTTAATTATGGCAAATACATCAATGATTTTAAGGTATGAACTTTTTCATTTTAGTTTTATTCTGTTGCACATGAATCTAAAATTAATATGATGTTGCAGCGATTATTTGGCACAAAAATGATGATGCTTTCTTTAAATCTTATGAACGCATTGAATGGGTTGTCAGTAGTTGAATGTCCTGCCGGTAGAAAAAGGGGAGCTCTAAATAGTAGCTTCTGCCCTATTGTGACTGTTAATTGATGTCAAAAGACATTAAGCTGCAGATTTGAGGTGGATCCTGGCCAGAGATCATCTCCGAAAGAGACAGATGGGAATTGGGTAATTTGGCACTACTAAACAAAAGTATTCTCAGCCACGTTGAGGTCCATGTTTATTATGAAATAAGAGATGTTTTTTTTAGTTTTACTCCTTGTATGTAAAATGTTTCTTATCACTGAACTCTTGAGTCGTAGATCTCTACATGCATCTCATCTCATCCCCCTGCCTGCCTGTAGGTGGTAGTTGCATGACGATATTTTTGAGTTAGTTTTCTTGTTTTTTTCACACAAAAACAGAAATGTACAGTAGGTCATGGAGGGTTAAAAACCTGTTGTCTCGACAGGGGCTTGTATCCAACCTGACTCTGGGAAACGACACCCTGAGCAACTGGCTCATCTACAGTTTGAGCATCGATGAAGCCGTCAGTCAAGGTGTCCTCTGGGAACGAAGCCAGGAAAGGGCTTTCCAGCCCCCATCCGACCTCACCGCTCCAGCTTTCTATGGTGGCAGCTTCAGCATTCCCAGTGGAGTGCCGGACCTTCCTCAGGATACCTACATCCAGTTTCCTGGCTGGAGAAAGGTAACCCTGCCAGACCTGAAGTTTATTGTCCTCGTAAGCAAACCGCTAAAACAGGATATCAAACTATTACCTTTTCTGCAACTTACAAGTAAAATTGTATCTTGAAATTAAAATTAAAGCAGTTAAGAATAAGTCACAATCAAGACTTTTCTTCTATCAGGCCAATGTAACCTTAACCACTAAGATGGCCATTTTAATTTAATTTGGAAGTTTCAGCATGTCTGTGTTGAGGGAATGACTCTGAAAGCTTAAATTTAAACTTTGCTCTCTGTTGTTTGACAAATTAAGCTGAAGTAAAATAAATTTTGGGAAGTTGTGTGAGGTAACTTGTGGTATTCCTTCTCTGTAGCCCTTCCCTGTGAAAAAACCTTTCAAGGTTTCACTTCTTTCTCTGTGTTCTGCTTTTTCCATGAATTGTTTACCGCATCTGGATGCGATTCTTGCTTTTAGCAGAAAAAAATATTGAGCCTTGACTCATTCTTGCCTGCTAAATGCCAATGTGAGGGCTTCCCGAGTAATTCGAGCAGCGTTGTTGTTTGTGTCAAGCTCTGTAGTCTTACTGTTGTCTGTTCAAGCCTGGGTTGTAAGCGAGGTTAACTTGCAGGGATAGTGATAGGGATTTCCCAAGCAGTAGTGGGTGAGAGTCCGCTCGACGGGCAGCAGCAGCCCTGGGGCTGTAAGTGTGTGGTGTGGTCAGGGGCAGACGCACCTGCGGTCAGTGTGAACTGTCCTGCAGAGTACTGTGGGTCTCGCACAGCATCCAGTCACAAAGTGCCCCGACGGATTGTGAGTGATAGACTCCAAGCTGGCTTGAGAGGACATAGATGAAGAAGAATAATGGGGTTTTTAATTTTTTTAATTTAATTTATTTCGCTGATTTTTTACAGAGCTGTCGCTGTGGTGTGTATTGGTGCTGATCAAGGTTAGCAGAGTAACAGTGTTGTAGTAATTAGGACAAACACGCGGACACCAAGCCCTCATTCTGGACTGCTTGGTCTCTGGTTGCTATGGTTTCAGATACCAAGTGTTTACTCTGTGTGCTGTATTATGACACCCACATTTACTATCAATTTTAATGTAAATGAACAAGCAAAGATTTATTCTATTCTGAAAAGAGAAGAAAAGATACACAACTTTTCGGCATCTTCCGGTGGTCTTTTGCAGCTTATGCATGCTAACACAGCTACCTGCTTGAACAGTTTTAATGTGTACTTGTTTAAAAATCGATAACCACAGGATTTTATGGATTGAAACTCTTCTATGCCTCTAAAATATACAGATGATGCCTAACAAGGTGTGTGTAGATAATAACCCTGCGATTCATAAAAGATGAAAAATATTCGTAAAAATCTCACGTGATCATTCCATACAGTACAAAGGAAAGCCTTTGTAAATGGACAGTCCAGCTCCATTAGTTTGAGAGAAATTGTGAAAGAGTAGTTTAACCGCAGTTTCGGAGAAGTCCAGCTCTTTGAAAACCACTTAAAAAGAGTGTCTAGAATTAAAACCACTGAAAATATTTCCTTTAAGGATTTTTTTAATGTATTTCCATTTGGGTGTGTATATATTCTCAAAATACGGGAACCAATAACATTTGGGTTTTTTATGTTTAGATGCTTCATCGGTGTTATTTGTAGTAGTAATAATAAAAATATATTCCTTTGTTAGCTTCTCTTATCATCAATTTAAAGTTGTGGGTATATGACTTACAAAAAGACTAAAATTCTCAAAAGCCGTGGGGAGAAAGAACATGACAATTACGGTAATGCAGTTAAAGTTTTTCTAAGAAGTGCATTGTGGAATCTTTTGTCTTCAAAATTAACAGCTCACCTGTTTTAAAGTTGTCATCTGGAAGATGTGTTTCCTGGCTAAAGTTTCTGAAATGTTTTAAAGAATTTTAAAACGTTTTTTTTTCAGTTGTTGTTTTTTGTTGTTATTTTTATTATGGAAGGTTTTTTATCTTAAGAAATTTCCACATCATTTAAGTTACAGGGATTTTTTTTTAATGTTGGTGTTTTATAGTGTGCTGCCTTTTCCACTGAACAGCCTACACAGTGAAAGCATTTGATGAGTTAAACCACTAATTTCAGAGGGGGCGAGCTCTCTGCTGATGACTATCTGCTGAACTATGGACTGTAGAACTTCTGCTTCTTATCTCCTGTTTGTGCTACACCTTTGCTGATAACATCACCCATTGCAGAGCAAATAAATGTCTTGTGGTATAGCAGGTGAAGCTATACAGTGTGTCTTACTATGGCTCTCAGAGCATATAAAAAGAATAGACCAGACGATAAGTGTTACTTATGACCTTTTTCAGGGAGAGACTGCAGCCTTATTCTGATAACATTTGTACTCATTTATGCAGCTGGGCATTTGAGCAGATGGTGTACCTTGTTCAGTTGTACAACAGCAACATCTCACCTGGCATTTGAATAAAAAACAATTCCAGAACACTAACGCTGGTCCTTGTGGTCAAATTTGAAAATAAAACTTTACAAGAAAACTTCTCAAATTCATAGCATCCTAGCAAAATTGTATTGCTCTTCTGAGAAAGAAGCATTTCAAAGAGCTTGAGATTCAGATCTTTCATAATGTCTCTAAAAAAATGGAATCTATTCATTTTAAACACATTTTACTATATCAGTGTCAATTTAACCTTCGATGTCAGACATCAAGCACCTCAAGACTAGCTGTAACTAATAATGAAAGTTTTTCTTAAAGAGCAAAATGGCAATATGACTAATGTATCATAAAATGGATATAAAAATAACTGCAGTTGAACTTCAAAAAGTAATTTTGAAGTCAAAATGACAGATATTCACATTCATGACATTAAATCTTAATACATTTTAACACTTTGGCTTCAATAATGATTAGCACAAAGATATGTACTTTATTTTGACAATGCAGAGAAAACCTAAAAATAGGACAAATACATATACCCTGTATAAGGACAAATTAAAATTTTTTTGGTATCAAATTGTCAGAAAAATAGAGGACAAACAAAATATATGCAAAATTATGGGAATTGGAATTATGAGAAACATAACTGTTTTGTTAACAAAATCGCAAAAGGTGAACTGCAGTCCCAATTTCTCAAACCAGTTGGTTAATAAAACTTGGTAACAAATTAATTTCAAATTTAGCACAAAATGGTTGACTTTGTGAAAGTACTGTAAGTCTCCATGTAAGAACCAATGAATTGTGATGAGATGAGGCCCTTTCTGCTCTCTGGTCTCCGTAATGACTAAAGTAATGTGATTTACAAGCGAATCAAGACAGGTTGTGCAGCAGACGTTTCACTGCTGAAATGTTCCAATGTGATCTGCATGCAACGTTAAAAAGTAAGTAGTGTTTGCAAAACTTTCTAAATTGAAAGCAATATTTCTATTGGATTAAAAGAGATGTATTCACAATCCTGGGCCACACGTGTCACCAGACGGTTTTTTGCCTTGTTATAGATAGTTATAAAATATCAATTGAGATACTGTATATACAAATATCTGAAATTGTTTTCTGTTTCGAGATGTGAATTGGAGGTTTGACAGGTTACTGTGTACATTTTACTTTTATTGCTGTTTGAAATTCACTCATCAATGATGATTCTTCTTGACCCCGAAAAATGAAAATAGCATTGCAGTTCCCCTTAAAAATAGGCATTTCTTTCACAGGAACTTTTCTGCCTATTTGGTTTCATGTCAGGCCAAAGATATCACTGATGGGATCGCAAAACTACTTCATCCCCTTTGCAGATTTACCTGTTTTTGCTGTAGAAGCAAAAGCTCCTCTTCTAACACTGTGTGAACAGGAACTAGCACTTGAGCTTTATCATGTTAAGTGTCAAGAACAGATAAAAAAGAAATCATCCCACCCAGCTCATTTGGGTGTTAGAGGCTAACCTGAAGAAGGAACCCGAAAAGAAACTGTATCGGCTTCGATGTGTCTGGGACACCTGGTTCCATAGCCGCTTGGGGGTAAAAAAGTACCTCCTGTTCTGGGTTTGAAATGCACGTCCACTCCGTGTCCACCTGTGTCTGCCGGTTCATGTTTCACTGTTGATTTTGAAGAACTCCACTTGGTCAGTGCCTTTGAAGATTCATAATACTTTGATCAGCCCTTATAGTCCTATAAGACTATGTGGTGGGAGTTAAAGCTTAGTGGATTCAGGGCATTACTTCTTTAGGTCACCTGATGAATTAATGCCTCTTGCAGTTACTCTTTCTACATCTTTCTACAGTACAACACATTTGTCCTAGGCTAGCTCTGTGACTGTAATTGAGACATTGGGCAATTATCAATTGATTGTATTCTCTTTGGGGCTCCTTTGTGCTCTCTCCTGAGATACTACAGGTCTGAAGCACAGTCTGTGTACTGTATGTGCACACATATGCACAGTATGTAGTATGTATACATAAGGAAGAATGCAGCTTTAATGTTTTCTTATCTATTCTGTTGTAAAGAAGGACAATTGTTTTGTGAATAGTCAGTCTGTTAACCCTTCACAGTAGAAAATAAAAAAAGTTTGTCTAATAAAATTCTTATTTTCCTAAGGATTGACTCTCAAAAATGAGGACATAGATCCAAGACATATAAAATGAGATTCTAATGAATGTCATGTAGAAAAAAGTCAGAAGCATTTCTGGGTCATTTGATATGGTGTGGTGTCTGGTGGTATGTTGATTGACAGAGCCATCAGAGAGAATATCATCTGGCTTATTCCGATAGTTCAACAATCAGGCATTGTTCAGTAACTGTATGTAGGGGTCACAACCTTTCAACACAGTCTTTTTTGCAAATTAAAAAAATGATAATAGAAAAGCATTATTATTGATATACATAGTATATATTAAATTGAACAGATAGCAAGTTATTATTAAAGATGCACTAGTAAACCAACTTTCTTACCTCATTTGTATGCTATGTGAACTACTTTTTACTTGTTTTTCAATAATGATTATTTCAGTTACTAAACAGATAGCACCGGTGTTGAGGGACTCTAAGTATTAACCCCCTGAGGAGTTTCATTCAAGTTTCAAGCTTACTGGGGTGTTTTTATTACTTATTCTGTTTAGAAAGAAAGCTCTTTCAAAGAATTATCACTAATATTTGAAGTCCAGTGTTTGTATTACTATTGTTTTTTAGTGACGATTGTTTCTAAATAAAAGATTTATTTTTCAGAACCAGACTGGAAACATTTTAATCATAAGTCAACATTTTTTTTTACAAAACGAGATTACTCTGTTTTATTGGAATTTTGTTTAGCCAAGACATATGTCCATTTTATTTTATTAAATTATTCAACTCTTTAAGTAGCTTGTTAATCTAGAAACACTTACCAGTTCCTGTCTTCATAATTGCAGGCTTTGTCTTGTGTACAGTACATCCATCTATGCGTTGTGTAGATGTTAATGCTAAATTGCTTAGTTGTCAAACAGGGTTACTAAAATTTAAAGCCAAGCCCCTCAACCAAAATGAAAAGTGATTTATTTGCTCCAAAATAATGGTACTGAAAGATAAGATTGCACTTTCATTTTCCATCTCACCTGTCTAGACTTATGAACACTTCTTGTAACTCTAAAGCGATAGTTTTCTAACTACACTTTTGAAGATTTTCAAAATCCACTTGTGTATGATATCAAAATTAAGGACCACAGAGTTTTTGGCAATAGCAGCCTTCAGTAATTTGGTTAAATCAAACTGTATAAGCTTGATATTAGAAGTGATATATTCTTATCTAAATTGTTATATGGAGCACTCTTCTAATTCCTTATGGATATTTATATAGGTTTTCTTTCATTAAATTGTTAGAGAATGATTTCCCCTGAAGAACAGAAAGCAGGGAATCGCAGTATATCGAATAAAATGGCCAATGATATATCACAGAGTAAGCTAATGCAGATATATTCCAGATTAATCTTAAAATAACATTTTTGTGCGGTTTTTATGCACATTTTTTTGTGATTAATACTATAGAATATTTTATTTTTTTGTCAGTGTTTGACCTAGCAAAACGATAAAGGCTTTGGCTTAAATTGTACCATTTTTTTATTACCAACTGGAAGCTGGGTTCTGAAAAATAATTTAAAGATTTACTAAAAGTTATTTGACACCTAATATTAATTCACTTTTTGGGGACTTTCTTTGAAATTTCTGACTTAATTGTTGCATTACTGTTTTGAGTCAGATTTGCTTTTTGAACACACTGGTTCTTTTAAAGCCTCTAGTTTTTACTCAGATATCTCCCACATATATCGTTTTTAATCTAATCTGTAGAAATAACTTTTAAAATGAGGATATCACATCAGAGATGTTCTATCTGACCTTAACTAGAAGGGTTTGAGGAGAAAATGCAAAAGTTTTTTTTTTAATTCTAAAATTTTGTTTTGACCTTCGTTTAATGTAGAAAGATTTCATAACAAAAAGCAGTATTCGAGGTCTGTAGTAATGTGCTAATTGACATGACATGGAAGATGAACACATCAGCACCAGTCACATCTTCTGGAAACCATCATTAAAGCAGATCACAATTTACAGCTTGTCCTGTCTACTGTTGCTCTTGAAGATCTTTATGGTTTTGCACAAGCTGAGCGTGCAGTTTACATTATTCAGTTAACTGCTCACCTCATGAAATGTCTTGGTAAGACAACTTTGTCTTTAGCTCCATGTTTTGTGCAACCATATTAATTTAAATTCCGCATCTCTCACTGGTGTCAGTAAAAATAATTTCTGTTGGATCCAACAGAGGGCAGCAAAACCCATTTTTAAAGCAATGTCTCAAACATTTATAGGCTTTGCTGAATAATAATAATAATTGCTTACACTTATATAGCGCTTTTCTGGACACTCCACTCAAAGCGCTTTACAGGTAATGGGGACTCTCCTCCACCACCACCAATGTGCAGCCCCACCTGGATGATGCGACAGCAGCCATAGTGCGCCAGAACGCTCACCACACATCAGGTGGGGAGGAGAGCAGAGTAATGAAGCCAGTTCATAGAGGGGGATTATTAGGAGGCCATGATTGGTAAGGGCCAATGGGGAATTTGGCCAGGACGCTTGTTTCATTGTCTTCATTTTCAAGGGGGAGCAATGAGCACTTGATTATGAATTACTACACTTTATTTAGGTACTGTAGGAGTATGTAAACATGTGTAATGAACCAAACTCAGTTCTCTCAATTTATCTGACTTTAGACACTTTGTGTTCATGAGAACCAATGAACACGACCCATGCCCCTGAGAAATGTTAGTCAAACTGATTCTTTTCGTTATTGACATACTCTGCATAATGAAGAAGAGAAGCATGTTTTCTGTGGTTGTCTCACACTTCCCACCATTCTTTCACCCAAAAACATGATTCCCTAGACAGAAAGCAAGAGTGCCCACACATATTTACATATTTCGTATTTCTGTGTTGATCCATTTTAAAAGTAACTATTTGCAGTGGTGGAGTGCTGTGGGTTTTGGTTTTTTTGCTAGTGATCTGAATTGCATTATCACTGATAAAATTAAATTCTGTATTAGTCCTGTAAATCCCATCAATATATAAACATACAAAAATAAACATATATACATACAGAAAAAAACAAGAAACTCTATGCTTTAGAAAAGGCTAAATGGATTATCATTTTTTAGGCTTCTCCAAGTGCTTTTTTAGTTAGGGATATTATAATAAAATGCTCATATGGGTTCTGTATGGACATACCAGTGATAAAGGCTGATTGTTACAACCTAGTATTCGCATTGCTGTCTAGATATATGTTTCCCAGCCTGAATGGAAACTAAAAAGGTTGTAAATCACTTAGACTATTTTATGGAAGTTATCTAATATTAACAACCAATAACTATTTTTACTGAACAGGCCTAACTTTATTTGCTGCTATTAAGATGTACATCTTGATGTTGTTGAGTCTTTGTTTAAATGCAGACATTACCATTTCACTCATTAGTCTTATGTTTTAGAGCATTCACGTGGATTACATAAAACTCATGCTAAAAATGGTGAACTGTGTTTAGATTTCCTCTCTTTTTTTTGTTTCTTATTTTGCGTTGCTTTCTGTTAATTGAAACTTTATTTCATTTGTTTATTTTTTTCAAAGGGACAAGTCTGGATCAATGGATTCAACCTGGGAAGGTACTGGCCAGCCAGAGGCCCTCAGGTGACCTTGTATGTGCCTGCATCCGTCCTGAGTACAGCCGCTCCCAACAACATCACCGTGCTGGAACTGGAGAGCTCCCCGTGTGACTTCGGACCCTGCACTGTGGACTTTACTGAAGCTCCTGTCTTGAATGCTACAGTTGAACATCCAGCATTGAAGAGAAAGCTGTTCATAAAAGAAGACTTGGCATAGCTGTTAAGGTATATACTGTATGTACTGTACTGTACACACTTAGGTACATACTGTACAGTACATGCATTTGCTTCTTTTTTATTTGGCCTTTAGAACTGATTTGATGCACTACCTCAAAAATCATGATGTTCCTGTTTTTTATTTCCCTCACATGTTTGTGTAGGCAGATGGATCCCATGTGTTTGAAGTGGATGGCTCACTTTATGAGGGACATACATTTCTTTATTTTATTTAAAAGGTTTAAAGATATTCAAATGTAGACTTTGGGTATTGTAGGTGTTACTTAAGGAGTAAATGGTGCATTTTCTCTCTTTACAGGTTTATTCACATGGTTACTGATGATTAGAAAATGATTAGAAAATCATTAGAAAATTATTAGAAATAGGAATTTTCTGAATTTTATGATTTTGTTTTTCTTTAACTTTAATGATGCCTCGTAAATTAAATATTATTAGTTTGGTTTTGTTTGAATTGTTGATTTATCATGGGACCCTTGTTGAATATTTGAGCAATAATTATTATATAAACAACTGGAGTGAGTTTTTCTACTCCACTGTTATTTTGAGAATGCTTGTAAAACAAAAGTGGGTGATATTCCTTCATCTTTGAAAAGAAACCTTTTCTGTTTAATGAGATCTTCCAGCTTCGGTTTCAATTATATAATGATGATTTTGTTTATTCAGAATAGTACATCAGAATCTACAGTAAGGAAGGAGACATATCACTCATAATTCAGGGTATGATCATTTGGATCTCTATAAAGAAGAACAATACAATCTTAAGTCCTAGTCCTGTTTCTCATATTCATGTGAAGACTATGTGATTGGAAATTTGTTATTACGACTTCCCTGAGAAGTATATTCATATAATAACAGTTCCAACTGTTCCAACTTTTTTTCAATAGTCAGTTTTAGTATATATTATTATTTTTGAATTTAAATTAAAATGATTTTCTGTTATACCTGCTCAGGAAATATAAATTGATAATGGATTGTTGGACGTAATGAATTTCTTTTTAGATAATAAAACAATTATTCACTGTTTATGGATCTGTGCGTGTGTGTATCATGACTTAAGTGGATTCTTCCTAATGAGATTTGAATATAGATGTTATACTTTATAAAACTATTTTTCCTGTGAGTAATTCAGTTGACAAAGCAGTTTTGCACCCAAGTATCCTGATTCAGGTTCAGATTTTGAACAATCTGGCCTGTTTAAAGTCCTCCCTTAATTTATCTGGTGGAGCAGTTTCTCAGCAAGACAGAGGCTGTACATCAGTGGTGTATGAAGTGGTTTATTTGAAGTACTTGGATTTTGATTCTAGCAAGCAATTTAGCATAGTCTAAATCATTTTACATTAGTTCCTAGAATGTAACACGTTGCTAGAAACTTAAAAATGATGTTAGATAACATCAATCGTCAAGGTTCTGATTTAAGATTTTTTTCACACTTTGATCACCGCTTAGTATGTTACTGTTCTTAGGAATACAACAAGGACCTATTTGGGTGAATGTTGAAATGATTGGTGGCTGCAGATACTCATTAGCTTCACATACCTTGTTTAACAGTCAAAACCACATTCAGGGTCAGGGCCGCATTTAAAACGCAGAGAAACATTTACCAGCCTGTTTCCACAGTGCCTTCTTCTGCAGCAGAGGGAAGCTGGTCTCCCTGTCTTTTTCTTAACACCAGTGTTTTTAAAGTACTGCTCAATTTAACATTTTTAATTAAAATGTTTTAAAAAGTGCGGGAGGATCAATATGTGTTGTATCGTGTTTTTGGTGTTATTTATTAGTTGAAAATAGGTGTAAAGGAGCAGGGTACCTTAAAGTGGGAGGTTACAGGGGGTGGAGCCTCCACAATAAAACTAGAGGCTGACCGCACCAAGATGGTTCTCTTCTGGGTTCCAGGAAGGAGGGTGCTCTTGGCCCCCTTTCTTATGGGTTTTTGGAGAAATTCAACTTGTTTTACTGTTTTACCCATGCGTGCTGTCTTATAAATAAATTAGGACCTTTTTATGTATCTTGTCTGGTTATGCACCGGTTTAATTTAGCATCCACTCAGAAGTGAGCCCGGGTGAGAAGAGCCAGCTCTGCGACAACAGCTAATGAATAATAAATACAATAAAAACCATCTTAAATGACAACTGATTGTTCTTAAAAATCAAGTTCTGTTTCAATAGCTTTCAGAATGTAAGGTAAGTTCTGTTCTTGTAGCATTTGCTGAATGCCTTGTCCCATGATTAAGTACTTCCATTATAATTATAACCATGTCAATACAATCATACTATTTTCACAGCCACCATTACATCCATTTTGATGTCCTTAAATAAACAATGGTTCAGCTAAATGTTTAGTTTGAATTAATCTTTTCTCATCATGGGGAATTCACTTCATCTGGATAAAATTTCTCTCACCCCTCTAATGCGAGAGATATTGGAAACTAGATAAGCTTAGTTTTTGTCAATGATATTGGTATCTCTAGCCTGGATCAAAGCATATAAAATGTCTTATGGATTAGTAAAGACTTGGTTTCAGAATCAAAAGATAGTCATAAGACATTTGCTAATTAAACAAATTTATTAAAACTGACAAGTTACATCACACTCATTATAATTTAAAAATTGATATGTACAAATATAAACATTGATATACCTGATTGTCACATAATTATCATAGTATAACACTTTACACATGAAAGACCCAAAAAGGTCTGAAACAGGGGATCGGAGATAGTGAAAACAAGCGTTGGGTATTAAGGCGAGAGCTCTGGTACAGCAATGACACTTTAAGAAGTGTTAATATTTCACAGAAACATGAGACATCCTGGTTTAATAATTCCAAGCATATCTTCAGCAGTGTCATGTCCAGCCATTTCTGGAATCCTGTCTCACTTGGACAAGGACATGACTCACGGCTCAAGCTCAGGGTATGTGGGACATAGAGCTCAATCTGTGCTCAGAGTCAGAGGAAATGCTTTTACTGATCAAGCTGCTCCTGTCGTAAAAGTATTCAGTTTACTTTGAAACTATTGTAACCTCCAGTACATTGATGTTGATTATGGGATCTGTGTACATATGTTCCATCATAAAATACAATACCAACAAGGGATAAAAAAATAAAGTTAACTGATCTAGCAGATGAGTGCAAATTCACAAATCTGCCCTAAATTAATTATTTAAACAAGAACGATTAAAAAAAACAAACTAATGTTAAGAGCAAATACACAACCTGGGTGAACATAGAGCGATTATCTTTGTCGAAATGATAAACAATACAAAACATGTATAGAAATATATAGATATTCAAATTCCAGTAGACTGTTCAGCTATACTTGTTGACAGTGAATATTGTGAGTATACCGAACCTGTGGCTGAATTCAGATGGGTTTTAAGTATTCTGCAGTTTACACAAGGTAAGCTGGTTATCAGTCTTGAGATGTGTTTTTTAAATTTTTGCCCAACGAAAACATATATGAAGGGGTTCAAACAGCTATGCAAATAGGCAATAGCTTCAGTAATCTGGAGACTTAAATGAATACTTTTACTAGTTTCACAAAAGCTGTATACTTCAAGAATCTCTAAACCCCTAAAAAAACATGCAATATTATAGGGTGTCCAGCATACAAAAAACACCATGACTACCATAAAAACAAGTCTAATGGCATGCTTCTTGGGTGACTTGGAGGTGAGTAGTCTTCTGACAATCATTGAGTAGCAGAATACCATGATACCTAATGGAAGCACCAGACCCAGAATGTTCATTTTAAACACACGGAATGCCATGAAGAACTCACTGTCATCAACATACAGAGGATTACAAATTGATTTGTTTCCGTCGATTGTAACTTTATTCTTTATGATCTCGGGAAATGAAGACAGAAACCCAGCTATCCAGATGCCCACACTTGCAATCCTTCCGTGTGTTGCTGTTCTGGCCTTCAGTGCATACACTGCATGGACTATCGCTAAGTATCTGTCTACACTCATCAGTGTAATGAAAAAGATCCCACTGTAGAAGCCAATGTTGTAAGAACCCAGGATTATTCTGCACATGGGATCACCAAACACCCACTGGTCTCGGGCATAATGAGCCAGGAATGGAAGGGAGAAAACAAACAGCAAGTCAGCGATGGCCAAGTTAAGAAGACAGACATCAGTCATGCTTTTCAACTTTACATGCAGAAGCAGAACCCAAAGAACAAGAGCGTTTCCTATTACCCCAACTACAAACAACACAGAATAAACTGCTGGAAGGAAGGCAGCTCCATGTGTTTCATATTTACATGACAAGAAGTTATCGTAGTCTATTTCTGTGTAATTGTATTCGTCTTCACTGGTCTTCATCTGCACAGGAGTGCTGTAAAATATAACAGAGTTAGATAAATCTAACTTTATCTTAGAATAAATTAGTTCTCTTTTGAGATTCTGCTAAGAACTTAGTTGAATTTAGCATAAAAATATTCCTTAAATTTTGTCATTTAATTTCATATATGTAGAAAAATATGGAATATGCATATAATAGTTTGTTCTTAAGAAAGATCACACAGGGGATGGAGGTTAGACAGAAGAGAAGCCATTCAGCCCATTTTTCCTGTTAGTAACCAATTGATCCAATGATCTCATCCAGCCATTTTTTAAAAGAGGCCAGAGTACTGAGCAGCATGTTCCATACTCCCACACAATTTGGATACAGAAGTGCCTCCTGTTTCAGCAGTCATGTTAACAAAAGGTTTTCTACTTACCTGTATATTTCTGGTGTGAGTGTGGTCATATTTTCACAACTGCCGTCAAAAACCTAGAATTCCAAGACACATGCGAGTTCATATTGAAATAATTTCATTTTAATCTTTCTCCTGTGCCATTTTGGGTTGATAAGTAGTTAAAGGCTTACATTTTGAAAACTGAAATAGCCTTAGACATCTTATTATATCTAAAGTTCCCCCAAGTATTGCCCTACAATAGACTTTATAAAGCATTTGTATATTACCTATAGCAGTGTTTGGGGGACAAAGGCATGTAGCTCTAATTTAACCCAGAGTTGTTTTGTTTTGGTAAATACAAAACTCCTTGTTTTACACTGACACATTGTAATGAGCTTCAGCTGCTAACAATATCAGACACTGATATCAGCCCTGATTCTGCCATGGTGTCAGCTGATTTATAAATGAAACTGCTAAACACCTTGTCTTTTTGTCCACAATCCTCTTTACTGGCCATCACCGCTATTCACGCCAGCCACTCTGCTTTGAACGATAGCTGCTACATCACTTATCAGTGCATGTCCAGAAGCACGTGTATACCAGATGCCACGATTGTAATCCCTCCCTCTTAAGGGCGCTCCGGCTTTTTTTTCCACATTTTAGTTGATTTTCCCACACCTGCTCCCTGTTCCAGTCCACCTTTAAAAGCCAGACACTCACTCTGGTTTGGGCTCTGCCATGGAACAGGGAAGCCTGCCTACCACCGAGCCGCCCTACGTCCGCGGTTCGAGGGCTCCTATCGGCATCCCAAACCAGCCGAGTCTGGGACCTGGAGCGTCTGGTCCCGTTACCCGTTTTTAATCCCCGTCCTTGCACCGGATCCCGTTCCGGCTTTTAACTGTTTTGTTTCGTCTCCTCCTGCATTTCCTGCTTTTTGGAGTTTTGGACTTCACCCCGGTTTTTCCCCTGGATTCCCTTTGGACAGTTTGCCTGGACCACGCCCCCCCAAGCATCTTCATCACACCCCCCCCTTCGTCTACCAGTCCAGTTCCTTGTCTCCTCCCCGTGTCTGTTCACTCCCTTCCATTTTGTGCTGTCTGCATTATGTCCTGAAAGACGCTTCATAACACCAGACCCATTTGATCCATTTCAAGAGTACCCCGTGGTAAAAGAGCCCAACAATCTCATCAAAAACAAGTGCTGCATAACTTTCCCTGCCAATATACTGTACATATTATACTGTGAAACAGGAAGACTTAACTATTGCTTCAGAAAATGTCAGAGCAGTGAAAATCAAAGATCTCTCCAATCCCATAATACCTTTTTTCTTCTCCCAATGAAGATGTTGTCTTTCTATCTACTTCCTTTCACTGGAATTCAGAGAGTACTACACCGGCAAGACATCAGAAGTCATATTTATCCTTGGCTACTTGGCTCACACACTCTTCCCAGCTTCCCAAGTTTGCCAAATTTCTTTATAGACCTTTCAATAAATATACCGATTACTGCTTTTCCACTCCTGCCCAGGAATTTGTGACCCAGGTTTACATAAGTGAGCTTTTCACTTCTGCATAAGCGGTCTCATATTTTCTTTCATTTGTTCATTATACTCAACCTCTTTGCCTCATATGTTATACATAATTCTGAAACATATTATACAGTATTTCTTAATAAAAATAAGAGGTTATTCCATTGTGGATCACTTGAGTAAAGAAAACAAGAAATAAACATGCAATATAGCAAGCAAAGATTATTTCTTAAAATATAATAGAGGAGAAATTTAAGCAAGGCAAGCTTTGTACTGCCTGGCAGGACATTAATACAAAGTCCGCAATGAATACCAATTAGGATTGTAAATTCATCCTAGTGCATGGAAATAGTGGACAGACCCTACCTGAAAGGTATATTTTCTCCACTTACTCCAGGAAAAACACCGCAAATATCTATCAGCTTGTATGGCTGCGAGCAACAGTACGTCAAAAAGATATATAGAGATCAACAAAGCATCAGATCCAGATGGAATGAGAGGCAGATTGCCGGAGGCATACAGCATTCATTCATGATGTTATGTTACAAAATTAAATCTGCAACTTCTGCAAGATTTGTTTCTGTGCTCAAGACAGCCAGGGTCTCATGAGCCACTCTTGTGTGGGTTTGGTATCCTGTGTCTGATTTAGCTGCATAAAGTGGGAATGGGACTTAAGCTGATTGCCAAGACTGACCACAGTAAAACTGTGTGAGCTGTCTGATTTTGTACTGTAAATAGCAACAACATGTTTTTGTTTGGAAATTTTGCTCCTCATCAAAAATAGTTGTGTGACTTTCTGAGAAAAGTCTAACAGCACTAAAGTACGGTGCTGAAGAACTGGGTGGACAGTTTCCAGTTCTCTTAAGACCCTGGCACTGTTCCTGCTGCTTGGAAGCACTCTGCAGTTCTACCCGTTTCTAAGAGGAATTGACCTAAAGCTCTCAGTGACCTCAGGTCTTTAAATCATACTCATGTAGTGATGAAGCCTCCTGAAAAAAAACAGTCAGATCACATATTTTGCCTCCAACAGATTCAGATCCTGATCTCTTCTACTTCACCTACCATCCTAGCAGGGGAGTTGCCTTACTAGAGATTTTTCTTACTACATTTACAGAGGGGAAATTCTTCAGCTAGACGTCTCTTTGCCGATTCCCCCCCCCCCCCCCCATCAGCCTTTTAATACAATACAGGCTCACATTTTGGTTGAAAACTTTATCACACGTTTAAAATTAGATAATCAACTTATCATGTGGATCATTAGTTTTCTGACTAATTGAACACAAACTGTACTTATTATTAATGGGCTGGTTTCTGACCTTGTTTGTACTTCTACTGGTTCACCACAAGGCTGCATTCTTTCTCCTCTCCATCTTCTGACTGTCAGCGCAACTATCAAAATCGTTATATCATCAAGTTTGCTGATGACATTCCTCTCAGGGCCTGGGCAAACACATGGACCCATTCTGGATGAATTAGTCAACTGATGTAATACTGTACTTCATACCTACAGAAGAATGTGTCAAAAACAAAATAAATTTATTATTTTGAAAAAACTAAGCAATATCATTCTAATTCTGTTGGAATGGTTCACACTAACAAATATCTGGGCACTGTGTTTGACGATAAGTTCAACAAGAACTCAGATGTCATTATGAAAAAATCCCAGCAGTGCTTACAGTATATGGTCAGAGACTTTTCTTTTAACTGCTGGTTTACTTCAGTCAGTCAAAAAGACAAAAAAAAAATCCACCTGCAGAATGTTGTAAACCTCGGTTCTAAAATTGTTGGCAAGCCTTCCAGACTCCTGCCATTTTTTTCACTGACCACAGTACAAGACAAAAGAAAATCTAGCTTTGTTCCAGAGGCCATAAGCCTTGCAAACAGTGAGTACAAAGAGGTTTAATTGCTATGATCTCTATGGGATATAGCTTTTTCTACAAATGTGCGCATATTTGAATACCTTAAATATTAAATTTATTTAAATATTGTGCATACGGTCATTTTTATCAGCCATGTACATCTTGTTTTCTTAGTAATATTTTGTCATGTGTTGTATGCCACACTTCTTGTTGCTTAAATTGTACCGTTGGGGGATGAATTAAGTATTTTGAACTGAATTGAACATTTCTGCCTATTTCTTTCCTTACCTAAAGAAGTCACCTTAGTTGAAAAAAAGCGTTTTTCATCTTTTTAGCCGTAGTCACTCTATGCATAAGTAATCAAACTAAAACAAAAGGATATCCTCTTTACAGGGGAAAAGAGAAAGAAATGGCAGGCAGCTATCAGGCAACAATCTGTGGTTTTTACGATTTGAATATCTTTGATTATCTGTGGTCAGAGTTACACTGTAGTAACTGTTAACCAACACAAGACACTATAATTTAACCAGTTTCATGTTAAAACATTACACTTTATGTTGTCAGAACATCATTTATCACCTTCTGACACCCTTCACTGTAATGAAATCATCAAACTTCATTATACAACAGAAGACATCTCACAACACAACATCCATCCTTTCATTATTAAAAATCTGCTTATTCATATCAAGGATCACAGGAACACAGAGCCTGTTCTGTGGGTCTGCCTCCTGCAGGGAGTAAGGTCAATTAAAGAGGACCCACAAAGCCAGATAAATTAGAGATGGACATCAACTAATGTAGCTAACATGCTTTTGAAAGGGGAGAGAAAACTGGAACACCCGTCAAAAAAAAAAAACACATAATCAAAGGTAGAACATGCTAACCCCACTAGGTGCTATGGTCTAAAATCATAAACCAAAATCATTCTGGACTGAGAAGCAGCAGGACTGACCACGACACCACTGTGCCGCCCAAAAGAAAAGGTTTTCAGTCTTCGATATTACTGACTTTGTAATGATAGACACTCTATCTTTATCAATAAAATGGTTCATACACCAGCAGGTCTTATCTTGTAATTCACACATATACTGTACATACTATTTTGTCAGTACTATAAATGTTACTAGTTATTCTCAGTTAACTAATTATGGTATCAACAACACATTTGTATGTTATAATATACAGCAGGAGGTCAAAGCAAATGCACAGATAGGGACTGTTAACACATTGATCATGTTTATCTACCAAAACCAGAACAGGACCGAATGTATCTACTAAATTGTATTCTATGTACAGTCTTTAATTTTGGCAAGTGAAATGTGGGTGGATGTTGTTTAGCTCACTATACAGGCATGCAGTAGTTTGTTATATAAATCTGTATTATTTATGACACATGATCACGAGCACGACCGTCAAAATAAACTATGGCGTTTTACTAGAGTAAAACACAAATCCCCCTCTTGATTGCATGCAACAGTATGATACCCAGCTACTACAATTACTACTACTAATAATGGGAGAAATTTTCATTGCTAATTGACAAATTAGCAGAGGATTGATCCATTTAATATCACAATCACCATATATATAGGAATAGTTCAACTATTGCACTTCTTTAAATGTGCGATTATGCAGGGGACTCGTACACTTGTACAATTTTGCGAATTGTACAGTAGTTTGTTGTCGATTCTGTTCCGTTCAGTGCTACTGCAATAATGACAAAACAATATATTGTGTGTACCCGAGAAACCACATGAAAGCCTTCAGATTAGCGCTCAAGTCGACATCCATCCAACCTTTTTCTAAACCACGTTATCAAGTATAGGGTTGTGGTGGAGCAAGTGCATAACCTAACAAGCAACTGGTGGAAGGAGGGACATGCCCTGGATTAGATACAGACATGCACACAATCGCATCAGGGTCAATTTTCCTAGAAGCTAATAAACCCACCAGTATGTCTTTGGACTGTGAAAGGAAACCAGAGGAACAAGGGAAGAGCATATAGACTCCACACAGGCACTGTAGCTTCCCTGGTTCAGAATTAAACTCAGAAACTATGAATCATCTATGAATGATTGCAGATAAACTTTCATAACATGTGAATTAAGCTCAAACAGTACTGTAAAGCCTGCATAGAACAGTTAGCTCTTTCAAAAAGATAATGTAAAAATAACTACTTTGTTTTATAAGGAAGATTGAATATCCAGGCTGAGAAATCTTCCTTATCAGTCCTGAAACCTCTGAAAGAGGAAGAGCAAAATGAAGCATGGGTTCTCTTCTGCTCACTGAACAGAATAGCACCACCCTTTTTTTGATCAGTGTCAAAATGTTCTTTTTTTGCATTTAACATATACATTTGTGCATCAGACATTTTAAACTATTTCATACTGTATATTTCAGTTTTGAGAGAATAGGTTGACATTCCTTTGAAGCAATGTGACCCTGTTATTCATGGAATGCAGCTGAAGTTTAATAGTATGTTTTATTTTTTTGTTTTGTAAATTTAGTCAATATTCCTTTGAAAACTTACTAAAGTTACTAACTTACTAAACCCCTCTTAACTTCATGAGGACAGTAGTTCAATTTTGATGTATTCAAGCATTTGAATCAAGCACACACATTTTTTAAAGTCCTGGCAGAATTAGTCCTAGAAAAGAGTCTATCAGCTTTTCTGTTTCTCTCCATGAATAAGTAGAATCATATCTGCAGCCTATGAAAAAAAAAATCAAAGATGAAAAATGCACTACTTTATGGAAGATAGCAATACTGATTTTATTTACCATCATCAACAGATAACAAAGCAGAGTACTTATTTAAAGACTGCTGATTTTATGAGATAACAGCGAGGGGTGCAGGATGTCTGTGTTTTCTTAGATTAAGCTCTCATCAGAGTACTTAAGCAGCTAGTTACATGGCCAAAAATAAGGTTTACAAAATATTCAAGTATAATTCAAACATGTTAACTCACCTTAAATATGATTAGAATGCCCTGCAGGAAATTCAGATCCGAAGCCTTTAAGAAGCTGTCATAATGGACTTCCTGTTTTCGCTGAAGTGATATTTTAAAGGTAACCAGTGGTATTGTAGCCCAAGGACAGGGTACAAGATTTGAAGTTCAAAGCATATGTGAATGACAGGAAATCACACAGTAATGTATTGGCAATGTTTATTTTTAGGTATCAGTTATGTACTGTAGCATGAGTTAGTTCTTAATGAGTTATGTACTAGCATTGACACATCACAAACTTCAAATATATACATTTGAATATTTTTTGTACTCATTATCTTCACTGGGTAATAAATGGTTAATTTATGCTGCATGGTCATGCATCATAAAGACATTTATGACCGAGAATTCACCATTAACTTGTTTTTAATTTTTACTATTGGTAATAATAAAGATGACACCTTTATCCAAGGTGACGTACAATTTATTGAATATAATAATAGTGCAACACGTTAAAAACTGAACTTGAGCCATGTACTAGGTGTCAGATTTGTGAATTTTTGAAAGAAGGCAAAAGTGAGATACCTGAGGATGTTCAACAATGAGATGGTTCACCTCCTGGGGGAGTTCCTTATTGCTGATCAGATGGTGAAATGAGAGAGAGAAGGTGAATACCATTTCCTCTATTCCACTGAGAGAGCTGGAACAGACAAATTCTGAAGATCTTCTGAATTCTCCATTTCTCTTCTTCCTCATAAAACAACTCTTTCCTCTCATTGCCTGTGACCCCTGGGACTCTCCCAATCATGGACAGTCTTCTTTTTGCCAGGAAGAATCCTGTCCCATTCCTACTCCAGGACCCCTGGCACATTCCATCAGGCTCACCCTTCCACAGCCAGTCTTCCATTTGCTAGGAGATACTGTACATATTCCTAGTCTCTTCCAAGACTGACTGCCACCCACTTTCCAACTACAAACATAAAGTGACTGGTGCTACTCCTGAGGAATGCCCTAATTAAGCACAGGGCCAATCAGCTGATCCCTTTCCTGCCTGTGGAATTCCATTCAGTGGAATTCAGTCCAATCAGTCAATCAAAGCAGGTGTGTCCAATTTACTGCAGTGAAGGAAGATGCTTTAACTAAGCCTCAGCTTGCTCTATCACAATCTGTCTGCTTCTCTAAAACCCCTAATCACTCCTCTGATGTTACGGTCTTTACATCTTCTTATTCCAAATTTAAATACCAATTATCTAATATATTCCCTCATTTTTGATGAATGAAAGACTGAAATAAGAGATAAGCTGCCTTCTAAACTAAATAGAATACAACCTGCTGTTTAATCTTTCTCTCTCCTATCCGGATGCCACAAAATAAATGGGAGTCTATCTCCCTGTTCGAAAAGTGCACGAACCAACCAGGAACAGCAGTTTTTAACAGAAGTATTCTTCACTCAGGCAATCCAAGTTCCCTTAAAACACAGAATAGCAAGTTATCTTTAGCAAGGTTCACACATGTTTCATCAGATGATCTCAAACAAGGAACTCTCGGCTGGCACAAGCTTCAAGTTCCATCTCTTCCTGCCTCCTTTTCTCTTCTGGTCTGACTTATTTTTGTTCTTGTTTTCTTGTTCTGTCCTCTGTCTTTTATCCTACACTTTTGACACTCATTTACCCAGAACTTAATTTACTCAGGTAAATCTGAAGATTCGTTTGATCAATGTGTCTCACACCAGACACAACTAGATAAACATCTTTTGGTCTGAAGCTCTAGGAAGTTGAAATATTGATATTAGTTAGGTATTACCCATTGTGTGTAAATTCTTAGACACCTCCATTGTCACCTACTGTACCCCACCCTGTAACAGCATCATCTGAAAATTTAATTTGCTAATCATTCCAGAACATTTATCAATTAAACAGAATTACAAGAGCAATGGTCCTGAAATGGATCCCAGTGGATCTTGAGATCTATGTACTATACTGTAGATCTAACATCCATTTATTTTGCATTATTCTGGGCTTGTGTTGCCTTGTTATTTTCTGACAGCTGTGGCAATTGCAAAATCTTTTTTCAACTGTCCACTCTTTCTATATTTGAATCTTAGTTTTAATCAGTCTGTTGAGAGCTTTCTTTAATATACTTTCTAATACCCCCATTAAACAAATATTAATCCATTATTCCTAGACATGGACTTATATAAAATTCACATTTACCTTAGTATCATTAGCATAAATGACCAAGCAACCCAATGAGATTCTTCATGCTTCATCATTTAACATTTGTTGTTTAATTCCTTGGCACAGTTCTGATTATTTTGGTGATTAAATAATTTCCAGTCCCAAATAAACATTTTTTTAATTTGCACTATTATTCAACAGCTTCCCTGTATACAGCTCCAATATGTACAATATGTGTGTTTCTGAATCCTAATTACTTTAGATCTAGAGTTCAGCCCCTACAATCTAAAGACATAGCAAAACACCTTAACAGGCCAAGGAGAAAACAAAAACTGTATCTATCAAAAAATAAAACCTCCCTCTCTAACACATGGATACACAACTTAATGTAGAACAATTTCACTATTTAAACGATGCATCTATAAAGGAAGAGAGATGTTTTAGCCTGAGGATTCTACAACATAAACATTTTGATTTTCCTAAAATGCTCTTATAGAGCAGTTCAGAGTCTAGTACTGTTTATAGTGCCCAGATTACCTGGATAGAATCTGTTTCTAAGACTAAATGGAAAAGGTCATTCTCCCATCACTCAGGATCGACAATGTTTCTTCCTTTCTTCTGACTTCTTTCCTCCTCTTTTGACTTCGTTTTTGTCACTATACTTCTATGGTACCATTCCTGAAGAGGCCATCTGAATGACTTCTCCGTGGATTGCCTGTTCACTGTTGAATTTTTATTCTTTATGGTTTGTCCTAATGGTTTATAGGGAAGTTAATTAACAAGATTAAGTCATTAGGAGCACCCTTTGATTATCTATGTTTACTGTACTTGCCTCATAGCCCAAGGACAACTACACACAGACAACAACACATCTATTTCAGACCTTCTAAGTAAGGCATTCAAGCTGGCAAGTGCAAATGTTGATAACCTACCTGAAACTACGCTGCACTTCCTGCTTCACAACTATATACTTCATTCATGTAGCCCATCTCACAAATATCGTTTTTTATCTCACGTCTTAGAGCTGTGGCTAACCATATTTTTTTGTGAAGTTTACTAACTTTAACAGTGTTTTCTGACAAGGCACAAAGTGGTCAATTCTTGAATTCCAGAAGAAACTAAGGACTGAAGCTTTTTCATAGAAATACACTATTGAATATTAGTGCATATACAATAGTATCACACTCCATATAAAATTGCAAGAATAATTACTGGTATTCTACTTCACTGTAACAACTAACAGCATCAGTGGGATTTCTGTCACATTGCCATATGAGGTGACTGTTTATCGAATCACTAGGACCTAATATTCATTTGCTCCAAAAGAAAATAAAAGCTACATTTCATCACAGCATGTCATTTACACAGATGAAACAGATGAAAAGGCTTTAATATGGCAAGCAAACACCTCGACATTGCTGTGCTCTTTATTTATCAACAAGTGACACCTGTTGGTTAACCTTGCGGGACACCACAGGAATAAAGAGCAGGCTAGAACAGGACCTTGAGGGAGAGTGGACATAGGGTGAGAGATGGTGAGTTCAGATCCCTGTATAAGGGATCATGTACAGCTTCATTATTTTTGTGTTTGAAATAATCCTGCATCCATTTGCACCTTTTGTGGCAAGGAGGCCAGTCTGCCACTGCCTGGCTGACGCATTTCTTTTTGCGCAAGGCTACTTAGTTTAATGATACTGAGGAGATGATGTACTATCCTCACCACACGTGCACCCAACCTCAGTGGTCTTACAAAAGTCAAGTTAAAAGGCATAAATAAACAGACTTTAAATACCAACACTCATCAGCATGACAGAGTTTTTCCAAAGTAAATGTTAACAACTGCAGATGAATAATCTGAATTTTCCCCATAGTTACCACTATACCCCACACCCACTTGGTTATGGAAATTAGAAAAATAACCACTTGCTGTTTGCTTTCAGAATTTCTCTCAATGTTATTATTTCTGAATTTCTCTTGTACAAAGGTTACACTGACAGGTATCCTTTACAAAGGACACAATCTTATTAAAGTATTGAAACTGCAAGAAGAAACATAATATTGTTTGAACCATTTAAACATATAAAATGTTTTTTCAATTAAGACGATAAGGTGTCATTAACTGAATAAATCACTGGGAGATGGCTATAAAATACTCCACAAAAACCCGAATCTATCAAGTTCTATAGTAGTGTCCTGCATGACGAAATGAAAGGCTACAGATTTGACAACCCTAACAGGAGGAAGATTTAAGTATGTCTTGCCACAACAGGCTGTGAGACAAGAGCTTCTGGTTGTAACCACTGTATGAATCCAATAATTACACAAACATGCATCTTCAGGACACAAAGAGCAGAAAAATATTATTTGCTGTAGCAAATAATTTTTAGAATTTATAAAGTAAGAATCCAATCCTTAAATATTGTGTAATATGATGTTTTTGTTCCTGTGTCATTACAAGGTATCTGAATGGCAAAATATATCTATCCATTTTCTAAGCCTATCCTGGCAAGTATATGGGCACAAGGTGGGAGGATGGCACAATTTAACCCAAAATCTTAAATTTTATTTAAAATTATTACCAAGTTAAACTGAAATTTTCTTTGAGAGTTTGGTTGTAAGAAAGCAGGTCATGTACAGTAAATGAAAGGAAGACAAACTCAGAAGACTAAAGGTTTTCAAGAAGATTTAAGACTTTTATTTAAAAATATACTGTATGCAGTAAATATACTTTTTACATTTGAAAGATTTCAAAAGTTAGTTTTTCCAAAAGTATATACACGGCTTTACAGTACATGAAAATGTAATGGCAAACTGGGGCAGTTGACAGAAGTCTTTCCATATGAATGCTGCAGATAATTTAAAACACGATAAGCTGAAATCATTTAAACACACATAATAAGATGATTTCTTCTGCATTTCATAGATGCAATGTCTATTATAACACTCCCTTACTTTTGCAACATTCATTTGTACTTAATTATTTGTTGTAGTTTTATAACACTTTTCAACCCAAAGGATCATAAGCAAGCACACAAACAAGAAGAGGACAGATACAGAGCCATAAAAAACAAGAATTCAATCTATTTAGAAAATGTTTTTTTCACATTGCAGACAAAATGCAGAGATGAAAACTGTTCATGGTTGTAATGTATGTAGATTTGCTCACTGGATCTATTTCCTTTGGCGGATTTATACCTCCTTGGAGGCTATATTATATGTAATGTGTAATTGGAAAGAAGTTCCGTGCAGACCAGTAAATGACAAGAGAAGCCTGCAACATAGTTCTTGCCTCCCGTTATTTTGTTTCTTTTAGCATTTCGTAGCACATACACATACACGACAACGGTAAACCTAGCCGACTGGTGTCTGTGACAATGCGGGAGTGGGCGGAGCCGAGGCGAGCACCTGTAAAAGGTCAACACCCCTAACTTAGGCACGGAAGCAGGGACCATAAAATAACACTCAAAAGGGGTAAAAAATGAAACAAAGCAAAAATAAAGGTGTGCTGCTGTGCATCGCGACCTCCAGGCTGGGCGTACCCTATTTAATGTGGTCCAGCCTGGGAAAAAGAAGAGCCGCTAGCTAGCACAGCAGGGACCAGCCTGGACTGACCCTGTTTACAGGGGGAGACAAGAACTCTGTGTGTGACAAAGGCGTGCCTGCCCTGGTGAAAATACGTGGTGGGACAGGCACAAAGAAAAAGAATGCCATACACGGGTGCAACCCCCCTGGGACTGTCAGTGTAAAAACTCCCCACTCCGGGGGGGTGGCCCTGCTCGTCCCGTCTAGGGGTATCTAGTGTGCCTTTATAGGACCTTCCCAGCTGGGGCTCACCCTTTAGGAGCCGGGACAGCTGGGACTACACTACAAAGGCGAGGCGTCGTGCTTCCTGCAGGGCTCCGCCTCCACATTGGACACACCCCCACCATTGCCACATGGCTTTTGGTGACGGGTAAGGTTAATTAATACCATCTTAATAATAATAAAAATAATAATAATTGCTTACACTCATATAGCGCTTTTCTGGACACTCCACTCAAAGCACTTTACAGGTAATGGGGACTCCCCTTCACCACTACCAATGTGTAGCATCCACCTGGATGATGCGGCGGCAGCCATAGTGCGCCAGAACGCTCACCACACACCAGCTCTCAGTGGGGAGCAGAGCAGAGTGATGAAGCCAATTCATAGAGGGGGATTATTAGGAGGCCATGATTGGTAAGGGCCAATGGGATTAGAATTAGAACCCAAATGGACCGCAGGGTGAGAGCCCCCTGCTGGCCTTTGCTTATTGGAAACTCAGCAATCCTCAGTATAATCCACATCTAAAAAAGTATTTCATAACCCTGTAGAATTATCCCCTATACTTGTTGACTGTGAATACACAGAGTTTGCAGTTAAAGGCAGATACATTTTCAAGATTTTACAGTTTTCACAAATGCTGCCAGCGACTAGCCTGGAGAGGTGCCTCTTAAATTTCTCTCCAACAAAAACATAAATGAAGGGGTTCAAACAGCTATGCGAATAGGCCACCGTTTCAGTTATTTGGAGACTCAAAAAAAGTATCTTGCTGGATGTACATGAGTAGCCAATATTAAGACGCTGTAAGCCATTAAAAAAACATGCAATGTTATATGGAGTCCAACAGAAGAAAAAGACCATGACTACACAGAGAACAAGTCTGATGGCATGCCTCTTGGCTGACATGGATGTGAGCAGCCTTCTTATGATCATTGAGTAGCAAAACACCATGATGACTGAGGGAAGCAGCAGACCCAGAACGTTAAGTTTAAATTCACTAAATACCTTCAGGGGCTGTTTGTTATTTTCAGAATACATAGGCATACATCTGGATTTCTCTTCCTCAAGTTTAACTGTATTGTACATGATCTCAGGAAATGAAGCCAAAATGCTAACTATCCAGGTGACCACACTTGCAATTCCTCCATATATTGCTGTTCTGGCCTTCAGTGCATACACTGCATGGACTATTGCTAAGTATCTGTCTACACTCATCAGTGTAATGAAAAAGATCCCACTGTAGAAGCCAATGTTGTAAGAACCCAGGATTATTCTGCACATGGGATCACCAAACACCCACTGGTCTCGGGCATTATGAGCCAGGAATGGAAGGGAGAAAACTAACAGCAAGTCAGCGACGGCCAAGTTAAGAAGACAGACATCAGTCATGCTTTTCAACTTTACATGCAAGAGCACAACCCACAGAACAAGAGCATTTCCTATTATCCCAACTACAAACAACACAGAATAAACTGCTGGAAGGAAGGCAGCTCCATGTTTTTCATATTTACATGACAAGTAGTTGGCACCATAGTCTATTTCTGTATAATTGTATTCGTCTTCACTGGTTGAAGGCATCTGCGCAGGAGTGCTGTAAAATATAACTGAATTAGACCCAATTATCGACAAGGAGCCTGTTACAAGAGATTAACAAAGAATCAAATTCCATTTGGATTAAGAAGAGCAATTCCTCTATAATTAGATTCCATGATGTCCAACTTGTTAATTAGATGAAAATGTTTAAACTGATACAAGATTTGAAAAACTATTGTTTTGGTTAACATGACATATCTGTAAAATATATGTAATCAAGTTTATCAGTTTACATAAAAAGCTGCTAAGTTTTGGAAGATATTATTCCCATTCCTGAGATTCAATTGTAATTTGGAAGTAAACCGGTTAAATATTTATCACGTCAAATCTCATGTTAGGTGTGTTAGTGTTGTGGATAACCAACTGAAAAAAATGAGTTTTTTTAAATCAGTTTTTTGGTTAAACATAGAAATATCAACAGCAGAAATTGTCCCCTCACCTGTTCTCCATAATAAGGATGGTCATTTTTCCACACCAGTGGTCAAGTCTGTAATTACATGAAACAATAATTAGCTCATAACACATCGAAACAATTTAATTCCCTTTTGTCCTCTACTTCATCTACTCTGAAGTGATTACCATATTCTTTCAAAGAGATCAAGTACAGTATTCATAAACATATTTTTTTATGTTCTCTACATATACCATGTCTTCACCTTCACATCTATTTAAGGAGCCATTGTAATTACATAATCACCCGCATTAAATAACTATTTTAAGCAATCTGTATCCTTCTATTTTTTAACCCTTTCTTCCAATTCAGGGTCATAGGTCAACCAGAGCAAGCAATGGGCGCAACACAGGATACACCCTGGACAGTACGCCGGTCCAGCACACACACAGACACAAGCACAGACATGCACACACTCACACCAGGGGCCAGTTTTCCCAGAAGCCAGTTCATCTACCAGGATGTCTTTGGACTGTGGGAGGAAACCCACGTGAACCTGAGGAGAACATACTGTACAAACTCCACGCGGATACGTCAGTACCCCAGATCTCGACCTGAACCCGGGGCCCCAGCTCTGTGAGGCAGCAATGCTCCCCGCTGCACCACAGTGCTACCCACAAGGGTATAAAATACCCACAAGGGTATAAAATCCAGTTGAACAATCCAAAGCTATTACAGTTTTAACTAATGTAGAGATTTGAATCTTGCAAGTGTCGAATTCCTCTGAAACCCTTCTGTGATGGGTTAGGTGCCTTTATAATAAACCTTCTTATTTCATTCAGTGATCTGGTATTACACATCATCCAGTGTATGGCTCAGTGCTCAGTACTGTAACAACATTTGAACAATAAATTACTGCCTTTCCCAGTTTACCCCAGAAGTGTTCAGTGTTTGGTAAATAAGGTCTACTGCTTTTGGTTACACACAGTTATAGTTAGATATCCTCAACAACACTTTGGTGTGTCTGAAAGAAATCTAGTACTGGCAAATAGCTATCAACATATCTGTCCTCCTTATCTCATGTGATATCTTTATTAAATGTAAACATGTTAAACCATCCAGATGTGAAATAGACAAGCAAATTCAACACGAAAGAAATTCCAGTCCAGAATGGAACCGAGGACAGTGAGGCTGCAGTGCTAACCTATCTGTTCCCTTTAGAGAAAAACTTGGATGAAGTACCTTCTCTATCTCCTTTATGTCAACACTTTTGCTGAACGTTATTTTAAAAATTCTATATATGACAATCCAATGAGACGATTAATCATTTTTGCTGCTCTTAATCTAACAATTTGCCAGGTACAATATCATTTTTGTGCTGTGGTGACAAAAATGAAGATGCTATTCTAAATGAGGTCTAACTAATGCATTGTAAACCTTAAATGCAATATCCCTCGTTTTAAATCGAAACATTTTATTATATACTCAAACATTTGGCCTTAACATTTTTTTATTGTTTCCCTGCATTGTGTTTATGAGGACAGAGAAAGAGCTACATGAAACGCCCATATCACTTTGATGTGTAGAGTTGCCATTGTAACATCCATACAGTGTGCGTAGCTACTGTCTGTTCCTACTTCCTATGTGGAGCCTTTTTGTTAACATTAAATATCAAATGCGAAGTGTCTGCCAAATTCAAGATCGTATCTTAGTCTTTCTTGTAAGTTGTTTCCCACTGCTTCTGTGATCGTATTTCCCATATCTTCATTGCCTGCAAATGCAGTGCACGAAGTATACCATAAGATGTTGATAAGGATCAGGAAGAGCAACATGTCACAAAATTCCTGCGGTTCACCACTCCACATAGTTATGTGTCTTACAATGATTCACTGTTTCCTATTTGTTGATCAGTATTGAATCCCAGCCCATACAATACATTTGATTTTTACAGCTTTTGTCATTTGTTAGTAAACCTTTTCTTTAGGACCATAGCCATTTTATACATCTAAATATAATGTCATATGCTTTAGCTATATCAACTGTTCTCAACTATCTCAACTAATTGAGGTGAGTGAATCTAGACCTCTCATTTCTAAATCCATGTAAACAATCTCCGGAAATGTCATTCTTCTGTATTAGAAGAGCTTAATTGGTCAATAGGTTTCTGGTTTTATGAATTGGTGTTACATTTCCAGTTTTTCAATCTGAGCGCACAGTGCCCATCCTTAGTCAAAGACAAAATGTCATATTTAAAGGTCTCCCTCATCAGTTTTACACTATATTAGTCTCGGCAATACCTCAGTGTCAATTCCTCAAAATTACTCACTACAAATAATGCCATGATCACAAATAACGTTATAACAGGCTTAAATCAGATCTGTAACCAAAAGATAGTGTAATCAGACCTTTTGAAACTGGCAGATTGGTATATAAAAATACCACATTTTCTCGCCCACTTCTACCTATGTATAAATATTATTTTTCTGGCTGACTCGATTGTGCATTTTGTGTAGCACGATACAATGCCAGGGTCACTTTTGTAAAAGACAAACTTTGTGTTTCCTTTTCTTTTCCACCTGCTGGATGGTAACCAGTTTGAGTTGGATGCCGTGGTCTCTCGTGGTCTGTTTCTCCACCTCGGAAACCTGCGTTCTCTGCCCTGTCCCCTGGGTGAGGGCTGTCATTGCTCGGCTTTGCCCCCCGTCTCCCTGAGCCCTGATTTTCACACACTGAGCGTTGTATGCTGACTTTTGTAAACTAAACTAAATGCACAATCAGTGCAAGTACTAAGAAACCTTATGACAGCCTTATTTCAAACAATCCAACTCCGTTGTACATTAAATGGGAAGGAGATTCACCAGAACATGTTTTTTCTTAAAATGTACATACATCCTGTATGTTGATTACTTATAAAGCTTTTAAAACATTGATAGGTTACAAAATAACTTTCCCTCTTTAATCCCCTATAGATCATAAATAGTATTTCATTTTATTTTAAATTTCCTCTACGGATGCATCTGAATTGTTGGTTGTCTTGAATCATAACATTTATAATAAAAAATAATAATACATGTATATCTATAATGTCTTCTTGTCAATATTATGTTTATCTTTGATATTGGTTTAATAGACCATACTGATATCAGATGCTGTTAATTTTTTTCACTTTTTCAGAAACTGAATGTCAGTTTTTAGTATTTTTAGTATTTCAAGAAGACTTAACTACTAAATCCACTTTCTATGGTATTTCAGTGTAAACAGCAGAATATACCAGTTATGGTAAACAGGTAAGATAGGCAAATATGGTGAAATAGATTAAATTATATTTTAAATAGGTATACTCACCATAAAAGGGATGAAAATGTGTCCCAGTAGAATATAAAATTCAAAGCCTTCAAAGCTCATGAAGAAGCTGAGAAATGCACTTCCTGTTTTGTTAGTGCTATTTTAAGGTAGCCAGAGGTAGGTACACCTACACTGATGTAGCAGAGAAAAGTACTGTATATGATCAAAGAGTACAGAAATGATTAAATGATATGTACTTGGAGGGATATATCAATAAATTGGTATTTTTTTCTCTGTAATCCATACATTTTGGAATATTTTGTTATTCTTACTTGATGTATCTAGGTGGGAAGGCTGCCCAATGTAACCTCATTTTATTAAGAAAATTATAATTAGGAGGAGTGTAGGTGAAAAATTCTAGTTGGTGTTTAATTATTCCTACTATAATATTTAAGTTACAAAATATTAAAGGCTATGTAACTAGATTAAATTAATGATAAAGCCAAGTAAAAAAGAGGAGTCAGATATCTGTTAAGGTATTTGAAGATAATCCCCTAAAAGATTTGTCAGCTTATTTACTTTTCAGTCTCATGAGAGGCTGTAAAGTAATTTCCTTTTTAAATACATCTGAAGAGGTTTTGGGGCTTTGCTATTATTCTGAAATTAATTCAGAAAGCATGAGTATATTGTGTGGGAATGAGTATTTTTTTACTCACTGATCGCACTGGGCTGATGATTGGCAACTCTGCTTTTTAGGTCATGATAGATTACATCTGTGTGGTTGCCAAAGGGCTGCATTCTCACATGTACATTAATTGTTGTTGAAATGTCTACCTGAAGAGATCAGGAATGTGATTTGTGTTTGATGGGTTTTGTCCTGGCTAATATATTTATATTTTAAACATTTTCCTGCCCCTTTTTTTATTTTTTTTTCTCTGTAATTCTGGATCACACAAGTATCTAGAATGTCATTTGAAAAAGGCTGAGTAAACATAATCATCATGCCTGAGAGCAGCTCCATTAGCAAAACCATTGATTTTTGATTCAAGTTTGATCTTGACTTCAGTCTGCTGCTCTCTCGGTATGTTGTAAGCGAGAGGTTCATTATTTCAGAAATGCTGATTTATCGGGTGATTTTGCAAAGTTTCAGTGGAGATCATTTAATTTGTTAGATGAACCATCTGCTCTTTACAGATTCAGATTAGTCCTAGAAACGCCTACCTGAAGTCCCATTAAGGAGAAAAAAATAGCAAAGTGCCTTGAAACCCGTAATTGTTCTCAGGTGGCAGTATGACTGATTTATCGGCTTGCCGTTTCCATTGGAAAAACAATTGTAGTCCATTTAAAAACAAATAGTTTATGTTGTCTAAATAAGTTTTTTAAAAAACAAATTGGATTGAACCCGCCTATTGGAGATGTTTTTAATTTATTTTTTCTATATTTTATCAAATAACACTAGAATTGCTTAAACATTTTTCATTGTTATTTGTATACTTGACTAGTTGTTCATTTAAACATACACTAGGTTCAAAACTGTATAGTTAATTTTTTTTAAATATTGTTAATACTTTAAAATAAGTATTTAATTATCATTTTAATGACTAATTATAATAGTCAACATTAATCTAAATCTCGCTTATAAGCAGCTTACATCCACTTTTACAAAAAAAGGTGGTTGCACAACAGAAACCAATGTTGAAAATGGACTGCAATTTCTTTCAATGGAAACGACAATCTGAAGAATCAGTCATACTGCCACCTGGCAGAACAACTACGGGTTTTTAACGTATTTCTTCGCTATTTATTCTCCGTAATGGGATTTCCAGCGTTCTACCGCATGTGGACTGGCATCCATATCATTCCTTTAGTTTTACATCGGCATAGACCCGGTTTTCCTTATTGATTAAAAAAGGTTCTGTTGTTGAAATAAAATTTACTTTAAAGCTTGACACCATATAATTCTCTTAATCTCAAAGTCTTGTTTTCTCTGAGCATATAAATGTCCGTCTTTCCTACTGTATAAGAGTCAATGTAACTGTCCTTTTCATGTATTCGCTTGTTTGTTCAACATGTTCAAGTTTTTTTAAACAATTTTAGTCTATATTTTTGCATGAGAAAGCACAGGAGCAATAAAATGATGGGTCACATTTTTTGTATTTGCCTTATAAAAATAATTCTGTAATCTTTATGAGGCACAAAAGATGAACCTGACAATAAAAGCTGAACTATTCGTGTAGCTGAAAAAAAAAATGAATTTGGAATTCAGTTTGGAGAGCAGTAATTCCTTTCTGTACTTAGACTAACCAAAAGTCTGTATAGAAACTTTTATAAATGTATTTTTAAGTTAACCTATCATTAGACTGCAGCAACTTAAAAGTATTTATGAAGGATCATAGTTGTATGATTTACAGGTAACCTTAAAATGCATGAGTGCCTTCATTTTCATTTTTATGACAAGTACAAATATGAATAGTGAATGAGCAAGTTAGGGAAATGTTCTGTCTGAGCAGCTTCAGAAGCAAATACCTTAACCCCAAACCACTTTCTATGCTTCATTTTCAACTTCACATGAAACAAAATTATTTCCACAACTTCATCTTTCAAAGATGTGAGATGACTGATCTTTAAAGATGCCTCTGTTGCAGAAGTTCAAGGTGACTTTATCTGCACACAGTTGTCCTTTACGGAGTTTGATCTGTCTAGTGCATTTGGAAGCTTTTGTTTCTGGAGCACAAATATAATTAAACAGGAATTCTCAAGAAGTGCATCCTCTACACTCAGTTATATAGTTACATGCTACAGTATGTGCTCAGACTAACTTTTTGAAAGGTCGTGCTCTCTCCTGAGTGGCCTGAAGGGATCTCTAAGACAAGATGCCCAGCAACTCAAATATAGCACAATTCCCATGTTTGTCTATTTGATATAAAAACAAAACAAACAAAGATTACATAGAGGCATATTAAGAGAACATATTTTATTACAAAAAATGAGACCTAAAACTCATGAGAAAATGCCAAGTCTCAGGAAACCAAAAATAAGTGTAGATATTCTTTAAAGTTTTTCAAGAACCCATGTCATTCAATGTGTAAGACCACGAATTTGGCTATATAGAATTCTGGGCCTTGCTATACAAAAAGAATAATATTTCCAACAGGTTTTCTTCATTTAAATGTTATTTTGCCTTTCCTCATGAAGTCTTACAGTGCTTAAGTGTCTACTTTATCTTGACATAAAAGACAAGGAAGCAGGCAGCTATTAGGTAGGGGTTTTATGTGTTTTTCACACAGACTTCCCACTTACCTTTTCAATATTCATATGTACTGTATGTTGCCATTAGGCCAGGGTATCAGAAAATATGATGTCGACATCCACTAAAAACCTACACTGGTGACCAGTCTCTTACTGGACAGACTTGAAAATTCCCTTCTTTACCGACCAGGTGTTGCACGGCCTGTCTCCTGAGTTACTCTCCCCACACATCTCAGTTCACTCACTGCACTGTTCTGGCTCTTGGCTCCTCAGCATTTCAAGGTCTTCACATCGCACATTAGAGGTCTGAGCCTTTTCAGTGGCAATCCCCTCATCTTTGGAACGCTCTTCCTGACCACGTAAAAATACAGCCTCTATTGATGAGTTTATATCTCAAAACATTAAACTTCTTCTTTTCGATTCACTTTATTTCAGATTGAAACTGGAATATCTCTGTCACAGCATGAAATGTGGAAGTGGCAAGTCTTTTGTTTGTTCAACATGCAGGAACAAATCAAACCAGCATATAAAGAGCTGCTGGACAATCTAAAAGAAACATTTCAGACAAAATTTAGAAACCATGACAGTTGAGTGAGGAAAAGTTGATAGGGGGATGATGAAAATGATTTGGCCCTTTTTCTTTGTATGATCATAAATACAACAGCTTACCCTTGATGATTTCTGTGCCCCCAGTGGAAATAACCTGTAGATTCTAAAGGTCTTACAATCTTGGGTACTTTTGCAAATAAATGCTTAAAATATCATAATGTCTCACCATTAAAATTGCTAGCCCACATTATACAGTATTTGAATAAATTCTGAAAAACACAATTTTGAAAGAGTTACAAAATTTAAATAAATCTGTTCACCCAGCACATCTGTTCTGTTTTTTTTTTCACATTACTCTGACTTTACATTACTTTGTACATTACTCCTGTCCGGTGTTCCAACAGATATTGAATATATCAATGATATATAAGTAAATATAGTACACTACTTATATGAATTAAATTGATATCAGCCTGTGTTGAGATACAACTGAATTCTCGAACGGCAATGTAAAACATTGGATTTACTTATCCAGTACGGATTTATATCTCCTGGCATGAACAGCGAAGATCAGCTGACTGGCTTCGAGCCAGCAGTGGTTCTCCAGGGACTGCTAGTTAGCTGAATTAGGAAACTCTCTGCTCCCGTTGTAGCGGCTACTTCTGGATAAAAGTATCCAGTTGTCGACAAAGTCCCAGCCCTATGCTCCATTGATCAGACGGGTGTCCATGGCTTTCTAGCAGCATTCGTGAAGTCCTTGCTGCAGACTTGACCTCAGGCAGAACTCTGTCTTCTTGTACGGCTTCCTCTGGCTCAGCGCTTGGAACAAGGTTGCAAGCCCCACACTCAGACAACCGCACCAGCAGTCACGTGATTAAGTCAGAGAGAGCAGACGGAGGAGCAGCCCTAAAGTCTGTGCATCGCCTTTTAACTGGAGAACAATACGGCTGGTGACTGGTCAAAAGTTTGCTGGGTAGGTGGGGTGACCATGGCCTGCAGGTTCCTGATTGCTTGGTCAACTTTAGGGATGATTGACCACGATCTCTGACTCTAGGACAACTATCCAGACGTGCTTAGAGTCTCATTTACACAACGAGGTGCCAGGAATGGCCGTCCATCACGACTACTCAGGCGCACCCCATCCTGGGAACTGTTCCGTGTCAGGATGGCTAACATTCCTGAAACAGTACACAGCATTAATGGCTTCTCTGTGGCTTAGACCGCAGACTTGATAGAGAAATGGGGCCTCCCTGGGAAAAGCACAGCAGCACTTAATTCTGTCTTAGTAATAAGCATTGCCGCTACAAACCCTTAAACTTATTTTCTCATCTAATCTTTATACTGTATATCACCTTGAGAGGCAAGGCATGGGATTTAATAAGGTGCTGTGCAAACAGAATGTACTGTAGGAACATTAGAGACCAATTCAGAGTTTATAAATGTATTTTTCATACTTTATATAGTAGTTTCCTTGTGATATATTAATTATCATCAAATTTATTTTACTCTGAATATAACTCTATTCTAAAGACATGTCCTTAAATCCGACATGGAAGGGAAGTATACCTTATACAATACTCCACTGGGAGCTATAGTTTTTTCTATAAACCCTGAAAATGATATACATAAGTCTAGCAGCATTGGTGACAGGATAGCAAACCGCCTCTTCTCAGCGGTTCACCCCACAAGGATTAATGCACATGTACCAGCTCTTGGGGTTCCCGCCCCTGCCGCTCCTGCCCTGCCAGTTCTCCCTCACTGCCTGGGAGCAAACTCGGGTCTCCGGTGTCACGCAACAGGGAACTTTCCAGGTGAGCTAAAGGAGACCTCCCCCAGGCCGGGTGGCTGAGATCCCTGTTATACGCAGGGGTTACATAGCCTCCATCCACCCATTTTAAACTGATTTACCTGATACTGGCCCATGGGGAGACAGAGCCTATCCAGGCATGCAACAGGCACAAGGAAGGGTACACCCTGGATGGGACAGCAGTCCATTGCAGGACACATTCATACACACACTCACACCAGGGTCAGTTTTCCCAGAAGCCCATTAACCCACCAACACGTCTTTTGACTGTGGGAGGAAACTGGAGCACCCAAAGGAAACCCACACGAACCGGGGAGCACATACAAACACCACGCAGACAGCAGCCTAGGAATTGAACCCGGGGGTCCCAGCGCTGAAGCACAGCAATGCTAACCACCAGCAATCAAAAGAAATTCAATAGTAGTTTTGCTTTGAACATTTCAATTCATTTTGTCAATATTTTCGTCAAAGAGGTTTAACGCTGACAATGAATGAAAGCTCTTATTTTTTTCTTGAAAACTTTAATGCACGTAATGTAAATGAATTACAGAAAAGCATCAGAAAACAACAAAAAGTGAAATAAACTGTATTATTTACAAGTTAATGGACTGATGAGCTTCAGTATCACAATATCCGAGACTCCAGCGGTATCTTCACCATGAAGGAAAACTATTCACAAAATTTCCAAAGGAGCAGGACCCCGACATACTTAAAAGAAATTTCAAAACATTTTCCATTATGAATTATTATAATGTTATATTATTTTGACTAAAATAAACTCATTTTTGTTTTGCATGAAAATGAAGGATTTTGCATGAAAATGTAAATAAATGAAAACAACATCCTTTTGTTTAAACACATTTGCAAACTTTATCTCAAATAAGCACAGTAAAAACTTACTTAACATAACATATACTCTTCTGTGAATTAAATTGAATTCAGCTCCATTCATATTCACTAAATATAAATGTCAGGTTTTCTTAATGAAATCTCACGTTAAAACATCAACAAAGCAAAAACTCACCAGTTGTTCATACAGCTGCCTCACACACAATCCCTCCTTGAAGACCAGAGTCTCTCTCTACTTTATAGGAAAATCAGAAAGGATACAAGCAAGAGGAGGCTTTGTGAAGCTCCATGAAAAATCTGTATTTTAGCTTAATCAGAAAATGATTTCTGGGATGCAGACAAAAAGCAGTTTTGCCTTTTTTTTCTCCGGTCGTTGGTATGATTCACTACTCCTGTTTATGTTTTGGTGAAGAGCCAGAACAGAAACCAGGAGCCAGTACTGCCAGACGGAAATGCTAACCACTGCACCTCTGTGCTGTCCTGTCTTTTTTTTTTGTATTACATATTATTTACATTTTATAGTATAGAAAGTACGGAATTGTCACCCATGCTTATTGACTGTGAATATACAGAACCTGTCGTTGGTGTCATATACTTTTTCAGTATTTTACAGTTTTTACAGGGACCACCAGCTACTAGCCTGGAGAGGTGCCTCTTAAATTTTTCTCCAACAAAAACATAAATGAAGGGGTTCAAACAACTATGCGAGTAGGCCACTATCTCGGTGATTTGGAGACTCAAAATAATTTTCTTGCTGGATGGACATGAGCTGATAATATCAAGAAGCTGTAAGCCCTTAAAAAAACATGCAATGTTATATGGAGTCCAACAGAAGAAAAAGACCATGACTACACAGAGAACAAGTCTGATGGCATGCCTCTTGGCTGACATGGATGTGAGCAGCCTTCTTATGATCATTGAGTAGCAAAACACCATGATGACTGAGGGAAGCAGCAGACCCAGAACGTTAAGTTTAAATGCACTAAATACCCTCAGGGGCTGTTTGTCATTTTCAAAATACAGAGGCAGACATCTGGATTTCTCTTCCTCAAGGTTAACTGTAATGTACATGATCTCAGGAAATGAAGCTAAAATGCTAACTATCCAGGTGACCACACTTGCGATTCCTCCATATATTGCTGTTCTGGCTTTCAGTGCATACACTGCATGGACTATTGCTAAGTATCTGTCTACACTCATCAGTGTAATGAAAAAGATCCCACTGTAGAAGCCAATGTTGTAAGAACCCAGGATTATTCTGCACATGGGATCACCAAACACCCACTGGTCTCGGGCATTATGAGCCAGGAATGGAAGGGAAAAAACAAACAGCAAGTCAGCGATGGCCAAGTTAAGAAGACAGACATCAGTCATGCTTTTCAACTTTACATGCAAGAGCACAACCCACAGAACAAGAGCGTTTCCTATTATCCCAACTACAAACAACACAGAATAAACTGCTGGAAGGAAGGCAGCTCCATGTTTTTCATATTTACATGGAGCAAACTCCTCTTTGTAGTCTATTCCCAATGAATTATTGTAATCATATTCAGCTTCCATGGCTGAAGACATCTTTACAGAAGTCCTGTAAATATAAACAAATGAGAAAGAATAATTAACAATAAACTTGATCCAAAAAACTGTACCTGCATGTAATCTATGCACATACATGCACCCATACATTATGGGAATTAATGTTAATTAGCTCTTTCCTTTTTTATGATAAGCTAATTCAACTTAGTGTCTTCGTTAATAACCTCCCCAGTTGTTTCACCTCATCAGCAGAGCATACTTAACATAGACCAGTGAAACAAATGTATATGTTTTTTTAAGAAGCACATCTTTAGTCTTGTCATGTTTTCAGAACTAGCATTATGTACAGTATTAGGAATTAGATTCATATATGCACATATATATTGTAAGAAGGTGGTAGACTGAGACAATATGTTGGTAATTGTTAGAACCACATTACCCAGAATGCAGCAAAAAATGACCTGCCATCCTCAGTCACCTGACCAATTTGTGGAAGTCAATTGGTGGGGTGATAATTAAAAAGTTATAAAGCAAAAGGTTTTAGTTTTTATCTCAATCCACTGTCTAAGCAAGATCCGTGATATGCTCTGTACCAAAGGAAGAGAGGGAAGGAAGTGTCTGACCTACCATGGAACATTTAGAGCTCAAGACTGTTTGAGGTTTCGGAGCTTTGACCTTTAGAAGATTTTTTTTTAATTGAGAAAACAAGACTTTATTTGGAGATGGTAAGAAGCTCAGCAGCCCAGTTAGTTACCAGGATGGACACAAGAAGGTAGAGGAGCTTAGGGTGTTTGTTTTGTGTTGTGGGGTTTTCATTTTGTCTAATATAAGATAGTTTTTTACATTATGATAGCTAATGTTCTACCAAGCTCCGACTATTTAAATATATACACCTGGGGTCAGGGTGCTATAGCATTATTCACATATATATATATATTCAGTCCCATAATTCATAGTGGTCACTTGGTGTAAAAACACAACATAACCCTGGAAAGAGTTTCTTGTTCTGTAAGCCATATAAATATGTATACTGTATGTATGGTGCATAGTAAAGGTATACTGTATATCTACCATTCTTAATGCCTTCCTTTCATCTAATATTTGAAGGGCGTGACTAACCAGCTGTGAAACCAAAAAGAAAAATCTGACTCAGTTAAGATCAGAAGCATTAGCCAATGCTAATACACATCTTCTTAATATGCTTTGGTTATACAGTTCTTATTCCTAATCTTTTCCTTTCATCTCATGTGTGTTAGATAGGGTTACGACTAACCAGCTGTGAAAAAAATTGTGTTTGATAAGCACAGAAACGTCACCAGCCTTAGCTAAGAGGTTGTCCTCACCTCTGTTGATCTCTGTATGGAGGACGGCCAATATCCTCACCAGTGTCAAGTCTAGAATTGCAGGAGAAAGCTGTTAGTTTATACTGAACCAGTTCAATTTCTTTATCATCCCCTCAATAAAGTAAACCAAAGATGTCAGAACCCTACAATGGATTAAATTGTTATCGTTTATGCTCAGGTGAATATGGAGTTTAAGGTTATGATTGGCTGTATCTTACTTTATTTCTCATTTGGATACTGTTGTTCAGAATAGGTGGGCATACTAAATATAATGTGTGGAAATATTGAGTCACCAGCTGTGACCATGAACTAAACCAGAATCCTGCCAGGAGCAAAAAAAGCTGCAAAGCTGCAATTTAAACAGTCAAATTTGTTGTAAGTTAAAAAAAATATTTATATATCTATAGTGACATTCATTTACCCAGTGAAATAGAAATAAAAATATCTAACATTATACAGTGGTGTGAAAAAGTGTTTGCCCCCTTCCTGATTTCTTATTTTTTTGCATGTTTGTCACACTGAAATGTTTCAGATCATCAAACAAATTGAAATATTAGACAAAGATAACACAAGTAAACACAAAATGCAATTTTTAAATGAAGGTTTTTATTATTAAGGGGAAAAAAATTCCAACTTTCCGTTCCTTGGCCTTTTTTGAAAAGTTGTTTTTCCCCCCCCCCCCGTTAAAACATAAATCAACTGTGGTTTATCACATCTTTGGAAAGCTGAATTCAATTTCTCTAGCCACACCCAGGCCTGATTACTGCCACACCTGTTCTCAATCAAGAAATCACTTAAATAGGACCTGCCTGACAATGTGAAGTAGACCAAAAGATCCTCAAAAGCTAGACATCATGCTGCGATCCAAAGAAATTCAGGAACAAATGAGAAACAGAGTAATTGAGATTTATCAGTCTGGAAAAGGTTATAAAGCCATTTCTAAAGCTTTGGGACTCCAGCGAACCACAGTGAGAGCCATTATCCACAAATGGCGAAAACATGGAATAGTGGTAAACCACTATAAGCCGGCCGACCAAAATTACCCCAAGAGCGCAGCGACGACTCATCCAAGAGGTCAGAAAAAATCCCACAACAACATCCAAAGAACTGCAGGCTTCACTTGCCTCAGTTAAGGTCAGTGTTCATGACTCCACCATAAGAAAGAGACTGGGCATGGCAGAGTTCCAAGACGAAAAACCATTGCTGAGCAAAACATCTTGCCACTGCTGAGCCAGAAAGCATCTTGATGATCCCCAAGACTTTTGGGAAAATACTCTGTGGACTGACGAGACAAAAGTTGAACTTTTTGGAAGGTGTGTGTCCCATTACATCTGGTGTAAAAGTAACACAGCATTTCAGAAAAGGAACGTCATACCAACAGTAAAATATGGTGGTGGTAGTGTGATGGTCTGGGGCTGTTTTGCTGCTTCAGGACCTGGAAGACTTGCTGTGGTAAATGGAACCATGAATTCTGCTGTCTAACAAAAAATCCTGAAGGAGAATGTCCACCCATCTGTTCGTGACTTCAAGCTGAAGCGCACCTGGGTTCTGCAGCAGGACAATGATCCAAAACACACCAGCAAGTCCATGCTGAATGGCTTAAGAAAAACAAAATGAAGACTTTGGAGTGGCCTAGTCAAAGTCCTGATCTGAATCCGATTGAGATGTTGTGGCATGACCTTAAAAAAGCAGTTAAGGCTCGTAAACCCTCCAATGTGGCTGAATTACAACAATTCTGCAAAGATGAGTGGGCCAAAATTCCTCCATAGTGCTGTAAAAGACTCATTGCCGGTTATCACAAACACTTGATTGCAGTTGTTGCTGCTAAGGGTGGCCCAACCAGTTATTAGGTTTAGGGGGCAATCAATTTTTCACACAGGGCCATGTAGGTTTGGATGTTTTTTTCCTTAATAATAAAAACCTTCATTTAAAAACTGCATTTTGTGTTTACTTGTGTTATCTTTGTCTAATATTTCAATTTGTTTAATGATCTGAAACATTTCAGTGTGACAAACATGCAAAAAAATAAGAAATCAGGAAGGGGGCAAACACTTTTTCACACCACTGTATATATTAGATGAGGTTCTGCTTAAGACAGTCTAAACATATGATAATCATAAGAGCATTGCATATAAGTTATATTTATCATAAAAGTATTGAAATATTAAACTGAGTAGTTGTTTCCAAGTACAGAATTTTGTACTAGCAAACTGTAAAATGACAGAATTTAAGACTGTTTTATATTTGATATTCATTTGAAACTGCTTGAACTTTTGTCGCTCATTGAAAAGAAATGAAAATTTGCTGATATAGTCTTTTCATCTGGCTTTTACAAAAGCACTTTACTACAACATTGAAGACTTAAAAAAATCTTTCACCTTTCATACTTATCATTCCCAAAAGACATTATCTGGAAGACAACATTGGCCAATTAATAGTTTCTTAGTTTTTAAAATATATATATTTCCTTCACGTCAGATTCAAACATATGTTAAAGCTAGTCCTGAGCAATATAAAATGTATCTATATACAGTATACAATGTTTTTAACTATTTTTAATTGACGGTTGTAAAGAACCACAAGCAGAAATGCTGTTTTCAGGAACCAGGTGGTTTTTATGTTGCTTTAGAAAATGTCTGAATATTTTTGTAATTTCTTTTTATTTGTAATCTTTTTTTATAAAGACTTTACTACCCCAGTCATTTTAGATGATTGTGCCTGTAGTGTAAGAAGCAGCTAAATTAGTCTACAGTAAAACAGGTGCAATTTCTTAAAGTGTAATTCAAATAGGAACACTCACCTTATACACTATGTGAAGAGTATAGGCTCAGGACAAAGCCAACGATGAAAGGCTTTCTGAAATGAAAAGCTGAATATGCACTTCCTGTATTTTAATGTAGCCACTGGTAGTTACACCTACACTGAAGGTAGCTTAGTGGTACACGTCCCACAGCTACACTTTAATGAATGATGAAATGTCATAGTGCTATTAAAAGATTTGTAACTGTGGATACTGAGGTACATAACAATGTTGCTCCTAGTCCTTTACTGTAATCCCTAGTTCCAGAGAGTATATCGGAATTTGTGTCTCTGATCTCATAACACTGTTCCATTAATATATACTGTAATAAAACCGTCAATGAGCAAGTTTGAAAAACCATAGAAATAAAGGATGGTCATTGAAAAATAACATGCTTAGGTTATGTGTGACAAATATATTGTCCCTTTACTATAAAAGGCTGTAGAGCAGGATAAAAGTTAGTATTTTACCATCTTTTAAATTTTTACACCAACATCATATAATCATGTAAGTACCCAGTCAGATATAATACACAACACCCCATCCCTCCAAAAGTTTTATGAATTTCCTAGTAACATATCTCAACGCAGTACATCAATGTCTGCAATATTTTTTAGGAGTTTTAAGTGCTCTCTGAGGCTCGGAAGAACTAAAACATTGGACTCTTATACTTTTCATGCCAGTTTCTATGCTACCATTTCAGCTCACTGCTGAGACAAGACAATACAAAAACATGGGGAACAGATTCACACTCGCTCCTTCTTCACCAGCCAGTCCACAAGGACTCGCACTGCTACCCTTAGGGGGTGAAACTATTCTCTAGTCACACACCGTTTTATGGAGTTTCATACTGTATATACTGTGAGAACCAATGCATTTACATAGACACTCAAAATGGAACAATATTGACAATAAAAGACACTAAAAAGGTGCAAACAGTTTTTTTTTTCACTGTGTATGTCAATTGGGTATTGTCTCTCAATCCTAACACAAGCCCAGCTACATAGCCACCCCCAGGATAGAGTGTGACTGCTACAGTACATAAAAGAGGATTATTTAGTCAAAGATGCAAAAATATGAGAGATAGAAGAAGTCTTTTCAGAATTCTCTTTATGTTGTCTTGTCAGTTATTTCAGTAGCACTGTACTTAATAATTTTTGGCTTTTGCACTGTATTAAACACATTATTCGGGTGTAAGAAAGATAGGGCAGTCAGCAAAGATAATATAACATGTTCCTTCTCTCTGTTTCTGTAGTATTGGTTTTGGGGTTCATTTGTCTCTTTTGGGTTTTGAACGGCCCCCAGGTTCCCCCCTCCCTACCTGTCTGCAGAAAACTAAAGCCAGGAGAGAGGAGGAGGCAGGAGCAGGGGAGAGGCAGAGTGGCCAATCAAGTGGTGCGAGGTCGAGAGAGGTGTGGAGAGGTGTGAAACGAAAGCTACAAATGAATAGAGAGAATTAGAAGAAAACAAGTCTGTCGTTGAGAGAAGGGGGAAGGTGTGAACCAAGTTTCAGGATAATTTTAGTTTCTGATGTCTTTCTGCTAAAGGAGTTAAGAAATCCTACTTTGAGAATGCAGACAGAGAGATTAGTGTGATTGTGGCTGTCAGAGGTGAAACTACCGTATGGGATTGGAGAAATCTTTAATCTTCAAAGCCCTGACATGTTCTCTGAAGCGGTCTCAAAGTCTCCTTCCTAGTTCCCCAATGCAGATGGCTGGGTATTTACTGCAAGAGATACAGTGAATGAGGTTGCTGGAAGTACAGATGTCATCTGAGTGATCTGGAATTGCCCTGAGGGGCCCTGAATAAGTGTGGTGTTATACTGTATATGTACTTGCAGGTGATACAGCGAGCTCTGTTGTGGGTGAAAGTGCCTGGTGTGGATGGTTGCTGAGGGTGGTCAAGGGAGCTTTAAACAAGAAGGTTACACAGATTATATGGTCTATGGGGCAGATATGAGATGATGGGGCAGTCAGGAAAGAGGGCCCCAATGGAGGGATCGTCCTGTAACATGGGAAAGTTGTTGTTTACAGTCCTGGGGATAGAGAGTGTGTTAGGGTGGCAGGGAAGCACTAAAAGAATACAGTTGTTAGGCCGGGAGTTCCTGATTGAGTTGATAGTCCCAGGGCTGTTTTTGGCTCGGGTGAGAGCCCTGTCAATAACGGGTGGGGTATCCTCTGTTGATGAAAAAAAAGTGCATTTTGAGTGCTTTGTTCTGGAAATTGACGTCATCACTGCAGAGTCAATGTAGCCAAGGAACTGTGAAAAAGAGAAAGAGTTTTTAGTGTGCTTGGAGTGAATGTAGAGCATGTTAGAGCAAGAGTACATCTTTAACTGCAAAGGCAACCCCAATCCCTGCTCAGGACCTGGCCACTGAACCTAGGCAAGACAGCGGAGAAGATACACAAACCCCTGAGTCCATCACCAACTCTGCTAGAATATATAACTGACTGGAACCCTTTGAACATGTCATGACATTTCCCAAATGTGTAGCGAGTGACTTTGCCAGGCTGCTTATTCAGAAACTCCATTGGACTGTACAGCTCATTGTGGCTGGGTTGTGGTAAATTCACTGTATAACTCAGTAGTTTAAGATATGAGGTGAATGAATTGCAGTTTGGAAGAAGGTTATTCTCATACAATTTTGGAAATATTAATTCCCTTTTTTTGGACCCTCCTGCTCAGAATTTCAAGCTATATGCTTTCTTCCTTCCTGTTCTTTGGTAAATCTTGACTTGATCTTCAGTGCTCTCTCCTGCTTCTGCTCCCATGGTCGAGCTTGGCCCGTTGTTCCTCCCTCCTGGATCTTGCTGCTCCTGCTGCTGTTCTCTCTGCCCCGGGATTGTCAAGTGTTCCACCTTCTGCTCAGTCAGCAGGTGTCCTACCATCTGCTCAGTCAGCAGGTGTCCCTCTTTCTGCTCAGTCAGCAGGTGTCCCTCTTTCTGCTCAGTCAGCAGGTGTCCCCCTTTCTGCTCAGTCATCAGGTGTCCTACTTTCTGTTTAGTCAGCAGGTGTCTCCCTTTCTGCTCAGTCAACAGGTGTCCTACCTTCTGTTTAGTCAGTAGGTGTCCCCCTTTAT